ATGACACCGGGTGGCCGTTCCCCATCCCCGAGTGCTGAGGTGGTTGGGGGGGGGGCTGGGTGTGACTTCTCCCCTTGTCTCTCCCTTCTCCCCGATATAGGAAGAAGGAAAAGAAAACGTGGAAACAAAGGTCTCACCCATTTCTCCCCTGATCTTGGATCCATCTCACCCCAATCACCCTATGTAATCACCCTAATGTAAACATCATCAAAAATAAAATTAAAAAAATACAGTCTGTGTGTAAAAAAGTGAAACCATCTCAGGTTAGCAAACAGCGCAGCCTTGGATGCAGTGGTCCGTGAGGCGGAGCATTTGAGGCATAGCATGAGCCGACTTGCAGGTCCCGCTGTGGCCCCAGAGGTCGCTGGGCACCGGGAAGGGCGTAGTTTGCTTGGTGATGTGCCTCAAGCACAAAATCCGCTTCACTCATCAGCTTTTTTTGCCTGTTGGTTACACGTTGAAAGGATAGTATTTTGGGCATACTGGATTATATATGGTCCATCAAAGTTAATTTCACCTTTTAAACATATACTGAGCTGGGCACCGTGGCATATCTGGTTAAGCTACTTCTTGGGACACACCTCCACACACCCCGTCCCGGTGCGTCTCAGAGTCAGGGCACCTCTGTCTCCAATCTAGCTTGCTGCCTATTGACCTGGAAAAGCAGAGTGTGAGGATTCAGGTGTTTGGGACTCTGCCACCCCTAGGAGAGACCCAGAGGGGAATCCAGGCTCCGGGTTTCAGCAGTCCCAGCCAGGGGCTGTCACAGGTATTTGAGGGAATGAACTAGTGGATGGAATACCTCTCGCTGTCGCTCCCTCTCCTGTCAATCTGTCTTTCCAATATATCCCCCCCAACACCACCAAAAAAAGTGCAGTGATCTCCTCTGTTGCCTGTGTGCAACTTGCATTGCATTTCCTGCCTGGGGGAGGCCTGGAAGGCAGGAGGCAGGAGGAATCCGACGCAGCTGGGGCACCAGGTGCGGGGAGGGAGGTCAGGAAAGAGCGGCTGGAACTGGAAGGAAGCAAACCCACCGGGATGCGCAAATGCACGCACCTGCAAGGGTGTGAGTGCTCCCGGGAGTATGGTCGGGATGCTGTTTTAAGAAGGGAAGGAAGTGGCCTGCCCCAGTAGTCCCTAGAGGCTGCCGCGCGGGTGGAGGGCAGACTGCGTGAAGCACATCAAAGGGCAGTCGCTCCTTCCACGTGGGCGATAAGCAGGGCCCCAGTCTTCCCTGAGTCCGTCCCTCCCCTGGGCCTCAGTTTCCCCACCTCGGGAGCCCGACCCAGCGGCTCTTGGCAGAGGCAGCCGACGCCAGGGGGCGCCTCCTCGATGGCTCGGCGCTCGGCTGGCCAGGCTCCGGCGCGTCGCCCGCTCGATTGATCGGGTCGGGGCGGTCCGGAGCGCCGCCGGCCTGCGCCATTGAGGAGCGGCGGAGCGCAGGCAGAGCCGGGCTGAGGCTGCGGCCGGCGACACCTCAGGTAGGGGCCGGGCAGGGTCGGCGCGGGCCGCGGGGAAGGGCAGGGCCGGCGCGGGCCGGCGGGCGGCCGCTCGGGCCCTGCTGGGGAGCGCGGCACGCGGGCGCCGGCGTCCGGGCCCTCCCCGGCTCCCTGGGCGCCCTCCCCGGCTCCCTGGGCGCCCTCCCCGGCGGGGACTGCTGAGTGCCAGAGCCGGGCAGAGTGCAGCCAGCCCGGGGTCCCTGGCCGGGGTCCCAGCAGCCTGGCGCCTCGGGCTGGCAGCTCTCCGCCTTGGGGCCGCGGTGCGAGCCCCCCGCGCGCTCCCCAGGTCTTCCTCTCACGCCCGGGAAGGGGGCGTCCAGCACCTCTAACCAGCCCCTCTAGGGGAGCGGAGGGCGGGGTGGGGATCCTGGTCTCCCCGCTCCCTCCACCGGCACCTGCCCCTCCAGACTTTGTGTGGGACCCTGGAGGGGGACTTGGGGCTTAGGGCGGCCCGCGTCTCCCCCGCACTCCGGGCCCGGAGCTCCCTGGCCGCCTCGGGGAGGGACGCCCCACTCCAGTTGCCAGACCTGCCCGTTCCCGGGTCTGGCAGCCTGGCCGGGCAGGGGCCTGGCTCAAGGTCACACCCGGCTGCCTGCCCCGATGCCCAGGGACACCTGTCCCATGGCGGGGTGGGGGCCAACGCCAGGCAGCTACCGGGAGCCCTGCTAGGCTGTAAACACTTGGGGATTCTGGCCGATCTGGCGCCCTTTCCTGCCGCCGGATTCCTAAGGGGACTCCTTGGAAGTGGCCCCTTGGAGCTGCTGGGGGTGCTTGCTGGTCTGGGCCTCCCCGAGCAGGGACAGGGACGCGTGACAGCGCCCCCTCCCACCCGCTCCGTGTGTTTTTCACCTGGGCTTTTACTTCTCCCACCTTCAGAGCCAGCCGGACACGGCCTGAGCTTGTGGACCACTTGTGTGTGGTTGGCCGTGGTTTTCCCGTTGCCGGGAGAGCGTGTGCTGGCAGCGAGGGCTGACTTAGTGGTAGCAGCCACAGTAAGGAGGAGCACTCTGCCTTTGGCTCCTCCTCCTGGTGCGCCCGCCCTCTGGCACCGGGTCAGTTTCACATTCTGTTTTCATTTACTTGCTTACGGTTGCGACAGAGAAATGCTCCTTTTATTCAGTCTGTTAAACATTTCTTGTTTAAAAAATTTTGCTCCTGTAACCTGTCTTTAAACAAATACCCAGTCATCCCTAGCAGATTGGTGGCATAGTACAACTGCAACCTTAAACAGAAAGTGAGGAAATAGTTTGCCAAAATTTTTAAACTCATTGTCAATAAATAAAAGTGTATCTTGGGCCCTGTGCGATGGCCTAGCGGCTAAAGTCCTCGCCCTGAACGCACCCGGCTCCCATATAGGCGCCTGTTCTAGTCCCGGCTGCTCCGCTTCCCATCCAGCTCCCTGCTTGTGGCCTGGGAAAGCATTTAAGGATGGCCCAGAGCTTTGGGACCCTGTACCTGTGTGGGTGACCTGGAAGAGCTCCTGGCTCCCATTGGTGCAGCATCGGCCGTTGCGATCACTTGGGGGGGTGAATCAATGGGCAGAAGATCTTCCTCTCTGTCTCTCCTCCTCTACCTATATCTGACTTTGCAATTAAAAAAAAATGCATCTTGTCTGGCAGCGGAAGATACTGTTGACAAGTCAGTCTCGGAGGGTGGCATAACGGTGGCTTAGCACTTCTGGGGGCTTTGTGACTGGGCTGCTGTTCGGGTGGTAGGCTCTGGTGCCCCTCACTCGAGGGGGGCTCAGGGCTAGGAGAGGACCCCCAAAGCAGGCTGCTTCTAAGTAGAGTGCCTGCTTTGTTGACTCTGGAGTCTCTGGCCTAGTGGGGAGGGGGCCTTCCCACAACACGAAAGGTTGTGGTAGGTTTTTTGCCCCAAAGTGGGAGCAGGTGCACAGTAGCTGTGTTGAATACCTGTATAAATGTAAGAGTGTTAGTTTTAGAGAAGGAGAGACAGAGAGGAAGATCTTCTGTCTGATGATTCATTTCCCAAGTGGCTGCAGTGGCCAGAGCTGTGCCGATCTGAGGCCAGGAGCCCAGAGCCTCTTCTGGGTTTCCCATGTGGGTGCAGGGTCCCAAGGCTTTGGGTTTCCTAGGCCACAAGCAGGGAGCTGAAAGGGAAGCTGGGAAACCGTCATTAGAACTGGCGCCCATATGGGATCCCAGCGCTCCCAGTGTGTTCAAGGTGAGAACTTTAGCCTTTAGGCTACCGTGCTGGACTCTCATGTTAACTCTTTTTTTTTTTTTTTAAAGATTCATTTTTATTGGAAAGTCAGATATACAGAGAGGAGGAGAGACAGAGAAGAAGATCTTCTGTCCGATGATTCACTTCCCAAGTGACCGCAATGGCCACTGCTGCACTGATCCAAAGCCAGGAGCCAGGAGCTTCTTGTGGGCCTCCCATTCAGGTGCAGGATCCCAAGGCTTTGGGCTGTCCTTGACTGCTTTCCCAGGCTACAAGCAGGGAGCTGGATGGGAAGTGGAGCACATGAACAATTGCCCATTTGGTATTCGAGAGGCCGAGGACTTTAGCCACTAGGCTTCAGTACTGGGCCCCTGAGGGTGTTTTTTGAGTGGTCTTGATAGCCGTGATGTGTGGTCGGTTTCATTGATCTGGGGTTGAGAAAATCTTTCCAAAGTTTGTTGGTTGACAGATTCCACTTTCGTGCAGCCACAGACTTAGAAGCAAGTTGCAAAGCTTGGCCGAGAGAGTGGTCCAACCTGTTCTGCCTTCTATCCTTTGATGAAGCAGTTAACGACGTCCCCAGCTGGCCTAGAGCGTTCTGGTTTTTGTAACTATTGACCGAGGTAGTTCATCCTGTCAGCATAGTTTGGTGCCCAGGCAGCGTAGTGCAGGCCCCAGACACCGCAGAAGGGTGCTAAGGCACTGCCTTCTCCTTCTCATTTATACTATTTTATGAATGAGCCTCAAGAGGAGATTTGTAGAACGTAGTTGGGGCAGTCTGGTGAGGATCATTGCAGAAGGTAAATTTTATTCATACAAAGATGTCTGAGGGCATCTCTGCCTTTCGTGGGCAGTGTAGTCTCTGTTGATGTTTGGGCTGGGTCATTCTCGGCTGTGAGGGGCTTGCCTTGTGCTGTAAAGAGGACTTCGCTTCCGTAGTCTACTCGCCAGATGCCAACAGCAGCTGCCACAGTCAGGGTGGTGAGAAGTGTCTCCAGACACTGCCAGGTCACACGCAACTGAGAACTGACTGATCAGGGCGGTCTAAAGGGAAGGGCAGACCCTGAGCAGGTATATCTGCAAGTTGCACAGGTGTTGAACGGCAGGTACTTTTTGGTCCACTTGTAAGAGTATCGAATACACTTCCAAATGTAGAGGTGTCAGTCGGCCCTGCATGTACTGACCATGGCGCATGCTGCCTCCCCCATCTTTTAAAAACCTGTTGTTTAGTTTACCTCCAGGCAGGCAGAGTAGGAAGTCAGCTTAGAAAATCATCCAGTTTTCTGCTGATTTTTTTCCCTTTCCTTTTATAGATCCTTCCATAACCATGAGTGAAAAAAGAATAAAGAGTGATGCATGATTTTTAAACATCTTTTCCTGAGAACATAGTCATGTTGGAAGGTCTTGTCGCCTGGGTTCTCAATACCTACTTGGGGAAATATGTCAATAACCTGAACACTGACCAGCTCTCCGTGGCGCTTCTCAAAGGTGAGTGGCATGTGGTACCCTTTGGTCGAGAAGGCTTGGCAGGGGCTGCGTTTCTGTTTTTCTCTCTATAGTATTTGTTCTGTTGACAGTAACGAAACTAATGCCCAGCTGGTTTTGTACTAAATGTGTCTAAAAGGTAATTATCTTCTCCCAAATGACTGCTGATTATTATAGGGTAACTGAAGCATGTAGCTGTATTGGTGTAGATTTTCAGGAATGATTAAATTCTTTGGAAATCGAAATAATTCTGCTGATTACGGTGTGTACTATGGTTTAATATTTTTAAAAATATTTCCTTTTTTATGGAGCATTGTAGAGACAGCCATGTTGTAGTGACAGTTTCATTAACTTTGGCTTCAGTTATGGTTTCATTACTAATTTTGAAATTGCTAATATTAAAATTCTGAGCTTCACTTTCTTTAGAACTAGGGAAACAGATTTCTACAGATTGCCAGTGATCAAGTGGGAAAACGCGTGAAAACCACCAGCCTGCTGGCATAGCGATCATCCTAAATGACCGCCCAGCAGAGCGCTGGGCACTCGTCCTGTGAGGGCTTCGGTGGGCTTCGTGGCGAGCTGCTGATGGCAGGACGGCGTGCCGTGTGAGGCCCTGGAGAGCTTGGCCTGTGCTTGGCACATGTAGCCCACGATTTAGCGTGGGAATTGGAAACCGCCTTCTCTCGTGTTCTTCGTTTTGATGGCACTTCTGTTGGGTCTACTCATAGTGGAGCCCTTACCCAGCGAGAGAGGGGAGGTCAGTCTGCAGCCCGTGAAAGCGTCGGAGGCAGAAGGCAGACCTCAGCCGTAGGGAGAGCCCAGCTCCCTGGAGGTGCGTTTCAGGGAGACCCCGTCAGGCTGGGAGAACTAGCAGTGGCAGAGGTGTTGGCTTAGTGTACTAGTTGAACCCCAGGGGCTCACTTGTCCTTTCTGAGTTTTTCTGACATGTCTAGCCAAGGACTGCAGCCACCGTTGTCTTCCTTGCGTGGGAAGCAGAAGTGGCTGCTTTCCTGGTCTTCTGCTTTTCCTCCTGTTGCCAAAAGGGAGATCTAAGTAGAAAGTGAAAGTAAGTGTCCTGCCTGTCCAGGAAGTGGATGCGTTCAAGACACAGATGGCATGTCACGTTCCCCTCTGGTCGCTTGGTGTCTGGCTCCTAGACATGTTGGAACTGAGGCCAGCGTAAGTTGTGTGAGATGAGGCCGAGGAAGAGAACTGCAGGCCACCACTTTGCCAGCAAGAGAATGCTCTCGGGAAGAGTAGGTGCTGAGGAACTGAATGGATGCAGAAATTTATAGTGTCTGATTTATCAGTCAAGACTAATAGCAGATTTCTAATCTCTTCATTTTAAACAAATATATCTAGTTACGGCAACTGTGTGTGTGTGCCTGGAGATACTTTTATATGTTATTTCCTTTTTAGAAAGTGTTCTTCTCTGTGGCTTTGAATGAATTTGTGGGATTTGAGAGCTGTTTGTGGAATGGAAAAGTGCTTTTTCTTTTGTAAGTGGTGTTATGGTCCATGGGCCTGGCCTGGTAGGCCTTACTCCTTGCCTTGTAACCACTATGTTCGCATATGGGCATGCCAGTTCCATTTCCCATCCAGCTCCCTGCCTGTGGCCTGGGGAAGCAGTCGAGGACGGCCCAAAGCCTTGGGACCCTGCACCCGTGTGGGAGACCCGGAAGAGGCTCCTGGCTCCTGATTTCAAATCAGCTCAGCTCTGGTCTTCGCTGCCACTTGGGGAGTGAACCAGTGGATGGAAGATCTCTCTCTCCTTCTCTCTGCAAATCTGTCTCTTCAATAGAAAATAAATAAATCTAAAAAAAAAAAAAAAGAAAAAAAGAAAAAGATGTGGGAGCCCATGTTTATGGGCCCCAGGTTCACTGTACTGTAGGGAATAGTGGCAGGCACTGAGAGAAGGGCTTTGTGAGGAATTGACACTGTGTTGGGTACTGGGGAGATAGCTGGGTGCCAAGTCCTAGAAATAACAATGTTCTTCAACCCATCTGCAAACAGGTACTAATCTAGATGCTTTGGGAGATGCGAGGAGACTGAAGTAGTGGTCAGGCTTCTGAATTTCTTGCTTTTCGTTTTTAAAGATTTATTTATTTTTATTACAAAGTCAGATATACAGAGAGGAGGAGAGACAGAGAGGAAGATCTTCCATCTGATGATTCACTCCCCAAGTGAGTGCAACGGCCGGTGCTGTGCCGATCCAGAGCCAGGAGCCAGGAGCCAGGAATTTCCTCCAGGTCTCCCACACGGGTGCAGGATCCCAAAGCATTGGGCCGTCCTCAACTGCTTTCCCAGGCCACAAGCAGGGAGCTGGATGGGAAGTGGAGCTGCCGGGACTAGAACTGGCACCCAAATAGAATCCCAGCACGCTCAAGGCGAGGACTTCAGCCACTAGGCCACACCGCCGGGCCCCCAGGTTTCTGAATTTCCTAGCCACAGTGTGGGTATGATTTCAGTTCCTCCGTTTACCAATACCTTGGGCAAATCTGTTTCTTGCTTCAGTTTCCTGTTCTGTGAATTGAAAATCATATTGTCTTTTAAAGTTCTGAATGTGGGCCGTGGGGCTGTGTTTGTGCTAGGCGTTAGCATCATTACCATTGCCCTGACCATCAGCCTAGGACTGGCTGGTGGGTCGAGTTTCAGGAGGCGACTGTGCACAGGCAGTGATGGGGAATGTGCAGTGACATGAGCAGCTGAAGGACACCGGGGTTAAGATTTCACAGGTTTAGTCATTCGGCAAACATTAATTGAGCTTTTGCTTTGGGCAAAGTGTCTGGATTGACAGCAAAGGGGAAGGAGTAGCAGGCCTGAGTTCAGACTTAAGGTCCCAGGCTGGCCTGCCTCAGAGCTGTCAGCACTGCCGCCGACTGGGCAGGCTGCGGAGGCCTGTTCACCTCTCCTCCCGTCTGTTGCCTGAGGCTTAGGGCTCTAGGATGAAAATCTCTGTCCTCCAGGCCTCCTTCATCATCTCAAACTTGTGAGAATTAAATGAGGTAATGCATGCACACAGTCAGTCTCACTCAGTGGTGCCTGCTGTTGATAGTCCGCCCCAGCTGTGCCCTCCACCCTCAGAGCGCGGTTAACTTGTTGAAGTGTGTCGTAATGCAGGACAGCACCTGTTCAATACCTGTTACCATGCAGTGTGAAGGAGGGTAGAATCCTTCCTTCTGTCTGGGGGGTCTGGGGAGCTACTGTGAGGAGGCCGTTGATTGAGAGGCTCTTCGCAGGATTTCAGTTGGTGACTTGGGGGTAAGACCCCATTCCTGGCTGAGCCTGGAGGATACCCTTGGAATGATTTGGGGCCACTGTGGCAGAGGCTCAGCATTATTCTGTGAGCATCTGTGTATCTGTAACCCAGAATTGCAGTTCTTTTTGCTGTCTTTTTATATAAACTGAGTATCAGGCTAGCACTTCAGTCCCTGGGAGCAGAGGAGCTGGCTTTTTGCTTGTTAGGGGTTGCTGGCAAGTGACCGCCCTGTATTGCATCCTGCTTTTAATGAGTGGATTTCCTAGTGATGTGAGGGGAGGAGTCTGGGATTGGCGTCCAGGAATAAGCCGGTGAGCTGTCTGCCTGGATGTTAGTGAGCAGAGCCTCCGATTGTAACATCTTACCCGACTTGGGTGCTTGGCTTGCCCCTTGGAGGCAGGGCTCTGTGGGTGTGTGCCAGGCGGGTGGGTACAGGAAGCGACCAGTCTTGAGGCACAGCTGTGTTTGCCTGACCCCTTAGCTTTTTGGTTCTTCCCTCATCGTTCTTTGCTGTTCCTTCAGCCTGTGAAACCCTCACCGTGCTCTCTGTGCACGTTAGCTTCTTTTGTTTTCATGATGTGAGTCACCTAAAGGTCTTCCCACTTCCACAAGGCGACCTAGCAGCCAGGAAAACTAGGGCCTGCCAGCCTTTGTGACAGGTTGGGTGGGGCATTGACAAATAGACTGTTCCAGAAGGAAACGAGGCTCTTGGACAGCAGCAAAACCTACAGAGATGCTTGCCGCCTTGAATTAAGTCACTTTCAGCTAATGACGCCATGAAAAATACTTTTTAATCCCTCTTAATGATCTTTTTTCCTTCCTGTGGGAATTAGATTGTTTTGCTAGGGTTGACAGTGTTTCCTTGCGATTAGTCTTAAAAATATATGAAACCGCATCTGGACAAACGCTCCTGCAAAAACCAGGCAATGAATTCAGTGCATTCGCTTGGAGTCTGCCAAATTGCTGGACTTGAGTTTTTTAGGATCCAATAACTGACAGGTTCTAAACAGTCATTTAGAGGGAGAATAATCAGGTTTTCTGCTCTATTTTGTATTTGGAGTGAAAGGCCTGTCCTTTGTAGCTAGTTCATGGTGGGTGTCTGTATTCGCTGATCCTGAAGTTGCACATCTTAGGTTTAAGTGGCTCGGAAATCGTCTTGTGTCATGCAAACACTTTTATAAAAACAACGGCTGTCTCTCCAGCATTTTGGGCCTGGGCACCCTGCCTTTTCCCTGTGTTCTCATGGAGTAGGGATCACCTGTGGCTGTAACTGAATGGTGGTATAGCTCGGAGAGGCAGAGCCGGCTCCTCCGGGATCCTGGTTTCTAGATTGGAGTCATCCTAAGAACTGGCTCTGCTTGCATTCTTTTCGTTCTTTTGCCTTCAGGCCACATATTGCACCTGTAGTGGAGGTACAGAAAACGGGTGGAGGCACTCTTTTATTAGTATAATTTAAAAAAATACTTAGCTATTTTTATTGGAAAGTCAGATTTACAGAGAAGGAGAGGCAAAAATCTTCCATCTGCTGGTTCACTCCCCAAATGGTCACGATGGCCAGAGCTGAGCCGATCCAAAGCCAGGAGCCAGGAGCTTCTTTCAGGTCTCCCACACGGGTATCGGGTCCCAAGGTTTTAGGCTATCTGCTATCATTTTCCCAAGCCGCAAGCAGGGAGCTGGATGGGAAATGGAGCAGCTGGAACTTGAACTGGCACACCCATGTGGGATCCTGGGCTGGGAGAGGATTAGGCAATTGAACCATCATGCCAGACCCTGTCAGTTTTAATGAGCTAAACCACGTGCTTTCCAACACTGTGCACCATGCTCTCTCTGCAAGGGTGGGCTTGGGGAGTGGGGTGAGGGTTGGGGGAACTTTGCAGATTCCCGGGTTTCAGTTGCAGAGATTTCTGTTGTAGTGGGGCTGGGTGGGGCCCTGGAGCCTGCCCTTGATCAGAGTGGGTGGATGTTGCTGTCCTCTGGGAAATATTAGCCAGAACTAATGGCCTCTGGGCTGTGTCTGACGTGGAGTCTCGGAATGGCTCTTACATTTTTAGCGCTTATTAAAAAAAAAAAAGAATATGCAACAGATACCATATAAAGCACAAAATACCATCTTGCCTGTTACAGCAACAGTTTGAGCCTCATCTGAACTCTTGGCTGGCAGCTGTGTTCCCGCTTTGCCAGGTGTGGTAGAGTGGGTGGTGGAGAAAGGCAGGCAGCCGGAGCCAGCTTAGCCCTGGCCTGGTTGTAAGGCTTTTCCTTCGGCTTCAGTGCTCTGCACATAGTGGGCGGCTACTCTTTGATTGGATCACTGTCACATGATGATGTTTTTAATTTTAGGTGCTGTTGAATTAGAAAATCTGCCATTAAAGAAAGATGCTTTGAAAGAACTGGAGTTGCCATTTGAAGTCAAAGCTGGTATGTGGAACTCAGGGAGACGGGAGATATTTTGAGTATAATGTTGTGACATGAAAGCTCTTAGACCTTGGGCTGGAGTTGTGGTATACGCTGCCACTACAATGCTGGCATCCCTTAAGGGCTCTGGTTTTAGTCCTGGCTGCTCCACTTCCAGTCAAGTCCCTGATAATGTGCCTGGGAAAGCAGCTGAGGACAGCCCAACTCCTTGGGCTCTGTTCCCATGTGGAAGACCTGGAGAGAACGCCTGGCTCCTGGCTTCAGCGTGGCCCAGCGCTGGCTGTTGCTGTTCTGTGGGGAGTAAAGCAGAAATGGCAGCTCTCTGTCTCCCCTCCCTGTAGCTAGCTCTGCTAGAGATCTTCCCATCTCTGCCTTTCTTCCCAGGTGGCAGCAACAGCTGGGGCTGAGCGGGGCTGGACTGGGAGCCAGGGGCTTCTTCCAGTGTCCCACGTGGGTGCAGGGGCCCGAGGAATGATGACTGAGATGTATCCAAAAGAGGATTACAAGAGACTGTGGGAGAAATGGATTAAAGTTTCTAGTGTTTTGTTTTTCAAATAGCCATGTTTTCTGAAAAATGAAATCGAAGGAACAGTTACTATATTTTGTTGTCCTTTAGCTGTCGAAGGCTATCTGTCCTTCCTCCAGTTAGTGAGAATTACAATTGTGTACTAATTATTATTAAAATTCTTTGTTGTGAAATTTGGCATATGGTTTCAGTTAAATCATAAGTTTTATTATAAAATTTATTTCACTTTTTTAAACAATCTTGTTTTAAAAATCATTTGTTGTAAACTTTCTCAATTTGTTACTGGATGACAGTCATTTGCTGTTGTTAAATACCATTTTCAAAAAATATTTATTTGGTTGAAAGACAGTTACAGAAAGATCTTCCATCCTCTAGTTTACTCCCCGAATGGCCAGAATGGTTGTGGCTCTGAGCCTGGGTGTGGGTGGCCAGGCCCAAGTTTTCAGGCCATTCTGTGCTGCCACAGATGCGGTAGAGCAGCCAGGACTCGAGCCAATGGTCCGAGAAGGGGTACTGGCATCACAGTTGGCAGTTTAACTCACTGTGCCACGATGCTAGCCTTGAAAAGTGCCGTTGTCAGTGGTATTATTACGACTGATTCTGCTGGCATCTCGGGTCTCCATGGGTAACGAGCATGCTCTGTTAACCTGTGCTGCTCTGAGAGCTAGGGTGGTAGTTGGGCCGTGTGGCTCTTTGAGGGACGTATTAGGGCAGTGCAGATGTTCTTACACTTTTCTGTAGTGGTGCCTTGGCCTGAGGGCTTGCATTCTCTGAGGCTGAGTTGGAGAATAAGCAGCACCGGCTGCCAGGCTAGTCTGCCTTCTCAGGAGGCCGGGTTCTCTGTGGCTGGCGGTGTGTCACTGCAGTACCAGCTACTGCTACTGTGGAATGGGCATGTTAGATGGGGCGCAGTCTAAAGTGGTAACTACTGGACTCACCTAACTAACTCCTAACTTAATAAGCCAGATAGTCATTAGCAAATTAGTTTTGTGTCCATGGGCTTAAACAGTTGCTGTGGGAAGAAATACACTCCCAGGAGGTTCAGGATGTAGACCACACGAGGAGAAGGTTTCTGGAGCAGAGAGGTTGTGTTTGATAAGAGCTTCTTCCAGTTTAATTCCCCAATGCCTCCTTACAGATCCCAGCTGGCTTATGCTTGTTTCATGTGCCAAAGCCTGCTGCTTATTTTTACTTAAAAAAGAAATGACAAAGTAAATACTTGCTCCTTAAAGCTAAAAAAAAAATATTTTCTAAGGATAAAGACTTAGAAATGTGTAGTGGCATTTACCAAGACTTTCCTTCTTCCAGGTTTCATTGGCAAAGTAACCCTTCAGATTCCCTTTTATCGCCCCCACGTGGACCCTTGGGTGATCTCCATCTCTAGCCTGCACTTAATTGGAGCCCCTGAAAAAATACAGGACTTCAACGATGAAAAGGAGAAGCAGCTGGAAAGAGAGCGCAAGAAAGCGCTACTGCAAGCTCTGGAGGAAAAATGGAAGGCAAGCCAGAGACGTTTGCTGTAGAGCCCCCGTGACCCTCACCAGATGAGCAGAAGTGCTGGATTCCACTCACTCTGGCTCTTTCCCTTGCAGAGCGAGCGCCAGCAGAAAGGGGAGTCCTACTGGTACTCAGTCACCGCCTCTGTTGTCACGAGAATCGTGGAGAACATTGAAGTAAGTCCCTTGACTTTCACCAGGTATACACGGGGGCGGTGTCTCGGGCTTCACGGTGTTGTACTTGTTCCCGTAGGAGGTAGAGGGTTGGCTGCGCCCGTGTGCCCTGTGGTTGGCTGGGCCAAAGGGCGAACCTGAAAAGCAAGTCTTGTGCTCTGTGGGAGGTATAGGTTTTTCTTGTCTCGGCTGAAGTAAGAGTTTTCATCACACTTTTATTTTCCTTACTATACTTTGGTCTACAATTTTTGTTTCTGTTTTTTTGAGAGGCAGAGAAAACAGAGAGCTCCCCTCTGCTGGTTCACTTCCCAAACACCTCACTGGCCAGGGCTTGGGCAGTCTGCAGCTTTGAGCTAGGAACTTGACCTGGGTTGGAGGGACCCAAGCACTTAACAAATGGCATGCTTCGCTTCCGGGTGTCTATTAGCAGACAGCTAGAATTGGGAGCAGAGCTGGGACTCGAACCCAGGTTCTCTGCTGTGGGATATGGGCAGCCCAAGCAGTGTCTTCATGTTGGCAGGCCAGACTTAGCACCATAAGAAGTGGATCTCGGAGCTTTGGTGGATGTCTAACTGAAGTGAGGGCTGGTCCCGTGATCTCTCAGGTCTTCGTTGCTTCATCTGTGAATTGAGTGGCAGTGGGGACATGGGGTCTGGCTCGTGTCCCAGGTGTCTGTGGGCAGCCCACTAAGTACTTAACCCCCAGCTGTGCCGCTGGTGACAGTTTGGTGAGCTGCCCGACTGGGGCTTGTGGCCACATTTTCTACTTTAATTATAGTGTGTTTTGCTTTCAAAATCTGAATCAGGATCCACACTGATTTTCCCAGCTGTCCTAAGACATTGCCCATTTTACTGCTTCTAAGGTGTTTTTTGGGAACAACACCAAAGTGACACAGTCCAATGTGTTCAAAGGATGCTGTCACTTTCATCACATTGAGAAAAATATTGGCACAGTTGGAGTGGCTGTTTTTAGTTCTATTCCAAGCAGTTAGTTTTTTGGCTGTCATTGGTTTTGATTTCAAATCAGTCATTTCTCTGTTGGTTTAGCTTTTCTTAAGATTTATTTTTATTTGAAAGGCAGAGTTATAGAGAAAGAAGGAGAGACTGAGATCTTCCACCCTCTGGCTCACTCCTCAAATGGCTGCAACAGACAGAACTGGGCTGGTCTGAAGCCGGAGGTTTACTGTTTGTCTCCCATGTGTATTCAGGAACACAGGCACTTGGCGCTTCTCTGCTGCGTTCTCAGACTATTAGCAGGGAGCTGGATTGGAAGTGGAGCAGTGGGGTGGCAGGAGCCGCCACTGCTGTCCTGGCAGAGACTACGCCTTGTTCTTCAGCTGCTGCCTCTCCTTGACACACTTGTGCTGCTGCCTCTCCAGGGCCAGCAGGTGCTCCCCACGTTCGTGTGGGAGGGCAGGCACTCCTTGTCCCTCTTCTTGTCAGCCTGAGCCTTCTCCCAGTGCTTGTGCTGCTGCTGCCACCGCTGCCAGGGTCGCCAGTCCTTGAGCGCCTGCGGCATCTTGGCCATGCTCTCCCAGCACGGCTGCTCCACGGTCAGCTACTTCTCCCGCAGCGACTCCTGCATGCTCACCAGGCTCGGTACCTTCCTTCTCATGGGCCTCCAGCTCGCACAGCTGCACCCACAATGGCCACAGCATTGTACCACGAGAACTGCTGGGCAGCATGGCACGGCCCCAGCTGCCTGTGTGGGTCTGGCCACTAGGTCCCAGTGAACAACATGGGGGTGGTGGCACCCAGTAACCCTGACAGCTGGTGCCAGAGCCCCTGCCAGCCTGAGCAGGGAGAGCGCCATTTACATTTTAATGAGCTACCAAATAGTTTTCTAAAAAGGCTGCACTATTATATATTTTCATCAACAGTGTTTGAGCATTTTATCAATACTTCTTATTGACAGTCTTGATTATAGCCATTTTAATGGATGCTATAGCCATTTTAATGGATGCGAGTTGATACCTCATTGTGGCTTTAATTTGTATCTTGTTTCAAAGATTTTTTTTTTACTTGAAAGGCAGAGTGCGGCGGAGGGGTGGAGATGGGGAGAGCTTGTCCATCCTCTGGTCACTGCCCAGATGGCTGCGATGTCTGGAGCTGCGCATTCTGAAACTTGGAGCTGCGTCTGGTGTCCTGTGTGGGAGGGCCAGGGCGGCAAGACCACGTTTCCCGAGGCAGTGGGAGTATTTTTGTATTTCTTCTTTTTTTAAAAATGTATTTATTTCTGTTGGAAAGTCAGATATACAGAGAGGAGGAGAGACAGAGAGGAGATTCTCTGTCCACGTGTATTTTTGTATTTCTTTAGCAGGGATGGAGCACCTTTTCTGCCAAGGGCCCTGTGGATACTCCTCATATCATGTTGGAATTGACTGAGTGCTGGCCATGTGTTTGATGCATTTATATAAAATGCCTGCTGTGCTTTACTGTACTGTCTCCATGGCAGTTTGTTCCCCACCGCTAGCAGTTATCAAATGTTGTTTTTTTCTCATTGCAGTTAAAAATTCAAGATGTCCACCTACGCTTTGAAGATGGTGTCACCAACCCTTCCCATCCTTTTGCGTTTGGCGTTTGCATTAAGACAGTGTCCATGCAGAATGCAGTGAATGAGCCTGTGAGTACATGTGTGGCTGCACACGAGGCAGAATGCTGTGCCCTGGCGAGTCCACGGCCACTCCTTGTCATTCTGTGTCACGTAGTGAGGTTGAGTTCTCGTTCACCCTTTTACATTGTTTGGTACATGTGCAGGTCTCTGCAGGCAACAAGTTTAATTTGCTGAAATATGAAAATAGTTTTCTTTTTGTCTGACCCTTTGTTACTTTAATTTTACATACAAGGAAACCACGCAGCTGCAAGGGTTTCCACCGTGATTTTCTACTTGACCATGTGTATTCCGGAGTGAGCTGCTGCTGGCAGTGCTTGCCCAAGGTTGTCCTGTCTTACCCTTCGTGCTCAGTTTTCTTCTGACTTCCACATTCAGGGTTTGAAAGAACACTAATGGGATGCTTTCATTGGTGTTTCATGCTTGTCTGATAAAACACCATTTCTGTATACTCTTCACACAGTGCTTTTTAAAAAATCGCATTTTAATGTTTAATACAATGGTGAGGGAGTTGCAGACCCGTGTGGGCCTCTGATTATCCAGTTAGGGCGGAGAGTGTTGGGGTGAAGGAGGTGGGATGTTCGCTCCGGTGTTCCCTGAGGGGTGGGTGAGGAGAAAGTGCCCGTCCTGTTCAGGCTACGTCAGCACCTGGGGCCTAGGTTGATGTTGCCTTGGAGACCCAGTGAGGTGTTGCTACGTCAGCACCTGGGGCCTAGGTTGATGTTGCCTTGGAGACCCAGTGAGGTGTTGCGTGAGTGCTCTTGATTGTTCTGAGGATTGGTTGGTTTTGTTGCCCCAGAGGTGAGGAGTTCTAAGGCCTGTTGCCTGTCCTCGTCTACCTCAGCGTGCCTGCAGACCTAAGTCTTAGGTGCTTGCTTTAAAGCCTGGCCTGGATTGTCCTTTTACCTGTCCTGCTTTTCATCCTTTGAAGAGACACCCAGGGTCCTCTTGGCTTAGGTGAACCAGCGATCTTGTCTTTCATGTGTGTCTGGGTATCCTCTTCGTTCTTGCATGGGAGTCAGCAGCTGAGGTGGCCCAGTCCTGCAGCATGCGCACAGGGTCAGACCACAGGTCTGTGTAATTTTCTCTGAGGTCAGGGATCGAGCACAACGGTCCAGCTGGGAAGCCCCCGGAGAAACCTCGCCTGGGAAGTCCTCAGCCCTAGCCCTCGTGCGCTGTCTGGTGCAGGGTCAGGCCCAGCCCACTGCCTGCACAGCCAGTGCGTGTACTGGTGGATAGGTGCAGCTGCCTTTCCAGTGCTGAGACCTGGCCCAGCCCAGCCACCTGCCTGCCCTCTGCCCCATTGCTGCCTGCTGTGTGCGCTGACAGGTGCACACCGTGCTTTTGATCCCAGATATGTGGACTATTACACACCAGGCAATTCTCCAACAGACTCCAAGTGGGCTTCCTGTGGTTTAACTTCATTCTGATAGTAATGATTTAAAGGCAACTTCAGAGCTTAAGGGCTTAGCCCCACAGGGCTGCTCCCACTTCAGATAGCCGTGGCATGGCCCAGGTTATGACTAGTACTTGCTACTGACCCACAGTCAGTTAGCGTTGCTGTGTCCCCGCACCCTCTCAGGTGACTTAGAGAACTCAGGACAGCAGTTCTTGTAGCACTAGCAGTTCATTATAAAGGGTTCAGGTGACATGTCAGCGAGATCCCCCCTGCCCCTTACCAAGTCTTCAGTAACCTGGATGCTTAACAGATTTCATTATTCAGAAGTCTTTATAGCGGCTGTTCCCCTGCCCGTCGCGCAGAGGCTGTAGGGTCGGCCTGGAAGTTCCACCCCTGCACTCCTCCGGTCGCTGGTGACAGCCGTGCTGAGGCTGTCGGAGGGGCTCACCCTGTGTCAGCTCATTTCAGTGAACAGTCACACAGCCTAGTGAGGAAGAGCCACGTTCGCGGCGTGGGCATGACATTGTGACCAAACAGGGAAGTGGAAGAAAGGGAAGTGGCCAGATGCTGACAGGCTTCCAGAGAGGGCTGTCCTGGGAGAGCAGGCGGCGGCTCCTGCATCAGGTGCCTGTCATCTTCAGGTGCCCAGGTCTGTGGCCTCCAGGCTGTTTTGATTTGTTCTCTTCATGTGCGTGTTAATCTGCACAGTGTTGTGGCACTGATGGAACAGGATGGATTGTAACGGAGCACTGGGTCACATGCTTGCGGCTGTGTGGGGCTGGATGTGCTAGCTCAAGGTAATTAAATGTTCTTCGTCACAGCTTGTTGCCACAAACTTTTTCATTCTTGTGACACATTCAATAACCATATTTTCTTTCCTGTCACATCAAGCAGAATTTTTTTTTTAAAGATTTATTTTGTGTTTGTTAGAAAGTCAGATATACAAAGAGAAGGAGAGACAGAAAGGAAAATTCTCTGTCAGATGATTCACTCCCCAAGTGACTGCAACAGCCGAAGCTGTGCCGACCCGAAGCCAGGAGCCCGGAGCTCCTTCAGGTCTCCCATGTGAGTTCTGGATCCAAAGCTTTGGGCCATCCTCAACTGCTTTCCCAGGCCACAGGCAGGGAACTAGATAGAAAGTAGGATGACTGAGATTTGAACCAGCAACTGTATGGGATCCTGGCACATTCAAGTGACTTTAGCTGCTAGACTACTGCACTGGGCCCAAGAGGAATCTATTTTACAGTTCTGTGTCTAAAACTCACACTGGATTTTTGTACCTGCCTATATCTAGCTTTTAGTGACTTTGTGTCACTTACAGTATGAAGCTCAGCTTCCTAAGGTGCCACATATAATACATTGTCACAGACTGGACGGCTTAAAACAACAGACATGCTTTCTCTAGATTGGAGGCCAGAAGCTGGAAGTCAAGGTCTGTGGGCTGATTCCTTGCACAGGTTCTGGGAGAGGAAGCTTCTGCCTGAGTCCTTGTTCTCTTGGTGCTTGACTGGTGTTCCTTGACTCTGCCTCCAGCTTCACGTGCTCTTCTTCCTGTGTGCCTTTTTTACTTCTATTAAAAATTGTTTAGAGCAGGCCTGGCGCATAGCCTGGTGGCTGAAGTCCTCATCTTGCTAGTGCCAGGATCCCATATGGGAGCTGATTCATGTCCTGGCAGCCCTGCTTCCCATCTAACTCCCTGCTTGTGGCCTGGGAAGGCAGTCGAAGATGGCCCAAAGCCTTGGGACCCTGCACCCATGTGGGAGACCTGGAAGAAGCTCCTGGCTCCTGGCTTTGGATCAGCGCAGCACTGGCTGTTGCGGCCGATTGGGGAGTGAATCAACAGATGGAAGATCTTCCTCTCTGTCTCTCCTCCTCTCTGTATATCTGACTTTCCAATTAAAAAAAAAATTGTTTAGGGCCCAGTGTGGTAGCCTAGTAGCTAAATATTTGCCTTGCGTGCATTGGGCACTGGTTCATGTCCCAACTGCTCCACTTCCCATCCAGCTCCCTGTTTGTGGCCTGGGAAAACAGTAAACGACAGTCCAAAGCCTTAGGACCCTGCTCCCCCTGGGAGACCCAGAAGTTCCTGTCTCCTGGCTTTGGATTGGCTTACCTGCGGCTGAGGAGGCCACTGGGGAGTGAGCCAGCAGACAGAAGATCTTTCTCTATGTGTCTACTTCTCTCTGTACATCTGCCTTTCCAATAAAAAATAAATCTTGTTTCAAAAGCTTAAAAATTTTATGTGTATCTATATCTATCTATATATCTACTTGAGTGATGCACATGCATTGCGTACACACACACACACACACACACACACACACACACACACACACACGCGCGCGCGCGCAGATAGCAATCTTCTGTCAGCTGGCTTCTCCCTGCAGTGACCCGGGGGAGCCACAGCAGAGCCGGGAGGCTGGGACTCCGTCTGCGTCTTGCTGTGGGGAGCAGGGCCCAAGCACCAGGTGAGCCAGGGTAGGCCCTCAGACTCAGCTGACTGCCACAGCCCCTCCATTTCCCCCTTCTAAAAGGGTACCAGTCAGCACACTAACCTGGTGTGATGCTGTTTTAACTTAGTACATACGCAGAGATCTGATTTTCTTTTTCTTTTTTTTTTTTTTTTTAAGATTTATTTATTTTTATTACAAAGTCAGATATACAGAGAGGAGGAGAGACAGAGAGGAAGATCTTTTGTCCGATCATTCACTCCCCAAGTGACCACAGTGGCTGGTGCTGTGCCGATCCGAAGCCAGGAGCCAGGAACTTCTTCCGCGTCTCCCACATGGATGCAGGGTCCCAAAGCTTTGGGCCGTCCTCGACTGCCTTCCCTGGCCACAGGCAGGGAGCTGGATGGGAAGCGGGGCTGCTGGGATTAGAACTGGCGCCCATGTGGCAGGCTTTGCATTAGACTCAGGCTTTTCTTCCTGTTCTTCTACTTGCCTAAAATTTATACATCTTTTGACACTCATTTTTTTTAAAGATTTATTTTTTTTATTGGAAAGTCAGATATACAGAGAGGAGGAGAGACAGAGAGGAAGATCTTCCTCCTATCTATTGCGTCAATCCTGGCTGGGCCAATCCAAAGCCGGGAGCCAGGAACTTCCTCCAGGAGCTTTTTCTAGGTCTCCCACATGGGTGCAGGGTCCCAAGGCTTTGGGCCATCCTTGACTGCTTTTCTGGCCACAAGCCGGGAGTTAGATGGGAAGTGGGACCGCTGGGATTAGAACCGGTGCCCATATGAGATCCTGGCACCTGTGAAGTGAGGCTTTTAGCCACTAGGCTACCTTGCCAGGCCCTTGACACTCATTTGTACAGAGACATTTTTTTTTTGTTGGTAGCAACTTAGAATTTCTTTCTCTGTTTCTTCTGTAATTATTTCATGATTTCGTGGCACATTTGTACCCCAAGTTGGCTAGGATTTGAATACCGTAAAACTGTATTTCTTTACTTTTTAAAACCTGTTGGCAGAGAAACAGACACAGAAACAGACAGCAGTCTTGCATTTGCTGGATCGCCCTCCAGCTGCCTGCAGTAGCTGGCACTAGACCAGAGAGAAGCCTAAGATGAACTGTTCTGTCTCGGTCACCTCGTTGAGGGGCAGGCAGCCAAATCCTTGAGCCGTCATCTGTTGCCTCTCCGAGCCTGCTGGGGCAGGAAGCTGGAGTCAGGGGCAGAGCGGTGACTGGAACCTGGGTCCTCGCTGTGGGCTGCAGGTGGCTCTTGCAGCATTCTAGCCACTGTACCAAACATGCCAGACCTGTATTTAATGTAGTGTATCCCCAAGACCTTGAACATTTCCTGATGTGTGATGGCACAAGTGGTTTGTGAAATGAATCTGTATTCATGATTGGAGACAGTCATCTATTTTCTCCCTTGTTTTCAGGTACAGAAACTAATGCGGAAAAAGCAATTAGATGTGGAAGAGTTTAGCATCTATTGGGATGTTGATTGCACTTTGCTGGGGGATCTGCCGCAGGTGGAGCTGCAGGTAGGTGTGGTGAGGGCTCTGTTGAGGGGAGGCAGTCTGGAGGCCATGCTGTGGCATCAGGCCTTTGTTCCCAGTGTGCCCTGATTCCTGTGCCCACACTTCATCCACAGACGTCTGCCTGCCCTCTGGGCTCGCCTGAAGTATCTGCTCTGTCTGCAGCTTTGAAAAGTATGCAGTTTTTAGATGTGTATGTTTTCAATTTATGTTAGAGCATAGGTGTTTTAGGGTTTTTCCCTCATAAAGCTCTGTTTTTACAATACTTTTGTTTTCTACTTGTAGTTCATTGCTTGTTACTGCTGCAAATATTGTAAATGTCACAGTTATCCATTCTGTTAGCCACATGTACTAGCATCCAGAATGCCAGTAAAGAAATCATCTGAAGTGATTCTTTTTTTAAAAAGATATTTAAGGAAAGGAAAGGAGGAGGGAGCAGAGAGAGAGAGAGAGAGAGAGAGAGAGAGAGAGAGATCGAGATCGCAGGTGCAATTTGGAAACAGGAGCGTTCCTATTTGTATTGAAACTTGATCTCCAGTCACATTCCTCTAAGAGATACTTGGGAAGATGTAAACCATTGACTGTGAAATATTAGAGAAAGTTAAAGAAAAATCTCAGTTTAATCTTTTTGTGAAGAAATTATAGGTGGTTTAAATGAAATGGGAAGAAATGACTGGTTCCCGATACCCCAGGCTGTCTTGGCTTTGTGTATTATCATCCTGAGAGGTTTTTTTTTTGCTAATTCTGTTAGGTGAATACTCAGCCATACAGTGGAACAATATGAAGCTGTGAAAAAATAAACAGGTTTCTATGATAGCTATGTAACAGTTCTGAGATTCCCGGAGATTTAAGAGCCTAGGACAAAACTGTACAACATTTGTAGAAGAAAACAGCAATCCTGGACGTGCCCACACCGCGCAGGAGGCGTGTAAGGGAGGGCGGAGAGCTGGCCTTTGAGCAGGGGGAGGCTCGCTGGGGAGTGAGCAGGAAAGGGAACTTTCCCCTCATTTTGCCCTTTCCTTTTAAACCGAGAATGAAGTAGGACTGGGTTAAGAAACAAGCAATTTTTATAAAAACATTATAAAAAACCTTTTAGAACCAAATTATATGATTTTTAAATTGTGATATGATAGATTAGACCCTCTTTCACCTGTAACTTGATCCTAGAAACATTGGCCTAGCTTGGCTGTTTCTGCACAGACCCCCAGCATTATGAAAGAATGGCGAGTAGAAGGAAAAGTCTGATGTGCTTGCGCCCCCCAGGAGGCCATGGCCAGGAGTGCCGACAGTCGCTGTCACCGCTATGTCCTGGAGCCCGTGTGTGCATCTGCTCTCCTGAAGAGAAACTGCTCCAAGGAGCCACTGCGGTCTCGGCACAGGCCCCGCATCGAGTGTGACATTCAGCTGGAAACCATCCCCTTGAAGCTCTCTCAGGTGTCCTGGGGCCCCGAGGGCTTGCGTGCCCTCTGTCGGTGGGTGGAAGGACAAACGTCGGGAGAATGTGCTTAGCACTTAATGTACTCTCAGGAAAGACCGTCCGTGAGAGCATTTTCTGCCTGCCCAAGCTTGTTAGGCGTGTGTCCACTTCTCTGTTGACAGTTCAATGGGATTATCTCAAGTTCATTTTGATTGAATTTAGATGCTGAGTGAAGTAGGGAAGAACTATAGCAAATGTAAATGAGTCCTGAACTGTCATTATCCAGAGACAAGACCTGTGATGCTGTTGTCTTGCTTCTAGCTTGTACTGGGTTTCATTTAAGTGGCTTGGTGAAAACGGATTGTTCTTGTTAGATAAAAGGTGTAACAGAGTAAAAGAAACAAATCTTTCCTAACTCAGTGTATCTTAATCTCTGATAAAAAGCTACAGTATCGGCAAATCATGGAATTTCTCAAGGAGCTGGAGCGAAAAGAGAGGCAGGTGAAGTTCCGAAAGTGGAAACCCAAAGTGGCGGTATCAAAGAAGTAAGGGCTTGTGTGTGTTGTATGTCTGATGTGTTTTACAGCATGCTGTTGTCTGTACCTGCATCAGAAATAGCCTCGGGGCTCTTTCACAGGATCCATACATTTGATTTATGTTTGATAAAATACAGTTGATAGTCCTTAAAATGCTTTTCTGTTATCATTATTGATACTGTATGTTTATTTGATTGCTGTACTTAATTCAGTGTAATGAAATTCAGAAAACCCTGCCAGTCTTATTTAGCAAGTAGAATGGTAAGACCTGCTGTGTAGTAAGCACCTTGCAGCTTTTGCTTGCTTGAGTCTTCTCGGCATTAACATAGTCAACATTTCAATTTACATAACAAAAGTAAGTATATTTTCATGCTTCAGTGATAACAGTAGTAAGCTTGGACAGTAATATGTTAAAAGTTCCTAAAATTTCCAGTTCTTTTCTTGGCATTTACTTTTAAATTTTAAATCCTTAAAGGATTATTCATTTGAAGCACTCAGAGAGAGTGAAAGAGAGGTCTCCTATCCACTGATTTACTCCCTAAATGGCCGTAGTGGCTGGAGTGAGCCAGGAACTCCCTTGGTCCACCATGTGGTGACCGGGCCTGTCGTATTTGGTCCAACTGCTGCTGCTTTCCCAGGTGCATCAGCAGGGAGTGGTGGTCGAGTGGAGCAGTTGGGCATTGAAGTAGTGCCCATGAAATGCCAACGTCTGGCAGCAGTTTAACAGGCTCCTCTATAAGACCAACCTGTGAAGTCCCTAGTTTTAAAATCTTTAGTAGTTAAGTCCCTGATGATTATTTCAAGATATATTTACCTTATGGTAGTTGAGTTTCTGTCATTGGAGGGGACTGATACTATGGGTAATTCAGACCATTTGAATCCTGTGCTACTGTGGATTTATGTGGGGAGCTATTATTTGATATTCTTAGGTGACAGATTTACTTTCCCCATGTGTTGGATTCACCTTGATATTACAATGAACTTGGGAGATAAACTGATGACTGGTGGGGAGAGATATTTTGGGAAGGAGTGGTGGTACATGGATTGTCCTGAATTGAGTGTTTTGGTTGTTTTTATTGTGAGAAATAATTTTATTGCTGTGGTCTCCCTTAGCTGCCGAGAATGGTGGTATTTTGCTTTGAATGCCAACCTGTATGAAATCAGAGAGCAGAGGAAGCGTTGTGCCTGGGACTTCCTGCTGCATCGCGCCCGTGATGCTGTATCCTACACTGACAAGTATTTCACCAAGTTAAAGGGAGGCTTGCTGTCTGCAGGTGACAAGGTGAATAGACTGGAGCCTTATGTTTCTTGCCTTCATTTGGATGGTAAGAGTGTTCTCTCAAAGACTGGTAAGGTTGCAAACTGTGACGACATAAAATACCTTTCCAGGAACAGAGGGAGAGAGAGAGACAGAATGAGAGAGTTCTGCTGGTTTACTCCCCACATGCACTTACGGCTGGGCCAGGCCAAATCCAGAAGCCCAGAATTCCATCTGGGTCTCCCATGTGGGCAGCAGAAACTGCAGGTGCAGTAGTAGCAATCTGGGTTGGAAACAGTGGTGTAACTCAATCTCAGGTACTCTGGTATGGCGTGCATGTGTGCCCAGCGACAGCACAACCCAGTGTGCAAGAGCTCCCACCCCAAGAACTTCTTGGGGGGCCCCTATTCATGTATTGATCGTTAACACCCTCCCACTCTGCTGCCTGGGAGAGCCAACCTATGAGTGAGAGGAAGCCAGCATGCCTGTGTCCCGCCATGACCTGTGCCTTCCCTCCACGGCTCTGTGGGCGCAGAGCCTTGTTCACGGGACCCTCATTCTTTTTCTCTGAAATATGTGAGTGACCTTTTCAGACTTTGATCCACGTGTCTGCAATCCCCTAGTTTCTGGTGATTGAGACACAAGAGAAGCTCTTGTTTGGGCTGTAGGCTGGAGTCCCCTGCCCTGGCCCTCCTGGAGTCCTGGCAGGGGACCCCCCTCTTTGGTCTGTCTGTCCTTGCTCAAGGCATGGCATTGGGGGTTGCTTTGCTCTTTGATTTGCAGTTGTGTGTAGTAGTATTTTAGAGCATTCCAGGTGTTTGGGCTCAGATGATATCTCTAAGAACTTAATGTTCTCTTCACACTCCTTGGGTGATGGCCAGGCTGGCTCTCTATGTAAAAACCACTCACTTAGTTTACGCTTTTCCCTTTAGTGTTGATGTGGGTGCTAATGTAGGAACCTCATGAAAAACATGGGGCAATCCAGACTGTTTGTTTTGATTGGCCTTCCTCTCTTTTTAAAAATATTTATTTATTTATTTAAAAGACAGAGTTGCAGAGAGAGATGGAGAGACAGAGGGATCTTCTGTCTGCTGGTTCACTCTCCACATGTCCCAATGGCCAGGCTTGGTGTGGCTGAAGCTAGAAGCTAAGAGCTTCATCTGGGTGTCCCATGTGGGTGGCAGGGGCCCAGACACTTGGGCTATCTGCTGCTTTTCTCAGACCCTTAACAGAGTTTATTGGAAGTGGGACAGTTGGGACGAGGCATGTGGGATCAGGTGGTAGCTTAACCCACTTTGCCACAACAACAGTGCCCTGTAAGGTTTTCTTAAAGGTATGGGAAAGACATGAAGGGAGAGAAAAATCTAAGCTACTACTAAGGTAGACAAGTGTAAGTATGTGATTTCTTTAGTGTTGGGATATAAGAGCAGGTTAAGATAACTGAATTAGGTAAGGTAGCTAAGTTGTTTTCTTTTTATATGGACATGTGGCTGGCTACCATTGCTTTTATCTGAGTATGCTGAAATGATCATTTCTGGGAGCAGTGATGTGCGTGACGGGTAAAGCTGCCACATGCCACACAGGCATCCCATACAGCACCAGAGCGGGTCCTGGTGGCTGCACTTCTCATCTCCTGCTCATGCGCTTGGAAAAAGGGTGGAAGATGGTCCAAGTCCTTGGGTCCCTGCACCTATGTAGGAGATCCTTGATGAAGGTCCTGGCTCCTGGCTTTGGTCTGGCTCAGCTCTGGCTGGTGTGGCCTTTTGGGGAGTGAGCCAGCAGATGGGAGATCTCTGTTTGTCTTCTCTGTCTCTGTCTGTGTCTCCTCTCTCAGTACCTCTCTCAAATCAATAAAATAAAGAGATGATAGTGTCCTGCTCGTATCCCGCGTGAAACAGAGGGGCTGGGGGCCTGCCCGCGCTTGTGTGAGCTTGCTCCTGAGTTTCCTCCTCTGCAGGTGGGGAGCGTGGTCTCCCGCTGAGCAGAGTCCGTGCAGCAGGCAGTCTGTGAACTGCATCTTTGCTGTGCCTGGGATGGAACTGTGAGGCAGTGCTTGCTGTGGCATTCTGCTGCTGCTTCTCTGCTTCCCAGCAGGCCTAGGCACTGCAGGACTTGTCAGTGAGGTTCTGGAGGGTGATTGAAATCTCTTGGGATGCATGGAAAACTGGTTAAGCAGAAACTGCAGTCATAGCACTGCTTTGTTCTTGGCTTCCTGCAGCGATGGTGGGGGCCAGATGGGTTTGTTTGTGGTCTTGTAGTTGGTGAGGTTGTAGGGACAGCATCCATTTTGGCTTCTTTCTCCTTTCACCTCTTCAGGAGGAAATGTATCGGATTGAAGAGGAACAGAGCTTTGAGGAACTGAAGATTTTGCGTGAACTGGTTCATGATCGATTTTACAAACAAGAAGAGCTAGCAGAGGTAAGCAGTGCTCTGTGAGAAGGTGTGTTGCTGTGCTGCTGGGGACACGTGGCAGCTGTGGCTCAGCACAGCTTGCCTCTCTCCTTGGGCATGCGTGTTTACTCCCCTGTGATTATTGACAGAGTCTACGAGAGCCTCAGCTCGATTCTCCTGCAGACTCTCCCGGAGCTCCGGAAGCCGGTGGAAGCAGTGGCATGCTGCAGTATCTTCAGTCGTGGTTTCCTGGCTGGGGTGGCTGGTCCGGGCAGCCAAGCCCTGAAGGCAAAGCTGTGGAGGGGCTGTTGGCAGAGCCTCCTGAGCACTGGGCTCCCGAGGAGCTCCTGGGTATGTGGAGCTGCCTGCACCCTGGGCCTCTGGGGAGCGCTTGGCTCATATGAACTGGCCTATTAGCCAGGCAGTGACTTTCAGCCTGTGTAAAGTCTAACGGAAATAGACATTTAGAAAATCATGTGTCATGTTCACAGAGGCAGAGGGAGTTATTAGGAGACCCTCCATTTGCAATTCCGTCACTGAATAGGAATGCTGGTTAGTTTCAGGTGGATCTGCATGTCAGTGATTGTAAGAGAACTAATGTTAGGAAGTTCAGAAATTCTTTTTTGAGGATTTATATAAGGAATAAAATAGACACACACACACAGAATCTTCCATCTCCTGATTTGCTCCCCAAATGGCTGTGATGCCAGGCTGTGCCAGGCTGAAGCCAGGAGCCCAGAACTCCATCCGGGTCTTTCATGTGGGTTGCATTGCCCTTTGTACCTAGGCAACCTTCTGCTTCTTTCCCAGAAGCATTATTATTGGGGAGCTGGATCTGAAGTGGAGCAGCTGGGGTTCAAACTGGTGCCCATATGGGCTGACACCATTGCAAGTGGCAACTTAAATTAACGTAATATTCCAGAACACTGGCCCTAGTTAAAAAAAAAAAAAAAAAACTCTGAAGTTTGAAGACTAGAGCATTCTTCTTTTTTTCTTTCTTTCTTTCTTTTTTTTTTGTTATATTATTTTTTATTAATTACATTGCATTATGTGACACTGTCTCATAGGCTCTGGGATTCCCCCAACTCCTCCCCATACCATTTCTTTAAAGATTTATTTGAAAGTCAGAGTTAGAGGGAGGGGAAGACAGAAAGAGATCTTCCATTCACTGGTTCACTGCCCTCCTTCCAACCCCCCAGATAGCTGTAACAGCCAGAGCTGGGCCAGTCCAAAGCAGGAGCCAGGAATTTCCTCTGGATCTCTGGCAGTGGGTGTAGGGGTCCAAGAACTTGGGCCATCTTCAGCTGCTTTCCTACACACATTAGCAGGGAGCTGGATTAGATGTGAAGCAGCTGGGACTTGAACCTGTGCCTATGTGGGACCCGCGCTGCAGGCTGTGGCTTTACCCACTGCATCACAGGATTGACCCCCAGAGCACTCTTTAGATCTGTGCTGTCCAGTGTGGTAGCCAAAGCCACAAATGGTTGCTTGATTGAAGTTAAATGAAAGTGAAAGTTCAGTTCTGTGTTTGCACTAGCCTTGTAAGCACATGTGCCCAGAGTGCCCGTGGGTGATGTAGAATCGTTTCACTCTGTGGGCATAACTGTTCTCAGCTTTGCCCTGCTGTGATCTTTCCTCCTGGGTTTGATAAGTTGATGAGGACGCCTCAAGAACCTTGGGGTGTGCTTCATTGGCAAGTCCTCCCCCATGGTTTGGGCGTTCTTTCCTAGAGAAATGCCCAGTAGCATCGTCAGAATCGTGCCTAGTTGTGCCTTTTTCCTCTCCTGTGTTTTTTCTCAAAGGCTTTTCTTCTTTACTGTTCAGGCACCGAGGAGTTTTTCGACCCCACTGCCGATGCCTCGTGTCTGAACACATACACAAAGCGCGACCATGTCTTTGCCAAGCTGAATTTGCAGCTGCAGCGAGGTACGGTGACACTGTCACACGAGGAGCAAGGCACGCCTCACGTGAGCGAGAGTGCGTTCATGCAGCTCGAGTTTTCAGGTACTGCCCCAAGAACTACCTGCTGCTGCTTCCATATCCAGTGATTGTCACGGTGTGCAGCACGTGGCAGTACATGCCGAGTGCTCCTGGGGAGACCCTGCTGGGTCCCTGCCAGCCTCTGGGTGTTACGAGTCTCAGCTGACCTGGGTCTGACTTGTTTATTTTAGGATGTGCTTGTGGTTTAAGGAGTGGTTCTTTAATATCTAGTTATCTATCTCTAGCTGATTTGTTAGTATTAAACTCACGGCCAGTAACCCTGTCACTCATGCCCTCACACAGCGTGTACCTATTTTCTCTGAAAGACATATCACTTAGGAGCTTTTAGGAGTACTAGGCAGCAAGCACTTCAGAGCTATGTTTGGGACCTTTTCTTAAAAAAAGATTTATTTTATTTTTATTGCAAAGTCAGATATACAGAGATGAGAAGAGACAGAGAGGAAGATCATCCATCCAAGCGGCCGCAGTGGCCGGAGCTGAGCCAGTCCAAAGTCAGGAACCTGGAGCCTCTTCCAGGTCTCCCATGCGGGTGTAGAGTCTCAAGGCTTTGAGCTGTCCTTGACTGTTTTCCCAGGCCACAAGCAGGGAGCTGGATGGGAAACAGGGCTGCCGGGATTAGAACTGGCACCCATCTGGGATCCCGGTACGCTCAAGGCAAGGACCTTAGCCATTAGGCTACCATGCCGGGCCCTGTGTGGGATCTTTTCAAAACAAACTCACCTACAAAAAGCATGGATGTGTGAAAAACTTGGCTCTCCATAGACAGGAAAAGGGGATTTGTTTATTGCGTGAGAGCTGAAATAAGACAGCAGACAGACTGTTTCTGTGTTTACACTTAGTTGGGCATGTGCATTTCCGGGGCCCAAAGTTCTGACAGCTCTGTGAGTGTCCAAATGATTGGGAAGGCACCATGAGTCTTGGTTTTAAGGTTACAGTGGATTTCAGGGAGTAGGCAGATGTGCGTGTATGGACTCTGGGAATAATGAGGGTCAGGCTATGCTCGACTTTTAAAAGATTTATGTATTTATTTATTTAAGATTTATTTATTTTATTTGGAAAGTCAGAATTATAAAGAGAGTAGAGACAGCGAGAGGTCTTGCATCCACTGATTCACTCCCTGAATGGCTGCAGTGGCCAGAGCTGGGCCAGTCCTTATCCAGGAGCCAAGAGCTTCTTCCAGTCTCCATGTGGCAGGAGCCCAAGAACATGGGTCATTCTCTGCTACTTTCCCACACCATCAACATGGAGCTGGGCCAGGAAGTAGAGCAGCTGGGACGTGAACTAGTGCCCATGTGGGATACTGATGCTGACAGGTAGGGGATTTGTCACTATGTCAGCACCCCTGTATTTGACTTTTTTTTTTTTTTAAGTTTTATTTATTTTACTGGAAAGTCAGATTTACAGAGAGGAGAGACAGAGAGAAAGATTTTCTATCGGTTGGTTCACTCCCCAAGTGGCCAAAGTGACCAGAGCTGAGGTGACCTGAAGCTAGGAGCCTCTTCTGGGTCTCCCAGTGTAAATGTAGGGTCCCAAGGCTTTGGGCTGTCCCTCCATTGTCTTCTGAGGCCACAAGCAGGGAGCTGGAAGGGAAGTGGAGTAGCTGGGACACGAACCAGCGCCAATACTGGATTCCGGTGCATGCAAGGCAAGGATTAAGCCACTTGGTTTCTGCACCAGACTCTATTTGACCTTTTTTTTTTTTTTTTTTCAGTTTATTTGAAAGGTAGTTAGAGAGGGACAGACTCCCCAAATGCTTGCAGTGGCCGGAGCTAGGCCAGGCTGAAGCCAGGAGCCTGGCACTCTGTTGATGTGGGAACCAAGCATTTGAACTGTCCTTTGCTGCTTTCCCAGGTGCATTGGCATAGCACTGGATTGGATATGAATGAAGCACCTGGGACTTGAACCATCACTCACAGGGGAGGCCAACATTGCAGGCAGTGGCTTTACTGCCTTAGCCATGTCCTTTGACTGCTTGCTTGCTTTTTAAAAATTTTTGTAAGATTTATTTATTTATTTATTTTAATTGGAAAGGCAGAAATACAAAGAGGAGATAGAAAAATTTTCTGTCCACTAATTCACTCCCCTAGTGACGATAACAACCTGAGCTGAGCTGATCCGAAGCCAGGAGCCAGGAGCTTCTTTCAGCTCTCCCACGTGGGTGCAGGGTCCCAAGGCTTTGAGTCATTCTCTACTGCTCTTCCTGGCTACAAGCAGGGAACTATACGAGAAGTGGAGCAGCCGGGACACGAACTGGCGCCCATGTGGGATCTTGGCATGTACAACGTGAGAACTTAGCTACTGGGGCATCGCATCAGGCCCACTGTAAAAGATTTTAAGATCTATACACATGCAGGGTCTTCCAAAAAATCTCGTGGAGAAAGCATTTTACAGAAAATATTTGCTTCAACTCAACAGTTTCTTTGATCAAATATTTTTAACTGCATATTTTGGGAAAATTTTTTGAAGTAACTTCAGTTTTTATGGGGTTCTAATTTCAAAGAAAAATAGGTTGTAATACCTATGATACCCAGTAGTCCTTGCCAATATTATTTCTAACACTTTCAAAAAAGCAGCCTGCATTGCATAGTGTCAGTGCTCTGTTTTTCTTTTGTAGATGTGAAATTGCTGGCAGAATCTCTACCTCGAAGACACTCATCTTTGCTTTTAGTCCGGCTGGGGGGACTGTTTCTTCGAGACCTGGCTACGGAAGGAACCATGTTTCCCCTTCTGGTCTTCCCTAACCCAGTACGTACCACAGTGGGAGGGCTCACATGGGGTGTTGTGTTATTGTGGTGTGTTTTAGGCGAATGATAAGCAACATTAAGCTGATTGATTGTGGTATTTGATCACCTGGACTGGGTAGAGTGGGGTTGGAAAGTTTTTTTTGAATTAGCTAAGAGCTGTTGGGAAGGTCAGGGTTAGGCTCTCTCTCTCCTGTGTTGTGTTTTCATGGAGTAGTTTACTCTGACTTGGAAGAAAATTCCATAGACACCACTTCTTGCATTTGTGTCCTCTAATTCTGACAGTCAATTTCACTGTGACTCTGTGATATAATCTCATTTTCCTGGCTTACAAAAAAGAACCATTCCAAATTTTTTACGCGTGTGTAGCTTTTATTTTACATAATTAGTATTAATTATGAAATATACGATTTTGTTAAGTTAGCAAATATACTGATCCAGATAATTGAGTATATCTTGAGTTGGGTTTAGAAGGCATGGGGAAGGCCATGGAGAGGGTAGGAGGTCCAGACTTCAGCTTTGGGAAGCTCTGCATTTTGACTGTGTGTTTAGCACATGTCTGTTGAGGATGCTGAGAGCAGAGCAGTGCGCTGGCAGGGCAGAAGCAGAGTCTTGGCTTGAGAGAAGGGTACACATTGGATCAATCTGCCAGAACTCCATAGTGTGAGGGCACTTAATTGGGACCTGCTTGTGCTGAGTGGGAGGGATGCAAAAGGGTTAAACGTTTGTGTCTATAGCAGTATAAAGTGAGTTGTCCCCGTTCCCCGACATTGATGCCGCTCTATGTGTGTTTAACAGCAGAAAGAAGTTGGCAGAGTCTCACAGTCTTTTGGTCTTCAGGCCACATCGACAGACAGAAGTGATCAATATGTTGGTAATTTATCATACTAATTTATCTTAAAAATACTATGATTTCAGAGCAGTATCTTGATGAGTAGTAAAAGAGGCAACATTTTGTGCCCCCTGTGTAGTAATTTTGCACGTGACTCCAGGATTAGCCTGGAGACAGCTTGGTATGTTCCCAGAAAGGCCGTGAAGATGGGTGTAGCAGGAGGTACCCCAGATCCTTGGTTTCTGTAGAGGAAGCCAGTGCCTCGGCCCAGGCCGCGTGATTTCCGGTGGGATGGGGCCAGTGCTCAGGGTCTGTGTTTGGAAGAGTTCGTGAATGTGAACAAAGTGGAGAGCAAGTTGGGAAATGTCTTTTTCTGCATTTCTCACAGTTCTGTTCAGCATAAGGTGTTTGCTTTGCTGTCTTCCCTGTTCTCTCCTTTAGCTGCACATCCGGATGACCCCGTTTTTGAGATGCTGTATGAGAGAAACCCAGCACACAGCCACTTTGAGAGGCGACTGAACGTCAGCACGAGGCCCCTGAACATCATATACAATCCGCAGGCCATCAAGAAAGTAGCTGACTTTTTCTACAAGGGAAAGGTTCATACCTCAGGTTAACTTTTTTGCTTGATCTTTTGTTACTTTAAAAAACCTCTGTCTTGTCCTGTCTGGTGCTCTGGCCCAGGGCTGCTGTCCTGGACGGCCTGGGAGTGGCAGAAAAGACCTACTCAATGAGGGAGGATCAGCCTTAGTTACTGCCTCATGCGCTCAGTCTCTAGGGGAAGTCGTATCCTTACGTATTTTCTGCTTGTCTCTTTCCACTTGCTATTTTTTTTTTTTTTTCATCATACTTCTCATTCTATTCTAAGGCAGTTTCTTTGATAACTAAAATAGTTTAAACCAATGAACTGAGGATGTTAGAGAATTTCCTTCTGGGTGACAGGCTCAGTAGTCTCTTAGTTATGTGGTGCAGCATTAAGTACTGCCAACTTCCGAATGTCATCAGTGATTGATGGATTTTTTTTTTTTTTTTATTATTTTTTCATTGGAAAGACGGATATACAGAGAGGAGAGACAGAGAGGAAGAGCTTCCGTCCGATGATTCACTCCCCAAGTGAGCGCAACGGGCCGATACTATGCCGATCTGAAGCCAGGAGCCTCTTCCGGGTCTCCCACGCGGGCGCAGGTTCCCAAAGCTTTGGGCCGTCCTCGACTGCTTTCCCAGGCCACAGGCAGGGAGCTGGAAGGGAAGCGGGGCCGCCGGGATTAGAACCGGCGCCCATATGGGATCCCGGGCGTGCGAGGCGAGGACCTTTAACCACTTGCGCCACCGCGCCGGGCCCGATTGATGGATTTTTGTCTCCCTGTTCCCCAGGAAGATTTGAGACAATACAAACAGTAAAAGCACTTTGACGCTGGAGGGGCATGTGAGGAGCATCAATAAACCAATTGTATTTTTCTGAAATGTATTCTCTCCTGCCTTCATAATGATGAAACCATTTTAGTGTCATGTAAGCAGGAGCTCCCATTGTCATGGCTTCTTTTCTGTCTCACTGATAGGGAAAGCATTCCCTTCTGGATTTCATTTTCCTTCAGTGTAATGACCTGCTCCCTAAAGGTCTGGAGATAGTTTGGAATCTTTTAGAAAATGGTTTGTGAGAGTGTGGTATCTCAAGTCCCTTTCCCTTGAACCTCTCCCAGCTGCTGCACACTTTGGCCCTGTGTTATGCCAGGTCCCATTGGAGTAAGGAGCTGTTGTTGGCACTTGATTGTTTTTCAGCGCTGGGGAAGTTTTTGATGAGAGTAGCTGTTGTGACACTTCATTTTCATCTGCTCATTTCAAAGTTCTGACTGATAGGGCCGGTGCAGGGTGTAGTGAGCTGGGCCTCTGCCTGGGATGCTGGCATCCCTTGTGGGTACTGGTTCGCTTCCTGGCTGCTCTGTTTCTAATCCAGCTCTCTGCTGGATTGCCTGGGAAAGCAGTAGAAGATGGCTGTAGTCTTTGGGGCCCTGCATCCATGTGGGAGACCTGGAAGAAGCTGCTGGCTCCCGGCCTCAGACCCCCACGGCTCTGGCTGTTGTGGCCATTTAGCAATGAACCAGTGGATGGAAGAGCTCTCTGTCTCTCCTTCTCTCTGTAGATCTGTCTTTCTAATAAAAATAAAATATACTTTAAAAAATTAAAGAAAATTCTGACTTGCCTATATATTTTTATTCTTTCAGGTTTTGGTTATCAGTCTGAACTTGAGTTGAGAGTAGCTGAAGCTGCCCGAAGACAGTACAACAAGCTGAAGATGCAGACCAAGGCGGAGATCCGGCAAACCCTTGATCGCCTGCTAGTGGGGGATTTCATTGTAAGTGGGTGCGCAGAGCACTCTGTGAGGGGTGGCAAGCCTTCTTTTGTTGAGGTTTTTTTTTGGGGGGGGGATCCTACTATGTGTCCCTGTGTCAATTACACTGATTAAGTACATGGAAAATATGGAATCCTTATTCCTAGCATCAAGCAAAATCAGATTTCATTGAGAAAATGAGCGACTGTGTAGAGTCCTGTTCCTTGTGTGTACCAGTCTGGAGATGCTGTAAGGCTCATCTTTATTCCATTTTCCAGACCTGATCTTTGGTAAATGTTTCGTTTGAGAGCTTCCCCACTGCTTGTATGTCTTTGAGAGACAGACAGCTCCTCTATGTGTTTCCCTGACGAGATGTCCTCAGCACATGGGGTTGAGCTGGATTGGGGGCCCGAAGCTGACAACTCAGTCCAGGTACCTATGTGGATGGCAGGAACCCAGTTCCCTAGAATTATTATCGCTGACTCCAAGGTATTGAGCCCAGGCACTCCCCTGGGGGCCATGGGCATCTGGCCTGCCAGGCTAGCCACCTGCTCCATAGGGAACAATCTTCCTATTTGTGCTCACTGTTATCAGAAGAAAAACTAGAGTGCTGCCCCAGCCTCTCCTCAAGGGAATGATGGTCACTTTGTGATGCTGAGTGGCCAGCTAATTTGAAAAATGCAGTGGAGTGGGAGAGCCAGGAAACATCTTACCCATCCAGAAGAACATGGTGGTGCAGTGCTAAGATCCAGCAGTAGGTGGAGCAGTCAGGCAGAGCGTGGTTGCCTTTGGGCGCGTGGTTGCCTTTGGGCGCGTGGTTGCCTTTGGGCGCGTGGTTGCCTTTGGGCGGTGTAGACCCTGTTTTAGGAGTGGAGGCGAACAGAAACACCAAAGGGCCTAGTTCCGTGGGAGGGAGCCCCAGTGCAGTTTTTGGTCTGTGATGGTGAGTAACAATTAGTATCCTCTTGTTATAGAAAAAAGTTTATTTTTGAAAGCATTTCTATAAATTAGCTTTTTTTTTTTTTTTTTTAAAGATGTATTTATTCTTTTTTTTTTTTTTTAATTGTTGTTAACATTGTATTATGTGATACAGTTTTATAGGCACTGGGGATTCCCCCCACCCCTCCCATACCCCTCCCCCCATGGTGGATTCCTCCACCTTGTTGCATAACCACAGTTCAAGTTCAGTTGAGATTCGTTCCTTGCAAACACATATCTAGCATAAAGTCCAGCGTCTTATTGTCCAGATAAGTTCAGTGGCCTCTTGGGGAGACCTTCTCTAGTCTGAAGATAGGGCTAACAGAGTAAAGATCCGGTCAGTTAAAAGCCCCAACAAAACCTCAGTATCAATATACAACATTATGGAATTAATTGACATAGTATTGGGTAAACAATATGTTAAAAATAATGCAAGTTCCATTCTTCGAAACATCTGGGTTGAGACAGTGTCAATGACAGGTTCAAAAAATAACCAACAACCAAACAAAAATTACAAGTTAAATCAAGGCAAACATGTGGTATCTAAATTTTTAACGTGTTATTTTTATCATTTTATGATACAGTTCCATATTCCCTTTTCCCCTCCCCAATTCCCTCCCCCATCACCTAGTTCCTCTGTATCATTACTAACATATAGATCTTCCTACTCAGTCATATGTCCATCATTGCGGGCATGGACAATGACAGAGAGTCCAGAATCCTATTGTCAAGATATAGTAAACAGTTTCATTGTAAGTCCATCTTTGTCTGGAAGCAGAAATGCATACTACACTGCATCCTCACGTCTGGATGTTAGTCTCCATTTCACAGCTACTGTACATCCCCTTAAATGAAAAGTCATAACACAAAATCAACAATAGAAAGAAAAATCAAAATTTACAATGCCATGAAGTTATATGACATGTTACTAGATATGACAGTCTCCATTACACAGCTACTATACATCCCATTAAATGAAGAGCCACAAAACAAAATCAACATCCAGGAGAAAAAATAAATTAACAACACCAAGAAGTTAAATAACGTGCTATTAAATGACTAACGTGTAGCTGAAGAAATGAAAATCAAGAACCTTCTTGAAGAAAATGATGCTACTGTATGATGTACAAGTCATTGAATGTTTTAATCAGAATAAAGTGTTTTGAAGAGATGAAACCAACAGAAAACAACAAAACCCATGTGATATAGTTTCCGCTGATCTTTGTTGAAGCGTGTCTCCTCCAGACTATAAACAGATGGGTTTTGTTTTTTAATCCAGTCTACTAATCTATGATGTTTGATTGAGCTTAAGCCATTTATATTCAGAGTTAAATATGTTTGGATGGTACTTTGGTCCTGTCATTTTAGGAATGGGGTATTCATTGGTTTAGTCTTCTGTTGTCTTTTTACTGGGATATTCTTCCCATTTGCCTTTGCTTTTGGTAGGTGCTGTTCCTCTTCTCTGTCAAGAGAACATCTTGAAGTATCATTTGTAGAGCAGGTTTGGAAGAGGCAAATTCTTTTAGCTTTTCTTTACTATGGAAGAATTTTATTTCATTTTCAAAGAGGAAAGAAAGCTTTGCAGGGTGTGTTATCCTAGGCTGACAATTTTTTTCTTTTAGAATCTGGAATATGTCACTGCATTCTCTTCTTGCCTGTAGAGTTTCCTGTGAGAGATCTCCTGTGAGCTTAATTGGCATTCCTTTATATGTCAATTGATGTTTTTCACGTGCACATTTAAGGATCTTTTCCTTATGTTCAATTGAAGAGAGCTTGATAATCATATGTCTTGGTGAAGATCACTTTTGATCAAGCCTGTTGGGAGTTCTGTGTCCCTCCTGGATCTTGTTTCCCAATTCTTTCTCCAGATTAGGGAAATTTTCCTTGATTATTTCATTAAATACATTTGCAAAGTCAGCTTCTCTTTCTGCACCTTCTGGGATTCCCATAACTCTTATATTTGGCCTCTTAATAATGTCTTTCAATTCTTGAATACTTTTTTGGCCTGATCCAGCTCTGCTTCCAGTTTTTTGTTTGCTTCCCCCTGGTGACAGGAAATATCTTTCAATTCTGAAATTCTTTGTTCTGCTTGCTTCATTCTATTTTGGAGACTCTCCACTGTGCTTTTAATTTGTTCTACTGCGTTCTTAATTTTTGATATATCAGCCTTGATTTGATACATTGCTTCCTTAAATTCTTTGAACTCTTGTATGTGCTCCTCATTTTTGATCAGAATCTTTAAAATGAGTCTTATGAATTCTGTGTGCCCCGTTTTCTTGATGTCTTCCTCAGTTAACTCTGAGGTTGGCATAGGGTTTTCCTCCTTTGCAGGGGAGTTTTCGGTAATATTCATTGTGCCTTTGTCTCTTTTGCTCTGATCATTGTATTTCTGGTTAGCAGAGTCTTCTCCTTGGGGCAGTTTTCTAAGCTGTGTCACCCACACGTCTACAATGCGACTTTACTTATTGCAGTTGGTACACAACTTTTTGCTTGCAGCCACTTGTGCCACAACCTCCAGCGAGTTCCAGGTCTGGGTTCTTATGTCAGATTTCCACCGTGGTCTCCACAGCCCCAGCTCTTGGCTCACCACTCTCCTCCTCCTGTGATACCGTGCTGAGGCTGCACTGTTGTCTCTGCAACCTTTTTCCCACTTCAGGTTGGAGCAGGTCCAAGGATTAGAGAGACAGCAGGTGTCCTATATAATGGTTGTTGGTGGCGCTGATCTTGTCAGAATCTGTTGGACATAGGGTCTGGGTGCCACATGGACCTCTTTTGACCATTACGATGCCACAGTTGGTGTTTTCCTGCAGGACCAGTGCAATCCACTGAACTCAGCGAGTTCTTGGGAGCTCAGCACATGCGTAGTTTACTGTTGTCGCCTGCAGGCCTAACGCTATTGCCACGGTGCGCAAAATGGCGTCTGACGTACCACCACTACAGTTCTTGATCTGCTGGCCATCAGGTCTGAGGGCTACCCAGACCTGTCTTGGGTGGAACCCATAGATTGTCACATCGCTGCAGTTCACTGCAGAAATGAGTTCACTTCCAGCTCAGTGTATGCTCAGTCCTTTCCCTTGCCCTTTCCTCCTTACTCAAATTGGCGCCCAATTCAGCTCTAGGGGGCTGACTGAGCTATGAAATCCACCCTGTTCTCGCACTGCCCATCTGAGATCTGCTGCTCTGTCTCTGCTCCTGGTCAAATCAAACAGACCAGCAGGATGGACAGTTTTTTGTCTGGGTTTACCTTCCAAGCTCCCAGCGAAAGTCCCTTCCCACCTGGTTGCCGGTGGAGTTCCAGCTGTTGGTGGAGTTCAGATCACCCTTAGCTGAATGCCGCTGGAGTATCAGTCACTGCAGCACCACACATTGTGCCCGCTGCTTTCCTGTGTCTGTCAGCCTCCAGGTACCACTGTGCTGTCGTTCTGTCCTTTCCTATTTCCTGAAATCTGTCCTCTCTGCTTCATCCTGATTAAATGTTTCTCTGTCCGTTTAAAGGCGTCCTTACCCTATTCCGCCATCTTGATTCCTAAATTAGCTTTTATTGTTTTCCTCTAGTTGAGGCTAAATTTAATTGCAGAGAAGACTAGTGAACAAACTCAGGAGTTGGTAAACTACTTGCATGTCTGATATTAAAACTTATGTTTTATACTGAGGTCTTTTGAAAAGAGAGTTCATTTTTGCCTGTGCCTGTAAGTAAAAATATCTAAATTTCTATCTGACTTCCATAATTTCTACAAAGCATTAAAGGACTAAGCCTTATAAATGAAAATAAAACCAAAACCAAATTTTTCCCAAGCTCTGGATCATCACAGAGTACAAAAGAAGTAATTTATGATTTTTTTCTCCCTACTTTAGTTTATCAAATGTTCCAGCTTTTGCCTTGAACATATTTCTCAACATTAAAGACCACCAAATCACTCCATTGCCTTAACTGTGACTTCCAGAAGTGCGCAAATCACTGAGAAAGTTTCTAATTTTCAACAGGTACACTTGTGTTGTCTAATCAAAGTTGATGTTATTTTTACAGGAGGAGAGTAAACGGTGGAGTATACGACTAGATATTTCTGCTCCTCAAGTGATATTCCCTGATGACTTCAAATTGCAGAACCCCGTGTTGGTTGTTGTGGATCTAGGAAGAATGCTGTTGACGAACACCCAAGGTAGTATCAGCATGATGTCTCAGAATCACTCTGGGCTGAATCAGTGTGTGGGCGGACAAAGTAGAGCTTGAAGTTCTATGTCATTCTAAACTCGAAAGTTTACTTGCTTATTTGTAAATAATAGCTCTATTGAGATATAGTTCCCATTTAAAAAAAATTTGCAGTTTGGCTATTGGGATATTGATGGACTTATACAACTACTGTTTTTTGTTTGTTTGTTTATTGTGACACCACCCCTCTGAGTTCCTATTTGTATGGTGAGAATTGCAATGAGGTAGTTATTCCATCTCTAACTTTATCAAGAGAGCAAGTGGGGTCACCCGTTCCACCCTTCCGACTGCTTTTTTGTTTTAGCCCGAGCAGCCTAGGCAGGAGTACAATATCAGCCTTGTGATAGGTTGTCAGCTGCTGTGCTGTTCTTCCCCAAAATTGGTTAAATTTCATGGGTCTTTTTCCCTTGGCGCCCCCTTCTGAAGTCTGTGGCAAGAGGTTTCTGACTGAGGCAAACCTTGCTTTACTCACTGTCCTGTCCTTGTGGAAATTCTTCTACGTGAGACAAGAACTGAGGTCGCCTTCTTCGCAGCCCTTCCCGCCAAGCGCTTTGGTACATCCCCACCCGTGGTGTGCTGGGGTTCACAGAATGTGGGACTGCTGATGCTTTAGGCCATTCTTAGAGGTGTGTCATTACTGTTTAATTCCAGACTACTTTCATTCTCCCAAAAGAACTCCAAATTCATTGGCAGTCATTCCCCATTTCCCACTATCCCCCAGCCTTTGGCATCCACTAATTTTTTGTCTGTCTCTATGGTTTTGTCTATTCTGAACATTTTGTAGGACAGAATGAATAGCATATGGGATGTTCTGTGTCGGAGAGCGAGAGAGAGAAATGTCTTCCATCTGCTTTCTTACTTCCAAATAGCTGTAATGGCCCAAGCTGAGCCATTCAGTAATGGGAACCAGGAGCTTCTTCTGGGTCTTTGCTGTGGATGTAGGGGCCCAAAGCCTTCAACCATCCTCTGCTGCTTTCCCAGATGATGAGCAGGGAGCTGGCTGGGAAGTGAAGCAGCCGGAGCTAGAACCAGTGTCTGTACAAGATGCTGATGTTGCAGGTGGATGATCAGCTCCTGTGTCACTGTGCCGTCTTTTCAGGGATAGAGATTTAACCTATTTACATTTAGGGCCATGTATAAAAATGAGGTTAGATCCAAATAGTGTTCATTGAGATAGACTAAGAATGAGAGGATTCATGGGGAAGTAGAAACTTTTTAAGTTTAGCAAGTAATTGCAACCTTATTGTCTCCTTGAAATCCTTGAAGAGAAGGAAGTGGGGGTGGAAAAGTCTAATTTGGAGGAGAGTGTTGAAAGGGAATTACTGAAGGTTGAACAGCCAAGGAAAGCTCCTCCTGGAATTGTTGAAACATGAACGTGGCACAGAGCTGGCAGTGACAGAACCGAGTGGCATCCTTCTGTAGTTACCTCAGTACCACGTGGCTGCAGAGAGGAATTTGAAGTGTGGCTTCTGGGTAGGAAGTCATATCTTGAAACCGCTTTCTGCCTCCCCAAGTACTAGTCTAGGCTATAGGGATGCTGTGTGGAGCCAGGTAAGTGGGAGCTGTCTTCTGTTTGACATGCCAGAAGGAACAGAGAGACAAAGGCCAGTCAGTACAGAGAGTGACCCAGGAGGGTTGCTCGTGGCAGCTCAGGAAAGTGCTGCTCAGAAGCTGGGAAATCACAGTGGTCCCTATTCTCTACGTGCTCAGAGTCAGGATGCCTCCATGGGAAGGGAAAGGGGAAGAAACAAACATCCACTTTGGATTTTTTTTCCTTTTCCTTTGCAGATGAGTCCAAGAGGAAAAGTGGGGATGGGTCGGCCTCGGATGAGAACCAGTTCAGTGATGACGAATATAAGACCCCTCTAGCCACACCCCCCAACACTCCGCCTCCGGAACCCGGCAGCCCCGGAGAGAACACCCCTCCGTTTGCTGGGGTGGAGTTCAGTGAGGAACAGCTGCAAGCACACTTAATGAGCACCAAGATGTACGAGAGGTACTCCCTGTCATTTATGGACCTGCAGATCATGGTCGGACGAGTCAAAGACAACTGGAAACATGTCCAGGCTATTGATGTGGGACCAACCCATGTGGTGGAGAAATTTAACGTCCACCTGCAGCTGGAACGCCGATTGATTTACACTTCAGACCCCAAATACCCAGGAGCCGTGCTCTCAGGCAATTTACCAGACCTAAAAATTCACATCAATGAAGATAAAATATCTGCTCTCAAGAACTGCTTTGCTCTCCTCACCACGCAGGAAGTGAGGGCTTCTGACACCCAGATTAGAGAGAAGATTTTCCCCGAGGAGGATCAGCAAGGAAGCTTGCAAGACTCGGTCATGAACCTAACGCAGAGCATCGTGATGCTGGAGCAGCACACGCGGGAAGTCCTGGTGGAGTCCCAGCTTCTCCTGGCCGAGTTTAAAGTTAACTGTATGCAGCTTGGTGTCGAGAGCAATGGCCGGTACATTTCTGTGCTCAAGGTATTCGGTACCAACGCTCACTTTGTGAAGAGGCCTTACGATGCAGAAGTCTCCCTGACTGTTCATGGTTTGCTCCTGGTAGACACCATGCAGACATACGGTGCCGATTTTGACCTTTTGATGGCTTCACATAAGAACTTGAGTTTCGATATTCCAACAGGAAGTCTTAGAGACAGCAGGGCCCAATCTCCTGTTTCTGGACCTAATGTGGCCTGCTTCACTGAGGCAGCCATGCTGAATGACCCATCTGCTGCTTCCAGCGTTTCCCTTAACAAAATCCTCACCAAAGAACAAGAGTCCCTCATTAAACTGGAATATCAGTTTGTGAGTTCAGAGTGCCCATCCATGCATCTGGACAGCACTCTTCAGGTGATCTCATTACAGGTGAATAATCTGGATATTATCCTAAATCCAGAGACAATTGTGGAGCTGATTGGTTTTCTTCAAAAATGCTTCCCCAAGGAAAAAGATGATTTGAGTCCTCAACCCTTAACGACTGATTTTGAAAGCAATGTGAAAGAACAAGGGACTTACCAGTCTACATATGAACAAAATACTGAGGTTGCTGTAGAAATCCACAGACTTAATTTATTGCTCCTTCGGACTGTGGGGATGGCAAATGGAGAGAAATATGGCAGAAAAATTGCAACTGCAAGTATAGGGGGCACTAAAGTTAATGTCTCAATGGGTAGTACATTTGATATGAATGGTTCTCTGGGCTGTTTGCAGCTAATGGACTTGACACAGGATAATGTTAAAAACCAGTATGTTGTCAGCATTGGGAGTTCTGTAGGCTATGAGAATCTCATCAGTGACATTGGCTGCTTTGAATCTGTGTATGTCAGGATGGAAGATGCAACCCTTACTGAAGCTCTGAGCTTCACATTTGCTGAGAGGTCTAAACAGGAGTGTTGTCTCCACCTAAAGATGGCCTCCTTGCATTATAACCATTCTGCTAAATTCTTGAAGGAAGTGACATTGTCTATGGATGAACTGGAAGAAAATTTTCGAAGCATGCTGAAAAGTGCAGCCTCCAAAGTCACCACAGTCCTAGCCACCAAGACTGCTGAGTACAGTGAGATGGTGTCACTCTTTGAAACTCCAAAAAAGACTCGAGAACCCTTTATCTTAGAGGAAAATGACATCTATGGGCTTGGCCTGGCTTCACCTCGTTTGGATACTGTAAAGTTAATCTTGAACATAAACATTGAATCCCCAGTTGTTTCTGTCCCCCGGAAGCCTGGGAGTCCCGAGTTGTTGGTTGGACACTTGGGACAGATATTTATCCAGAATTTTGTGGCTGGAGATGATGACTCCAGAAGTGACCGTCTACAGGTGGAAATCAAGGACATTAAACTGTATTCCCTGAACTGCAGCCAGCTGTCAGGCAGAGAAGGTGCGGGGTCTGAGGCAGGCCGGGTGTTCTGCCCATCGTCTGGGTCTGCCAGTGTCAACAGCCAAGAGGATGCTCGTTTCACCAGACACGATTTCTTTGAGTCTTTGCATAGAGGTCAAGGTGAGGAGCATAAACCTCTTGTTTCACTAAAAATGTCAACAGAATCTATTCTTTTAGAATGAACCCCAGCTACCATAAAAGAAATCAAAGTATAATTTTAATATACCGCTTCGTGGTAGGTTGATATATTTTTACCTTTTTCTACTTAAGGTAACGTTTGACAAAAGGGTTTTTTAAAGCATGTTCTCCTTTTGAATTGGGTGAGTGCTCATTATTGCAGGTGCTTGAGTAGACAAATCCTGTTAAATTATTATTTAATTTGGTTAATTATATCCTGATTTCTTGTTCCTAAGCATAGGTATTTAAATGTTGTTAGTATTTAGAGTTAAATATTGGAGCCCATGATAGCTCAAGGGCTGATGTAAATAGAACATGGAATTTTGTCTGGGTGTTATGGCCCCACTCTAGCACTCTGCGAGCTTCTGTCATGGTTGGTCGAGGTTTCTAGGATTAAAGAACTTGTATTTGTGTCCTGGATCTGGATGGCTAAAACCAGACAGTTGAATCTGTTAGTTTTGGCATCCACAGAAATAGATAATCTCTAGTGCATGGCTTTATTGGTGAACAAGTTAGTGCCTTTGAGAACTCAGATGTTGTTCTCAGATGTTAATTCCCTGGTGTATTTCTGCACGAGGACTGAGTTACTTGAGCTGTTACCTGCTGCCTCCAGGGGTCTCCCTTTTCACGGAGCTAGACTCGGGGGCAGCCAGGACTGAAAGCCTGGTACTCGGATATGGGCTCTCAGCGTGCCAGCTGATATGTTAACTTAGGTGCCAGGTATCTGCCCCATACCACATGTTTTTTTTTTTTTAAAGATTTATTTTTTATTATTTTTTCATTGGAAAGGCAGATATACAGAGAGGAGAGACAGAGAGGAAGATCTTCCGTCCGATGATTCACTCCCCAAGTGAGCGCAATGGCCGATACTATGCCAATCCGAAGCCAGGAGCCTCTTCCGGGTCTCCCACGCGGGTGCAGGTTCCCAAAGCTTTGGGCTGTCCTCGACTGCTTTCCCAGGCCACAGGCAGGGAGCTGGAAGGGAAGCAGGGCTGCCGGAATTAGAACCGGCGCCCATATGGGCTCCCGGGCGTGCAAGGCGAGGACCTTTAACCACTTGCGCCACCGCGCCGGGCCCATCATACCACATGTTTTGAAGCCAGCAAATAGAGAATGTTGTGAAAATATTATTGTTATTAGTGTAAATTTGTTAGGGTCCAAAATCACCCCTCTGTTGAATAGCAAAGAACCAGACGTGGATGCAATCAGCAAGCAAAGTTTATTGAGCTGGCTAGCCAGGGTCAAGCTCCTCACACGGACACACAGGACCGGTGGATGAAGTAAGACCCTGAGCTAGGGACAAGCCAGATTCTTATAGGCCAGTTTGGCTGTTACAGCAAAGCCCGCGCCCGCGAAAAACACTCCAATCATTTTAAAGCAAATATGAAACACTCCAATCAACCAAAAGCCCATGAAATGCCTCAAGTCCCTATTCATCATGACAAGACAAAACTATTCTAAGCTAAGGGGTTACAGATGCAAAGCAATAGGTAACATATCTGTGAATTACAGACCATGGTTTTTTTTTATTTTTACCCTTATCAGGGCTACTGACCCTGACTTACATCCTGAGCCTGGGTACTGTGGACAATGGGCTCTTGCTCTTACTCTTATCAGTGTCTGCAAAAAACCCACTGACCCTCACAGCCCAAGCCCAGGAGTGTGGCCCAAGTTATGTGTAGAATCTTTTCCTTTTTACTTTAAACTCAAGTTGCTTTTGACTTACTCAAACCACTTCTAATATATAGACCTTTTAACATCTTATACATCTCTTTAACACCTTGGTTGCCTCTAACAAATTTATTTAGTGTAAATACAACCTCTGTCTGCTACGAGCTTTGGTGTTGGGATAGTCACTGGAGTGTAATGTCTGTCATGGCGCACGAGTGCCAGGCCTGCCTCCACTCCTGGCCTAGAGTTACCAATGGCTGTCTTTTATACACTGCAACCTTAATCAGCAATGATGAAGGAAATATCAGTGCTTATAGTCTGTCATTTCCTTTCTCTCATGGCAGCTTTTCACATCCTGAACAACACCACCATTCAGTTTAGACTGGAGAAGATCCCCATAGAGAGAGAATCTGAATTAACTTTCTCCCTCAGTCCGGATGACCTGGGAACTTCTAGCATCATGAAGATCGAAGGCAAGTTCGTCAATCCAGTTCAGGTAAACACTGGTTTGAAGTCATGCATAGGTGGAGTATCCCTGACCCAAAATACTTGAGATCAGAAGTGTTGCAGATTTGAGGGTTTTTCAGATTTTGAAATATTTACATAGATTTTCCTGGCTGAGCATCCTTAAACTAAAAATCTGAAATCCAAAACTTCAAGGGCATGGACTCAGAAAGCAGTTTGAATTAGGGATGCTTAACCTGAATTTACTTATTTAAAGATTTACTTTTATTTTTATTGGAAAGTGAGATATACAGAGAGCAGGAAATACAGAGAGAAAGATCTTCCGTCTGATGATTCACTCCCCAAGTGGCCGCAATTGCCAGACCTGCACTGTTTTGAAGCCAGGAGCCAGGAACTTCCTCCCTGTCTCCCATGCGGGTGCAGGGTCCCAAGGCTTTGGGCCGTCCTTGACTGTTTTCCCAGGCCACAAGCAGGGAGCTGGATGGGAAGCTGTCAGGATTAGAACCAGTGTCCATATGGGATCCCAGTGCATTCAAGGTGAGGACTTTAGTCACTAGGCTACTGTACTGGACCACCTGAATTTATTTTATACATTCACACACACAGTATATATATATATATACAGTATATATATATATATATATACACACATTCACACACACAGTATGTATATATAAATGTTAGAGGGAAATACAGAAATCCAGAGATAATTTTTGCATATAACTGTTATTGATAGCCTGTTCTAGTAAACATGAGATCGTTTTATATTGTCATTCTGTTCTTGGCATTAGTCTTGTTTCATCATGTATAGAAGGAGGGACTTGTGTACAAGAGAAAACAGGGCCCGGCGGCGCGGCCTAACGGCTAAAGTCCTCGCCTTGAACGCGCCTGGGAAAGCAGCAGAGGACAGCCCAAAGCTTTGGGATCCTGCATCCATGTGGGAGACCCGGAAGAAGTTCCTGGATCCTGGCTTCGGATGGGCACAGCATCGGCCGTTGCACTGACTTGGGGAGTGAATCATTGGTTGGAAGATCTTCTTCTCTGTCTCTCCTCCTTTCTGTATATCTGACTTTGTAATAAAAAGAAATAAATCTTTTAAAAAAATTTATAAAAAAAAAAAGAAAAAACAGATTCTTAGTTCTGTTGCCATTCAGAAACTGAGAAATTGAGTCAGTCTCTTTTTTCCTAGGTGTATACATATAATTTTTAGTACACTTTTGAGATGATTGATCCAGCCTATAAAACACAGTGATTATCTGAGCCGTTGATGCGTCCTTTCAGAGTAGAATTAGTCTTGGCCTCTGAAATGAGATGGGTCAGGAGAGAGACTTTGTGTGTATGTATGGCGACTATATACATCTGTTTTTCTTTTTCCCTCAAAAGTGTCCTTTTCTCCTGATTTCGCAGGGAGTGGTACAGAGTTTTTTATAAAACAAGGTCAGGCAGGACTAGAAGACAGTGGCCCCCAGGCTGGGCAGCATTTTCTCCTGGCTGCCTGGCACTTACTCTGGAAGAACCCACGCGTGTGGTCAGCAGAACTTCTTTCGACATCAGTGACTCATCATTCGGTCTCCGCATGGGACTTCCTGTAGCTTTCCCTCTCAGCTAAGCTCTTAGCTCGTCAGTGGTCGTTACCAGCAGGAATATTTGCCTGAGATCGGCACTTGACATGAATTTTTTTGAATTATCCTGATTTATTCTTAGGGTTATCATTGATTTATTGTTGCTTCGACAAAAACCGTTTCTTTTAAAGATCTTTATTCATTTGAAAGTCTGAGAGCGAGGGAGGGAGTTAGGGAGAGAGAGCTCTTCCATCCACTTTTCACTCTCCAAATAGTCCCAGTGGCCAGTCCTGGGTCTCCATCTGGGTGTCCCATAGAGGAGTGCAAGGATTTAAGCCATCACCCGCTGCTTCTCAGGGTGCACAGTTAGTGGGAAGGTAGAATGAGGAGCGTAACCAGAACATCATCCCGGCTCGGTGCCAAATGCCCACGACTGAAAATATTTTTAGTAATATAGCGTAATTGTAAACAAAGCAAGGGAGACAGCAGACATAGCCAGTCCGGGGTCATCGGCATCATCATCTGAGGCGTACTAGACCCGGGTGCGATCAGCCAGAATCAGCGCAGTGAGTTGATTGCTTCAGGATCCTGTGGCGTACCCACATTATGCTTTTAACAGCGTCCCTTTCATTTTTGCAGTTGTTTTTGGGGGATTTGAGAGAGTGACTGCCAATTGAAGCCTGCAGTGAATAGCACTTACTGAACATGTATTGTCTGTGAGGTTTATGAGGGAGGGAGAGCCTCAACAAAAGTGAGGCAGAGTAAAAGATCAAGGCAGAAAAGAATGAATGGAATTGTCCTTGTATCAACTAATTTAACACCTTGGCAGGGCGGGGAGAATTCCATTAATAACAACTGTGGCCATTCATGACTGAGTTTTTCTCTGTGACTGCAGGTGGTGTTAGCCAAGCATGTATATGAGCAGGTGTTACAAACGTTGGACAACCTTGTATACACTGAAGATCTGAATAAATTTCCGGCTAGTGCTGCCTCCTCCTGCCCCAGCTCTCCGCTGCCTCCCCTCAGCACCTGTGGAGAACCTCCTGCTGAGAGGAAGGACAATGGATTGTTCAGCCATGCCAGCCTTTCCAGCACATCGCAGAAGTCCTTCCCTGTGAAGGAAGTCAGATCCTTTACTCAGATTCAAGCCAATTTTTGTATATCAGAGCTTCAAGTTCAGCTAAGTGGAGACCTGACTTTAGGGGCCCAGGGACTTGTGAGCTTAAAGTTTCAGGATTTTGAAGTGGAATTCAGTAAAGATCATCCTCAGACTTTATCCATTCAGATTGCGCTGCGCTCCCTGCTGATGGAGGACTTGCTGGAGAAGAATCCGGATTCCAAATATAAGAACCTGATGGTGTCTCGAGGAGCTCCTAAGCCGTCCAGCTTAACCCAGAAAGAATACCTGTCTCAGTCTTGCCCTTTGGTGTCCAATGTGGAGTACCCTGACATGCCACGCTCGCTCCCTTCCCACATGGAAGAAGCTCCTAATGTCTTTCAGTTTTATCAGAGACCCACCTCTGCCTCCCGGAAAAAGCCAAAGGAAGTCCAGGACAAGGAGTATCCCTTAACCCCGCCTCCTTCTCCAACCAGAGACGAGCCCAAGGTGCTCACTGGAAAGAGTAAATTTGATGATTCCTTGGTCCATATCAATATATTCTTGGTAGATAAGAAACATCCAGAATTCTCTTCCAGTTACAATAGAATTAACCGTAGCATAGATGTTGATTTTAACTGCCTCGACGTGCTGATCACACTGCAGACCTGGGTAGTGATACTGGACTTTTTTGGAATTGGCTCCACTGCAGACAACCATGCATTGAAAATGCCACCTGAGGACATTCTGCAAAATGTGAGGTCAGAATCCAGTGCTGTAGCAGAGACTGAACTTCAGGATCCAGTTAACACAAAGTTGGATCTCAAGGTAGCATCCCAACCTTTGGCTCCCTTAGGTTCTGAAAGTGAATTTGGGTTTGTCTATTTGAATGTGAGCATGTTACATTTATTCTGGAAAATAGCTCTTATTGCCAGTGATTGTGTGCCTATTAAAAAAGGTAAAATGTAAATATTTTAGTGTAAATCCTATCTAGAAGCAGGAAAAATAAGTGGTTTAAATAACATATGTTCCCTTTGAAATATGTGAATGTTTTATTTATTTTAAAGATTTGTTTGAAAGGCAGAGTTAGAGAGATAGTAATAGAGACAGGCACCTTCTGTCCGCTCATTCACTCCCCTAGTAGCCACAGCAGCTAGAGCCAGGATCCCGGCACTCCATTTGGCTTTCCTCCCATGGCCTGCAGAGGGCCCAAAGCAGGATTATATTTGTATCTTTCTAGGATCATTATCAGGAAGCTGGATCAGAAGTGGAACAGCCAGGACAATAGGAAGATGGGATCTCAGTTAGATGGAGCTGGCTGTTTTGGGGTACACAGGCCTGTTGTAACTCACTCCAGTGCATACCAAGCCTGGGAGGCCTGCAATGGTGGTGAGACTTGTGGTAAGATATATTGATTTACTTGGATTGCAGAATATGGCCACGGTTGGGCTAAGGCAAAACCAGAAGCCTGGAATTCTATCTGGTTCTCCTCTTTGGGTGGCAGGCACCCAAGGCCATCTTTGTTGCCATCCCAGGCATATTAGCAGGAAGCTGGATCAAGTGGAGTAACATAACAAGAACTGGCACTCATATGGGAGGTCAGTGTAGCTACCAACAGCTTACCTACCAACAGCTTACCCCACTGTGCCACAAGATCAGCTCCTAGATTGGGCGTTTGAAAATGGAGTTCTTCATCTACTTACTTTATTCTATGTGAGGTGTATTTATGCTGGGGAGAAGTGTTTTATTCAGTTTTCCTTTTTAAAGATTCTTAAATTTTATTTTATTGGAAAGGCAGATTTACAGAGAGGAGAGACGGTAAGAAAGATCTTGCTTCTTCTTGTTCACTCCCCCAAATCATTACAACTGAGCTGATCCAAAGCTAGGACCCCTTCCACATTTCCCACACAGGTGCAGGGTCCCAAGGCTTTGGACTGTCCTCCGCTGCTTTCCCAGGCTAAAAGCAGGGAGCTGGATGGGAAGTGGAGCAGCCAGGACACAAACTGGTGCCCATATGGGATCCTGGCACTTGCAAGGGAGGATTAGCCAGTTGACCCAATGTGCCAGCCCCTTTGTTCAGTTTTCATTTTCTTTCCCAAGCTGTAGGAGGCTCATTCCTCTAGAAGTGAAAGAGTTCTTAGGGGGGAGTTGGAAAAGAACCGTTGCCCTCGTGTTCCGCGTCTCGGGAATGTACAGCTGCAGGGTCCCAAGGCCTCCGGTACTTGATACTTGGTACGCCAAGCGGATGGGCCCCGGAGGGCTGTCGGCCCACTACGTGTGTGTGACTGCACCTTTGTTCTGGAGGCGCCCGGCCGTCATGATGGGCCACTGGATCTTTCGCTGCTGCCTGTGTGGGTTCCCAGGGGGCTTGGCTTAGGTTGCTGTCTGTGACTGCTGTTATAAATGCTCCTTAATAGTATGCTTTTTAAAACTAGAATTTTTGAAGGACATTTAGATTGTGAAAAATTTCAGAATACTATTAACAGAAGGGTGTAGTGAATTCCCCCAACACGCAACCCTATACTTCATCATTTCTTTTCTTTTTTTCTTTACTGAAGTATTTTAAAGCAAATTCCAGTCATCCTATGATTTTGCCTCTACATGCTTCAGTATTCAGTTATAAAATACAAAATGAAACAAAACCTGCTGGCATTCTGTAATGTAGCAATAATGTATTGTTGTATCTAGCTAAATACATTTACAGAAATTCCTTGATATTGTATAACACCCACCAGTCCATAATCCGATTTCCCTGATTGTCTCAAAAATGCCCTTTTGTTGGTGGATTAGAGAGGAATGAGTGTCTTTCCTTAGGTCTGTATAATTCTGTAGAAAATCAGGGTTTCCTGAGCCAAAGTTTTCCCATTTTCAGCATGATAAAAGTAAAATGTATGAAATTTTTGAATGAGAAGCCAGAAGAGAATCCTATGTGATAGTTGTTGTCTAGAACTAGGCTGGTGCCTTGTAGAGGGGTCCCATTCTGGATTTGTCTAGATACGGTTTTTTTTTTCCTCTTTTTCTTTTTTTTTTTCCCCATAATTTTCTAAGGTAACAGAGGTTTGCTATTTCTTTTTCTTTTTAATTCTTCATGGTGTGATTCCATAGGCACAAGATTCCCCTCCCACTCCCCCATTCCTCCGCTCCACAAGTGCTTCCCCCATGTTGTACACGTTCTTGTTTTAGCATTTGAACCTTTGATCATCTGCTTTCAGGACTCCAAGCCAGCTGTGGAGATTGGCCCACTCCATTGCAGTTTCTCAGTGGAAGGCCTTTAGTAACGCTGAGGTTCAGCACTTACACAGCGGGATCAGGTGTTGATGGCTGGAGCCCCTAAAGCATTTTTAGACCAAGTTTGTGTTTTGGTAATTAAATTATTAGGGGTTTTATTTTCTTTCTTCCTGATAACCTTGTTTCCTTGGGACCCTTTGTGGTTTGTTTCAAAACTCCTGCTGTAGTGGAACTGGAGTGTCCTTCAAGGTCGTACTTTAAAAATCTCCTTTTTTCTGTGTCTTTCATTCTTTCCTCATGCTGTTTTCTCATTCATCCACTTACTGAACTTTTTTTTTTCCTTTTCCTTTTTGTAACTTGAAAGGCAGTGAAAGTGGTACAGGGAGAGGCAGGTAAGAGAAAGATGATCTTCCGTCTTCCGGTTCACTCCCCGAAGGGCAAAGGTGAAATGCAGTCCAGCAGCTGCATCCTGGGCTCCCACATGAATGACAGGGACCTCAGTGCTTGGGCCACCTTCCAGTGCTTTCCCCAGGATCATCCACAGAGAGCTAGCTCAGAAATGGAACACCTAGGACTGGACCTGGCTCTCTGAATGCCTGGCCCCTATCCTGCAAACATTTCTGAGCTCCCTTCATGGTGGGCACTGAGGATAGAGCAGTCAGGCACAGGCTCAGGTGGGTGAATCCAGGAGTGACCCCGTGCTCCGTCCTCTCCTCCTCGTCCTTCTCAGGCCTTCCTCAGCCCCAACAAGGGTGCTCCAGGCTAGAAAGGTTGTGGAGACCAAACCCAGTGAACCCTCCCCATGGAAGTTCTTTGAGTAGTTACAGTTATGGTACTGTATTGAAATGCCAGCCTTGCTTGCACTCATGTGTTAGCAGCTGTGTGTCAGCTCCTGCACTGACTGGCTCGAGCACGCCAACGGGCCTCTGCCGACCTTCAGAGCTCTGCCTTCTGATGGCCAGTGTCAGTGCACTGCCTTGGTTTTGTGCTGCTGTTTGTCTGAGAGAGACTCCCTTCCATAGTAATCTTTGCCTTGCTTCATCTTCTGCATCCTAGGTTCACTCACTCTCTCTCGTGCTGAATAAGACCACCAGTGAGCTTGCTAAAGCCAATGTGTCCAAACTAGTAGCACACCTGGAAATGATCGGTAAGTGAGGAAAAGTCGACGTGAAGAATCTGGGAAGTGTTTGAACATCCTGATCACAGATGTGATTGTGGTCATCTGCCAGGTGAGGGATGAGTCGGAGGCTTGCTGTGCTTAGCGATCTGGCCAGGACTTAGGGAGATAGTTCCTGGATGCTGGGTTATAGACAGTTGGGGACACAGGTGTCTGGCACACCTCCTCCCTTCTCCACAACCCCATCTCCATTCCAGGAATCGGATTCTGGAGGTTGGCATGGACCCTGGCATCTGTGTTTTCGACACAGATTCTGTCAAGGCTTACCACACAGTATTTTTGTTGAAAATGCGGTAGATTTGACAGTGGGAGGGAGCAGTATTAATAATTGTGTCTGCAATCAGGCATGCAGCCAAGCTGCTTCTGGAAACAAGGGCCTAGGTTCTCCCTATCTTCGGTCATGACTAGGGGAGTGACTGGTCCAGGGTGTGGATGGGTGTAAAAAACTGCTGTTCTTTCTGATGGGTCATTACAGGTTGACATGTTTTTTTACTATTGGAAAAGCAGATTTGCAGAGAGAAGGAAAGAAAGATCCTCCTTCCACTAGTTCACTCCCTAAATGGCTGCACTGGCCAGAGCTGAGCCAGTCTGAAGCTAGGAGCCAGGAGCTTCCTCAGGGTCTCCCATGTGGGTGCAGGGTCCCAAGGCTCTGGGCCGTCCTCTACTGCTTTCCCAGGCCACAAGCAGGGAGCTGGATGGCAAGTGGAATAGCTGGGATACAATCCGGCCCCTGTATAGGATGTTGACACTTGCAAGGGATGGATTAGCCACTTGAGCCATTGCCCTGTAGGTTGAAGTTCTTAGTAGAATATATGTGATGAATCATGTCAAGTTTTGGACCTGACACAGTAGTCTAGTGGCTAAAGTCCTCGCCGTCAACCATTGCTACCACTTGGGGAGTGAATCAGCAGATGGAAGATCTTTCTGTCTGTCTCTTCCTTTCTGTGTATCTGACTTTCCAATTAGAATAATTTTTTTAAATAAATAAATTTAAAAAAATGAATTATGTCAAGTTCTCAATTGGAGGAGTTTATAAAGTGTTCATTGAAGCACAGTTTCTTCCGCAGGACCTTGTAATTAAATAGTGGCTATTACAAAAAGTGCTGCTGCTCTGGTCAAGATAGGGGTATCATTTGGGAGAAGAATGAGCTGAAGCTGAGGTCTCATGCACGGTGTAACTTATTTTAGAGCTTCTTGGAAGAGATTGGCTTTTAAGATCGCAAAATGCTTGAGTATTTTTGTTTAGAAAACATTGGGAGTCACAAGTACGTATATGTCTGGTTAATTAGGAGCTAACTAGTTTGCCAAATACGTTCACTTCAGCAGTTGTTTTATAGTGATAGGAGGATGCGCTTTGTTTTGTGGAAGCAGCAGCTTAGGCTGTTCCTTTTCAGTCCCTCCGTGCTGCTAAGAATGGGCCCTCACAGGTCCGCTTCCCTTGGTTTCAGTTTCTCCTTCTTACGCTCCCCGCCTCCCAGGGGCTTCAGCTTATCATATCTGAGCAGTTTCAGATTTAGATCTTTGGTGTCTAATGCCTCATTCGTTTTATTCTTTTATTAAATTATATTAAAACTCACTTAATGTTGCTTGATTCTGACCCTCCCTCCTTTATGTTTTTACCCATAGCACAACTAATAGACCTTACGATGCTTTACCTGTTCTCAGAAAGGGCCAGGTTTCTATCTATAATTGTTGATTATTTGTCCTTCAATATACGTGTATTTAGTTTTTCATTTATTTTGCCTTATAAATGTCAAGTATTAAAATTTAAGTGTGAGATATTTCGATCTCTTGGACTTCTGCATTCAGACTATTTGAAATGTTGGGTAAAGTATTTTTCTGAGTACATTGGAATGTGACAGTTTGCCTTCTGATATTTAGTTTGATTAAAAAGTGAAAATTTCAGGCATGTCTATACCAGTTTCTGTTCACATATATTTAAGGTGTATGACCAGAAAGGTACTTAATGACGTGTTGTAACGTTCACCTTCCTAGAGGGAGACCTGGCCTTGCAGGGCAGCATCGGGAGTCTCTCTCTCAGTGACCTTACGTCCCATGGAGAATTCTACAGAGAACGCTTCACGACAAGTGGAGAAGAAGCCCTCATCTTCCAGACTTTTAAGTAAAAATCTCTCTCTTTTTCTCACTTGATATTTTGTTGCAGTCACTTTCATTTTCAAATTTTTATTGAAAGAATAAAGAATGAAGAAAAGTTTTAAAAATAATTTTATAATTTTTATAAGTATAACTGGAAAGGTCTGGTTATGAATATCTTGATTTAAATTAAATTTCATTAGAATGGATCTGCACTGAGGTGGGCAGTCCAGGCTTCCTGAGCAGGTAGGGTGTACTCGAGATCGTTCAGCTTATTAAAAGGCCTGCACACCTGGCTGGTTGTGTGCCAGCTCACTAAGTGACCGGAGGCCAGTCCCTTAATTCCCATGTGGCCCATTTTCTATCTGGCTGTATCGAGGGGGCAGATTTAGAGCATTTCTCATTGAGCTCTGCAAAGCTCTGGAGTGAGTTCAGCTGCAGACATTGCTGATGCATGAGTGTTAAATTACATGATACATTTGTTGGCTTATCAAGACCATCCATATTGAGGCCTTTCTGTTTTAGATTTTAGAAGGCTTCAAAATGGATGGTCTTGCAAGACTAAGACACAGCTTGCAGTGGTGGTTTGCAAGCTTTCTGAGAGCTGTTGGGAAACACTGGCATTCAGGCTGCTCAGTTCTCTGACTCGACGGGTATAGGGAAGTAGAAGATAGAGGAGTGGAGTGGTTCACTCCAGTGGTGGCAACAGCTGGAGCTGAGCTGATCTGAAGCTAGGAGCCCCCTCTGGTTCGTCCACATGAGTGCAGGGGCCATCCTTTGCTGTTTTCTGAGGCTGCAGAGAGCCGGATCAGAAGTGGAGCAGCTGGGACACAAATCAGCACAGACAGGAGCAGCCAGTACCGCAGGGTGGACTGTTGAGCTACAATGCTGGCCCTGGGGGCTTAGTTTTTTTTTTAAATGTGCTAATATTTAACCAGGGTTGAGGAAGAACTCAGAAGTTCTGAGGATGTCTGAGGATCTTTATCTTCATTGTCAGGGCTGTTATGCATATAAAAATAAGAATCTAGATTGTAGAATTTTAGATTTTGGAATTTAGGTTGATTTGTTTACATTACAGATTTCCCTTTTATCTTATGACTTTCTCTTTAGTATCTTTCAAGTCCATATTGTCACGACCTTTGCCAAGAGCAGAGTGAGTGTTGCTTGCCCTTAAAAGCAAGGCAAGGAGTTATAGGTGCCCCCGACCCCCATGAATTCAATGCTTGGTGCTGCCTGCCTGTTTATGGTGCTGAGTGTCAAATGAGACTATTTAATGTTTTAAACACATTGTAGAAGCTTAGAGAGGGAGACATTTTTGGAACTTGCTCTTTTAAAGCTAAATTGTGAATTTTTGTTTTAATAGTTAATAGCTGCTGTCTAAGGAAGCCCCCAAGTCCAGCTGAGCTTTGCCTCGAATCTAACTTGTGTTTTGCTGTGGTGTCATATCATGGTTCGGTCCTCCCTTCGTAGGTACGGGCGGCCTGACCCACTGCTGCGCAGAGAGCACGACGTGCGTGTGAGTCTGCAGATGGCCTCGGTGCAGTACGTGCACACGCAGCGCTTCCAGGCCGAGGTCGTGGCCTTCATCCAGCATTTCACTCAGCTGCAGGACGTCTTGGGGCGCCAGCGGGCGGCCATCGAGGGGCAGACGGTAGGTCGCTTCGTCTCTGAGCTGCTGTTCTGGCTTGATAGCGTTTCTCACCTTGAGAGAGAGATCAGTCTCAAAAATTTCACTGAAAAAGGTTAAAGTCGCTATGTTTTATAATGTGTCTTCCACACTGCAGGTTACTCAGGGAGATCTGACTGTGCTTGGGGAGCTTTATTTTTTTAGTTATTTTTTCAAACATTTATTTTTACTTGAAAGAGCTACAGAGAGAAGGAGAGAAAGCAAGAGAAAGATCTTCCATCTTTGGGTTTACTTTCCAAATGATCCCAGTGGGCCAGGAGCTTCTTCTGGATCTCCCAGGAGGGTGCAGCAAATCAAGAACTCCTCTGCTGCTTTCCCGAGGCCACAAACAGGAAGCTGTATTGGAAGTGGAGCAGCCAGAACTGGAACTGGCACTTATATGGGATGCCAGTGTTAGAGACAGAGGGTTGATGTGCTAATGGTGCCAGTCCCAAGAGCTTTATTCTTTATTATATTATACTGTAATGTAAAAATGATAAGTAGGGCCTGGCATGGTAGCCTAGTGGCTAAAATCCTCGCCTTGCATGTGCCTGGGGCTCCATATGGATGCTGGTTCGTATCCTGGCTGCTCTACTTCCCTTCCAGCTCTCTGCTTATTGTCTGGGAAAGCAGTAGAGACTCAAAGCCTGGGGATCTTGCACAGATGTGGGAGACCCAGAAAAAGTTCTTGGTTCCTGGTTTCGGATCAGCTCACCTCCAGCCGTTGGGGCCACTTGGGAAGTGAACCAGTGGGTGGAGGATATTATGTCCTTCTTCTGTAAATCTGACTTTCAAATAAGGATAAATAAAATCTTCAAGAAAATGATAAGGAAATTTACAACACTTTTTGTCCTTTTAGGGGCTCAGTGCAAATGCTTGATAGGCTTTTTTTCAGAATAGATTGGAAATTCCTAAACTCTGTGGTTCGTGGCATACTCATCAGCTTGAAAGTTTTTTTCACGACACACTCTAGGCCAATAGACATAAATAATATTGTTCCAATTTTCAAAGTAATTAGGTTTGAACAATTTACTAAGTGAGTGTGTGTATGTAAATTGAAAATATAATATTTTTTATTGCATTCTTAAATAACCACAGTTATTTAGCACTGTCCAGCTTCTCATAGTTGGAGTAAGGATGGACACCATGACTTCATTTCTTGTTGCATATTGATTTTCTCTTGGTACTTGCTTTTTAGCTCAGCAGCAATTAAGGTCCCTGGTTTGTAAATGTGCATGCATTAAGAGAAATGTGGCATGCACTGATTCCAGACTTGAACCATTTTGGTGTAATGTTGGGCTGCTGTCATGTTCCACTGGAAAATCTGAGGTGTCCTGACAGCAGCTCCAAGCAGCTCCTGTAGCCTCCAGTGGCGTCTTGGGGCAGTGTAGCAGCCCCAAAAAGCAATTGCAGTATGGTTGTTTGGAAAAATTTCTTGGTTTTCTTTCTTTTTTTCTTTAAGTCACTCTATTTTTGAAAAGATTATTTATTTTACTTTAAAGTCAGACTTGCAGAGAAAGGGAAAGACACAGAGAGAGGGATCTTCATCTGCTGGATCACTCCCCACATGGCTGCAATGGCTAGAGCTGTGCTCGTCTGAAGCTAGAAGCCAGGAGCTTCTTGCTAGCCTCGTGCACGGCTTTGCACTATCCTCCACTGACGGTTTTCCCAGACTGCTGGCAGGGAGCTGCATTGCAGAGGGAGCACCCATGTAGATGCTGGTGCTGCAGGCCAAGGGTTAACGTCCTGTGCCACTGCGCTGGCCCCGAAAAAGCTTGCTTCTTATTTATCTCCTGGAGAATGTATCTTTTCAGAAAATATGAAAGTAATATAGTAAAATTACAGAAGATCTGAAAAAAGTAGTGGTTTTGCTTGTCTCCTAGTATGTAGCAATGATTCAGTTTATTTCATTTTTTCCTTTATATTTTTCATATTTATTATTATATGTTATATATGTATTATTTTTCCTATATGTTACATTTCCTATATATTTCCAGTTTTCTTATTATGATCATGGAATAGATGAGGGTACTTAAAAACTACGTGGAAATGGAATTTAAAAGAATTTATTGGTGGCCTTTTAGTGTAACAGTTAAGACACCAATAAAGAAACCTGTGTCCCATGTTGGAATACTTGTTGATTCCTGGCTTTGGCTCTAGACTCCATCAATTGGATTCTTATATTGAGCTGTGTACTCCTAGCTTCTGCCTCAGCTGTTTGTGGTCATGTGGGCATTCAGGGAGTGAACCGTGGTGGGAATCCTTTCTATGCCTCGCACCGTTTTTCCTTTTGTCTTTCTTTCTCTCTCTCTCCTCTTCTCCCTCTCAAGAAAAAAAAAAAGATATAGATAAATAAAAAAAATAAAGACTATATAAATACATACAGTTAGGCTTATTTTAACTAGTAACATTTTGAAATCCACAAAACTATGAGAGTTTGAAAAATTCAAGGAAAATGCAGATTGTGAAAAGAATGCATGAATTTCAAAGTTTTTATGCACCAAAATACTTACCTTCAAATCTCTTTTTCCATGAATTCTTTGAATTACCCTAATATAACATTTTATTCTTTCTTCAGTTTAAAATTTTAAATGGCATGCATGCAATGATGTATAGCACTGTGTCAGTGCTAGGATTTTATGAAATGAACGTTTGTGAACACACCCAGCGTGCTGCGAGTTGAGATGGGATGCACTGTGGCTGTCTGCTGCGTGCATTCGTGTCCCTTGCCTATTTCATTCCCTGTCTGCTCCCTCAAGTAGCTGTTGCCTGATTTTTATATTTTAATTTTTAAAATTGAAATGAATTCCTAAGCAATATTTTTTGTTTTATTTTTTTGTTTTACATTTTATTTTTTAAATATATTTTGTTTTTTTTTTTTTTAATAAATGCTATTAAACTGTCCTGTGATTTTTCTCTTGCCCTAATTAGTGCGTTTGTTAAGCTTGGTTCATGTTGTTAAATGTGATTTCATTTCATTTTTTTTTAAGATCCATTTTACTTTTTATTGGAAAGGTAAAAACTCAGAGAGAAGGAGATACAGAGACCAAGCTCCTTTATCCACTGGTTTGCTCCCCAAGTGGCTGCAATGGCTGGAGCCAGGAGCCTCCTTCAGATGCCCCGTGCAGGTGCAGAGTCCCAATCTGGGCCATCCTCAACTGCTTTCCAGGTCACAAGCAGGGAGCTGGATGGGAACTGGAGCAGGTGGGACCTGAACCGTGCCCATGTGGGATCCTGGTTGATGTGAAGTAAGGATTATCCACCAGGCATTGCGCTGGGCCCCATTTCATTTTTTTTTTTTTAAGATCCATCTATTTCTTTGAAAGTGGGAGAAGAGGAGAGAGAAGGAGAGTGAGTGTGTGTTCCACATTTCATCCAGCTCCCGACTTGTGACCTGGGAAAACATCAGAGGATGGTCTAAAGCCTTGGACCCTGTACCCGCATGGGAAACCCAGAAGAAGCTTCTGGCTCCTGGCTTCAGATCAGCTCGATTTTGGTTGTGGCGGTACTTGGGGAGTGAATCAGCAGATGGAAGATCTTTCAATCTGTTTCCCCTTCTTTGTGTAAATCTTCCTTCCAATAAAAATGAGTAAATATTACAAAAAGATTTATTAATTTAGAAGTCAGTGTTGTATAGAGAAGTAAAGATCTCTTCCATCTACTGCTTCATTTCCCAAATGGCCACAGCAGCCAGGGCTGGGCCCCTCCAAAGCCAGGAGTTTGCAGCTGCAGGTCTCTCGTTAAGCGGCAGATCCCAAGCACTCAGCCATCTTCCACTGTTTTTCTAGCCCCATTTACAGGGAGCTGGATCAGAAGTGGAGCCTCTGGGACTTGGACCAGTTCTCAAATAGGATGCCTTTGTTGCAAATGGCTACTTGATTGGCTGTGCCACAATGTCAGCCCCTAAGAAATCTTTTAAATTTATTATCTTGCTAACATTTGTATTTTCAGGCCTTCTATTTTGAGCCAGTTACTGGATATAAAATGGTGTTGCATTTGTAGCTAGTTTTTATTTATTTGATTTGAGAAGTAGACAGAATGAGTGACAGAATGAATGACCCATGCATTGGTTCAGTCCCCAAATTCCCAGGAACCAGGAACTCTGTCCAGGTGTCTCCTGTGGCCAGCAGAGCCCTGAGAACTTGAGCCGTCACCTGAGGCTTTATAAGGAGGAAGCTGGATTTGGGGGTGCAACAGGTGGTCTGGCCTGGGGTGTTAATTCTCAAGTAGCATCTGGACTGCTGGGTTCAACACCTGCCCTTGCATATTACATTTAAAACAATGAGTTTGTATTTGTGGTTTCAATAGTTCTTACTGTGTTCTTAGTTCTTACTGTGAACATAATTTGGCTTAGGAAATAAGATGTTTTTGCATTACTGAGTAATTGGATTTAACTTCCTGAGGTAAGAGGAATATAAAGATAAGTCTTTAAAGCTTTGCTTTGTCATTTTATAAAAGGCAAATAGAAGGTTAAAGAAATGTTGCTTATGAACATTTTTAAATACGTAAGCTTTAAGGAAAAGCTGATCTTCTCAACTACCTTTAACCTTAGCCATTTGAATGACAGATTTACAGAGAGAGCTAAAGACCTAACTTTTATTTGCTATGAGATTAAAAGACCATTTTGTTTATCCAAATATTCTATTGACAACAGATATATTTTATTCTAGCTGACTTTTCCCCCCTAAAGATTCATTTATTTGAAAGGCAGTGTTATAAAGAGAGGGAGCAGGAGGGAGGGAAGCAGAGAGAATGAGTGCTTCCATCCACTGGCTCATGGCCGTGTGGGCCCGAGCGCTTGAATCATCTGCTGCTGCTCTCCCAGGTGTGTCAGCAGGGAGGCTGATCTGAAGTGGAGCAGCTAGGAGATAAATGGTGTTCTTTTGGGATGCCCATGTTGCAAGCAGTGGCTTAACTTGTTTTGCCACAATGTTGGCCCCAGCTGACTTTTTTATTTTTTAATTTTTAGAAGAATTTGTTTATTTGAAAGGCAGAGTTAGAGGGAGAGGCAGAGAGAGAACTCTGCCTCAGGCCCTTTGCCCTAACCCCTGCACCCTGACAGTCCTTCATCTGTTTTCTATCATCATGATTTTGTCTTCTAAAAAAAATTCTGCGTAAATGAAGTCATATAGTCTGTAGTCATTTGGGTCTGGCTTCTTTCACTTAGCATAATGCTTTTAAGATTCATCATTTGTAGCAAGCAGCAGTTCACTTCACTTTATTGGTGAGTTGTATTCCATTGTTTGAATATGATACAGTTTGTTTATCTACTTGCCCACTTGATGGACATTTGGGTACTTTATAGTTTGGAACTGTTGTAAATAAAAGTGATATGAACATTCACATTGATATCTTAGTGAGGATGTATACATTTCTCTCTTTTTTAATACACATTTCTCTTGAGCATTACCGAGGAGAAGAATTGCTGAGTCATAGAGGATTTGTGTGTTTTAATATCATAAGGGACTGCCTTCAGCATATTTTAGCTGGTCTCGATTCTTTGCTTGCCCATGTAACTGTTAGAGTCAGCTTGTCAATTTTTGTAACAAAGTCAAAGCAAGTTGCTTGGGATCACATTGGAGTTATGCATCATTTTGTGAGTGATTGACAACTCTACTGTCTTCAGGTCCTTTGCTGAGGTGGACAGGTATCTTCCCATCTTATTAGGTCTTTAATTTCTTTCAACAGTGTTCTGTATATACCAAGCTTACCTCTAGTTAAACTTACTGCTTGGCATTTCCAATTTTTGATGTTGCTGTAATTAGGTTTTTTTTTTTTTTTTAAAGATTTATTTTTATTATTTTTTATTGGAAAGGCGGATATACAGAGAGGAGAGACAGAGAGGAAGATCTTCCGTCCGATGATTCACTCCCCAAGTGAGCCGCAACGGGCCGATACTATGCCAATCTGGAGCCAGGAGCCTCTTCCGGGTCTCCCACGCGGGTGCAGGGTCCCAAAGCTTTGGGCCGTCCTCTGCTGCTTTCCCAGGCCACAGGCAGGGAGCTGGAAGGGAAGCGGGGCTGCCGGGATTAGAACCGGCGCCCATATGGGATCCCGGCACGTGCAAGGCGAGGACTTGCGCCACCGCGCCGGGCCCTGTAATTAGGTTTTTAAAGAATTTCAATGTCCAATTTGTTGAGAGTATAAAAATTCTAACTGTCTTTTGTATATTGACTTATAGACCTGTATCCCACAGTCTTTTTTTTTTTTTAATGATTTATTTATTTTTATTAGAAAGGCAGATTTACAGAGAGAAGGAGAGACAGAAAGAAATATCTTCTCTTTGTTGTTCACTTCCTAAATGACCCCAATGTCTGGAGCTGAGCCAATCTAAAGCCAGGAGTCAGAGCTTCTTCCAGGTCTCCTACTTTGGTGCAGGGTCCCAAGTCTTTGGGCCATCCTCAACTGCCTTTCCCAGGCCACAGGCAGGGAGCTGTTTTGGGAGTAAATCAGCTGGGACTGGAACTTGCGTCCACATGGGATCCTGGCGCATGTAGGCAGAGGATTAGCCAATTGAGTGTTGCGCCATCCTCCCCCCTTCTTCCTCCCTCTGCGCCTCCCCCAGGAGGGACCACAGTCATAATAAATTTGCTCTAGGTGTTTTAGGATTTTGTATATGCACATAGGTGATTGTCTGCAAATAACAGTTTACCTTTTCCCTCCCAGCATATATTTTTTTTTTGTTTCTGTTTCTTTCCTCTTTACATGGTTTAGGACTTCCAGGGCAGTGTTGATAGAAGTGGTGGCACTGGTAAGCCTCACCTGTTCCTGATTGTAAAGGAAAGTATTCAGTTATTTGTAATGAAGTATGATGTTCGCTTCAGGGTATTGTTTATTTTTAAAGATTTATTTGTTTAAAAGGCAGAGGCATAGAGAGAGGAGAGACAAACAGAAAGATCTTCCATCTGTTTCACTCCCCAAGTGGCCGGAACGGCCAGACCTGAGCTGATCTGTAGCCAGGAGCCCAGAGCCTTGTCTGGATCTTCCACATGGGTGTAGGGTCCCAAGGCTTTGGGCTGTCCTTGACTGCTTTCCCAGGCCACAAGCAGGGAGCTGGATGGGATTAGAACCGGTGGCCATATGGGATCCCAGTTTGTGCAAGGCAAGGACTTTAGCTACTAGGCCTACTACCGCACCAGACCCACTGGTTTCTAATTTAATTCCATGGTTGTGTAAAATATAGCTCTATGTGGTTTTCATTGTTTTATCAGTTCATGTCAGTTTTCCTTCCTCTTGCAGGTGCGAGATCAAGCCCAGCGCTGTCCACGGGTCCTCCTAGATATTGAAGCCGGGGCTCCTGTTCTTCTTATCCCAGAAAGTTCCAGATCAAATAATCTGATTGTGGCAAATCTGGGGAAGCTGAAGGTCAAGAACAAATTTCTCTTTGCTGGTTTTCCTGGGACCTTTTCCTTGCAGGATAAGGTGAGTTGACTCTTCCCAGCTGTTCCCTTCCTGGCCCTCCTGGAATGCAGCACTGACAGACGGCCTCAGGTTCTGTCGTGTACCCTGTGGCATCTACAGCTCCTGTTGCCACCATTGCAGAGAGTGTGACTGGAAGGGGTTTTTGTTTTTTATATTTTATTGACACTTCATTAGCCTTTAAAATGAAGGTGATATAATCCTTATTAACTGTGTGTAGTAACTTCCATTACATAGCAGAGCACCCAAGGGAGCTTACCTTTCATCTTTTTATAATGCTTGCCATTTATAAAATATTTGTCCTATGCTAACAGCCTTTTCTGCGACTTTTTTCAGAGGAGTGTCTGTGATTTGGCGTGTATTTGAAGCCATTTCAAAGCATCTTCATGAGACGTTGTGCACCTCTTGCTTTGTAACTTTACATCATGTTGGCACTGATTTCTTACAGCGATGGCAGGTAGTTAGGATGAGCGTGTCCTTTTCTTTCGCATTTGGGAATGTTCTTGGAGAATAAACTGAGGATGGAAGCAGCTAAGAAATCCAGCGCGCTGAGGGCCATGGAGCTCGCAGCTGCTCTTGCCAGCCCCTTGCGCTGTTTTTCTTTTGAGGGTTGGAGGGATGTTTCTGGAACTAGAAATAAGGGCTTGTCATTGTTGGTGTGTGTTTTCATCATTCCTTGCTGGTTTCCACAGCAGCTTTTTAATCTGTGTGTTTATCCAGTACAAACTCATTTTAGTGTGCCAGGAAAGCACTTACCAAAATCCCCATCTAGTTTGGTCTATTTTTAGTCTAACAGCTAATAACATAGAGAGGGAGGGAACCTTTGAGAAGATGTGTGTAAGACTTGATTCTCAGACCTCATAGCTGTTGAAAGTAGCAGTACATATCTGATGTATATTGACTGGTAATTTACACCAGCATCTGCTAAATTGTTTACATATAAAAGGAAACCATTTCCTGTATTCACAATGCTGTTAATACCAAATCTGTGAGGTCCTTTCCTCCCACCCCTCCATCAGTCATACTCTTCCTGTCTTCCTATCCTTCCAATACCAACAAGGCGTTCTGCAGTTCAGGTCCAATGCTGCTGACCTGAAATTAGCATGGGCTCGGTGGGTTCAGGGCTCAGTCTTGCAGAGAGCCCCTAGAAACACGCGTCTAGCTCTTGGATATTTCTGTAAATTCGGAGTTTCTTTGTAAGAATCCACTTCTCCATACTAGGATTAAGTTTCTTTGAGAAAAATAATTGCCAGCGACAATTTTTGTATTATTTGTCACCCTTTCTAGAGTGGATAATAGCTCTTTTGGATTTTCAGAAGTGTATGGCAATGGTTGATTAACATAGATGAAAAATTGCATTGTTACTACAGAAAATAACTTTGAGCAGGTGTGGTCAGGTTCTCTAGATCTTGAAAGGAGAGAAACCAAAGGAGGTGAGTAGACAAAAATCATCCTGTGCCAGCAGTATTTATACAGTCCGGTAGTGAGGACCTGATGAACTATGTGCGGCAGCATAGCTGTGGCCTCTGGATTCAGGGAGGGGGGATGGGACAAAGGGCTAGAGGTCAGGTTCTGCAAGTGTCATCTCACTGACAGCTAGCTGTTCAAGTAAACTGGATGAAGTGATCGCCTTGAGCAACAGCGAGTGAGACCCCCGCAGCAGTGTGCTGCCCTGGCAGAGGCAGAGCAGGGTCGATGCTTCATGGGTTCCCTTCCGACACAGCTGCTGAGTGAGAGCGGGAAGCCTTCACCATGGCTCGCCTGCTCTCCTGCCGGAAAGTACGTCCTTGTGATCAATCTTTATTTTGAGGCCAGAGGAGATTTTCCAGGAAAGGGTCAATTAGAAAGGGTGATCAAGTTTAATGATACCATTTTTTCCCTCACCATTCCTTAAAAGGTTAGGGACCAATTTCCAGTATTAAAGATACCTATATATGGAATATACTAGACTCTAGGGTTAGCCTCGGGAGAAAAATTGCCAGAATATTTCAGGATGATTTTGCAAAAGTGTTTGTTTTGTTAAGCCAAACAGTGGTACGTGATTTATAGCATTTTAATGATATAACTTTCCTGTATTTGTTTTTTGAGGATTTGATTTTAAGTGGCAATACATAACAAGGATCCTTTTCTTTTCAAAGAGTAACACACTTTTTTGTCTCCTCATTATTCTGAAAACCGTTAGGGGATTCAGCCATCAATTCATATTCATATGCTTAAGAAAGTAAATCCAGGTATTTCATTACTTGGGAAAGCCTTCTTATCAGTCATCCCTCTTTTTTTTCCCAAGACTTATTTATTTATTTATTGGAAAATCATGCCCTTGCAGCCTGATAATGAAAATCTTTTTTTTTTTTTTGTTAGCACTAGGGACTAATTTTTTTTTTTTTTGATGCTGTTATTTTATATCCTGAAATCCTAGAAAAGTTACCTTGTTACCTGCTGGTGGTGGTTCTGTAGAATTCCACAAGGGCTACTTGGAGCGCGTCATTGGCTGCAGTGCTTGTGTTCCAATGGAGCTAAATGGGAAGCTCAGCTTTCCACACGCTTAAGCTCGCCATGCAGGGCCTGGCCAGGAGACCCGTTTCCTTCTTCGACAGATTTGCCCTTTAATAACACTCACATGGGAGGTTTGTCTTAACACGCATTCCAGTGGTTAACGAAGAGGAAATAATCCTGAAACCAGAGCTTGCAGGGAGATAATTTGCTCTGGAGCTTGGCGATTCTTGTGTGTTTGGAAATGTTTTACATAAATCCATTGCTCAAATTGTACAGGTTTGAATTTTTGCTTATGCTTTCCTTTCACTTATGTCAACTACAACGTGTCCTTAATGCTTTCCTTCCAAGTCAGAGCGTTTCACACACTGGGGTCAGTCTCTCCACGGTATTGATTACTTACACCTGAATAGAAGGATAGCGATGAAGCAGATGAAAGAGCAGCACTGCTTAGTCTATGAATAAACTAAATAAGAGGGGAGTTTTCATGTTGATGTACTTAAATAATATTTACCTCATAATTTGCCTTACCAAAAGAAAATGTGTGTAAGAACTGATTTCCTTTTGTGTTTCCTGTAGTTACAACTCCACATAACTGTGGGAGAGAACAGCGCTTTTTCAGAGCTGGCAAGAGTCACGTGTCTGTGGCAGTGCTAGCAGGAGGCTGGCAGAGCCGCTGGTCCCTTCCGCCCCGTCGGCACGTGTGAGTGGCTCGGCGGGGCCAGCCTGACGATGCAGTTGCTGCTGCACAGACTTGTAGGTCAGAGACTTCAGTCAGAAGAAAGTGGATTATTGAATCATAGATCTTTAACTGAAGATAGTATGTATGAAAGGAGTATAATATTTTCAGTAGAATTATAGTCTGTCGTATCCTGTGTTCACTCTTCTTAATTTTTACATCTGAGCAGAACTATCATTGGAGTGTGAGACCTGTGTTTTCCAGGTTAATCTAGAAAGGCAAGACGTGTGAACGTGTGAGGTGTGACCTCTGTAAAGTGCAAGCATGTCCCCGTGGTCCGCTCCCCACGGTGCCGTAAGGCACGTCTTCTCAAATGAGGGCTTTCCCCTCGGCAGGCAGTAAGATGCTGTATTGCTGAGATACTTGTTTTTTGTAGGTTAGGGTTTTGTTTTTTGTTTTTTTTTTTTTTTTTGCATTTAACTTAAGATCCAACCACCTGAAGTGATTAGTGTAGTGACATTTACTCTTGGCCACAAGATGCTATGTTTCCATAGAATTGCTATTGTTCTCAACAGGTGTTGAATAATATGTAACATCTCTGCACGTATAATTTATATGGCAGAAAATGACATGACTGTTTTCTTCTTCTTCATGAAATCTAGGAGGCTGAGAGGAGTGCAAGTGTGACTACATCTTTGAAATTCCTAGAGCAAGAGAGGACTTACAGTATATTAAAGATACTGTTGTGCCTGCATTCTAGAATGATGTTTTTCTTTCTTTCTCCCCAGGAATCAGTGCCTTCAGCTTCCCCAACAGGCACCCCCAAACACAGTATGAGGAAAATGACAATCACAGAGAACCCCAAGGGAGCCCATTCCTTGGGGCTGTTCATGATGCCTTCTGTTGGAGGCGGTCCGGAGAGCCAGAGGGACTCTGTGCCTAGTACCTGTGCCAGGCAGCGAGGGCAGCAGGCCGCGTCATTTGCAGGCCATATTTCCAGCAGTCCAGGTAAAACCAAAGGAAGGGACTATATATGGTGGTGGGGAAATTCCTGTGTGTGTTCTAGGAAGCTAAGGGGCAGGGGAGGTGGCAGTGTGTGGGGATTGACATGGGTAATGCACTGTGCCAAGCAAGTGCCAACAAAGATGGCATTTCTTGAGTGATAATTAATATTAGTGTTGCTTTAAAAGACTTAAAGGTGTTAGATATGGATCTAGCATCAATAGTATAGTAAGGTTAAATTAGCAAGACACAGCATAAATGAAAAGATTTTAGATTCTCTGTTAGAATCTCATAGATTAAGATAGATACCTCAGGGCCCGGTGTGGTAGACTAGTGGCTAAAGTCTTCACCTTGCACATGCCAGGATTCCATATGGGTATAGGTTTGTATCCCCAACAGCCTGGGGACCCTGCACCCGTGTGGGAGACCCAGAAGAGGCTCCTGGCTCATGGATTTGGATTGGCACAGCTTCAGCTGTTGTAGCAGCTTGGGGAGTAAAACAGTGGATGGAAGATCTTCCTCTCTGTCTCTTTTCCTCTCTGTGTATCGGATTTAAAAAAAAGATAATTACCATTAGATGGTGATAGTATGACTAGAACATCACAAGTTCTTTTAAGCCATTTCAAATGCTGTCATTGCAGAATACTAATTCTGAAAACTAAATAGGAAATAGAACGCTTTGGAAAACATTTTTGTGGGGCCCAATGCAGTGGCCTAGCGGCTATAGTCCTCACCTTGAACACGCTGGGATCCCATATGGGCACCGGTTCTAATCCCGGCAGCTCCACTTCCCATCCAAGTCACTGTTTGTGGCCTGGGAAAGCAGTCAAGGACAGCCCAAAGCCTTGGGATCATGCACTCGCATGGGGGCCCTGGAAGAGGCTCCGGGATCCTGGCTTTGGATCAGCACAGCTTTGGCTGTTGTGGCTGCTTGGGGAGTGAATCAGCAGACAGATCTTCCTTTCTATCTCTCCTCCTCTCTGCATATCTGACTTTCCAATAAAAATGAATAAAAAACTTAAAAAAAAAAAAAAGTGATGGCACCTGTAACAAGTGATTTGGACTATTGGAAAAGGTCTCTTTTTTTGGCCTGGCGCAATGGCTCAAATACTAAATCCTGCCCCCACATGCTCCTGGATCCCACATGGGCGCCGGTTTGTGTCCTGGCTGCTCCACTTCCAACCAACTCCCTGCTTGTGGCCTGGGAAAGCAGCAGAGGATGGCCCAAGGCCTGGGGACCCTTCACCCACATGGGAGACCTGGAAGAAGCTCCTGGCTTTGGATCAACTCCGGACCTAGCTGTTGTGGCCATTTGGGGAATGAACCCCTGGATGGAAGATTTTTCTCTCTGTCTCTCCTTTTCTCTGTAAATCTGCCTTTCTAATAACAAGAAAAAAATCTTTTTTTTAAAAGAACATTTCTTTTTTTTTTTTTTTTTAAAGATTTATTTTTATTATTTTTTCATTGGAAAGGCGGATATACAGAGAGGAGAGACAGAGAGGAAGGTCTTCCGTCCGATGATTCACTCCCCAAGTGAGCGCAACGGGCCGATACTATGCCGATCCGAAGCCAGGAGCCTCTTCCGGGTCTCCCACACGGGTGCAGGTTCCCAAAGCTTTGGGCTGTCCTCGACTGCTTTCCCAGGCCACAGGCAGGGAGCTGGAAGGGAAGCGGGGCTGCCGGGATTAGAACCGGCGCCCATATGGGATCCCGGGCGTGCAAGGCGAGGACCTTTTAACCACTTGCGCCACCGCGCCGGCCCAAGAACATTTCTTTTAAACAGTATTTTTCTTCCTGATTTGCTTTTTGTTTCTGAAATTCCCCTGTTTGTGAAACATTGCCTTGGATTTAGGGTAGTGGTTTTCACCTTGTTTTCATGCATTCCTAGGGTTTTGTCATAGAACCCTAGGGAATCTCTCAGAAGGCTGTTTCATTCCCATTCCTTATTTGCTTCCATCCAGGTTAGCTCATTTGCACATATTTCTCATATTCACCAATGACATCAAGTAATAAGAACTATTTTATTTAGTATCTACTTTATGCCAGCTAGTATAATAATTTATTGTATAATGCATTAACATGGTATAAGATGTGGTTCCTGCTATATGCATGTTCTAGAGGCTAATGAGAAAGACATTAAGTAAACATATAAATATTGATAGCTCATAATGAATGTTTTCATAGGAACCCAGTTTAGATGGAAATGAGAAGGAGGTGATGTCACATTGGATTATTCAGGCAGCAGAGAGCCTGGCATTTGAATCCATAAGCCTGGGGCTTACTCAGCCAGTGAGAGGATGGCTTGAGATGAGCTTGGAGAGTGAGCAACAGGCTGACATAGGGCCTTGTAGGGATCGGAGGGGGTTTTACAGAAAAAATTTTGGATTAAACATAGCCATTAAAGTGTATAAAGGAAGGGAATGTTATGGTGCATTTATTTTTTTTAAGGATTACACAGGTATTTTGTGGGGAGAGTGGTTTTGTTAAGCCCAGAATGGAATTCTGTATGTGTGTTGCAGGATTGTTTATGGTGGTCTAGGAAAGAAAGAAGTGTGGTTTAGATTTGATCAGTGGTACTGGAAATGGTTACACATACTACTTGGAAAAAGCATGTTGCTGCTGGGAAAAGTTTGTAAACCTTTGGATAAATTTGTCTTTAGGGAACAATTGCAGGTTAAGTCGTTTTTACTTATAAACCTTTTAACATCACTTTGTGCCTCAAAATAGGAGGCAACCTGGCATGTGCCAAGTATGGCAGAGGGGTGCATTGAGCTTGTCATGGGGAGGCCTTGCTACCATGGTGCAGACCCAGTGGCCAGTTTCCTCAGTGGATAGCTGGGTCAAGTAGACAGTTCAGCAGACAGAATTAACGTACTTGAGCTTTATAATTGTATTCGGGGCCAATCCTTTTTGGGACCCCTTTTCTTCATGATCTCGTTCTTTGGGCCTTCTAGAAGACCACGTCTGCCTTCTGGACTGCATTGTCGTGGATCTGCAGGACATGGACATCTTTGCTGCTGAGCGACGGCCACGCGAGTACTCTGCCCCTTCTGAGGACAGCAGTGGAGATCTCGTCTTCCCCTCCTATTTTGTGCGGCAAACAGGAGGAAGCCTGCTAACTGAGCCATGCAGGCTCAAATTGCAGGTGGAGAGGAATTTAGACAAGTGAGTGTTTCCCTTTCTGAGTGACTATTGTGAGTAGCATCTGCTGTTGTAAGTCACAGAGGGCATTCGCTGTTTCCTCGTCTGCTGACGCATGTTAGTGAGTCCCTGCTATGTGTTAGACATGAGGTCACAGTTACTGGGATCAAAGAGAAGTCTTCTTAACCTTCAGGAGCTTACTTTTTTGGGGCTATGAAAAGGTGAGTAGATGATTCTAGTTTAATGTTTGAATCAGTGCTGTAAACTGTGTGCCAAGATTGTAAGTGCCTTGGAAATAGATGGATTTGGGTGGTGATGGAGGATGGTGACGCGGGGACAGTCTTCTGGAAGAGGTGGACATTTAGATTCCGGGTTCCAAATGCAGTAGACTCCAGACCTGCTACTCTGATCCAGAGTCAGCATAACTGTTTAGGTGCAGTTTTGTCTTTTTTATTCCATTGAATGATGAAAGCGTTCTGTAAAGACTAAAGAGCTGACCATGACTGGCCCTGTGGTCGGTCTCAGCACTCAGGATGCTCTTTCTATGGTTCAGCCAGTGCTTTCAGTTGTCATTTCTTTATGTGCCTGGAAATTTCTAGGAAAAATAAAATTGCTAGATGCTATGTGAGAGCAGGTTCAAGGCCAATGTCCAGGTGTGTATTTCACCAGGTCCTCTGAGGGTCCCTTAGCTCACCTGCTCCTGTGCATGGACTAGACACTTCTGGTTCCAGTGGGTGACCAGTTTCATTTTGGGGCACTAATTATGGAGAAGGTAGCAACATTTTTGCATCTTGACTCCGGAGAGAAAGGTAAATGTGGCTATGTGGTGATAGAAGAGATTTTCATTTGTGGCATTTTGAAAAGCAGCCACACTAATTGTGTAGAGTGTGATTTTAAGCTTGCTGTGGCAACTCCCCTTTGTAATTTTCAGGTTTGGGCAAGTCATTTATGCCCCCACCCTTTTTTCCTCTGGATTAATGATGCAGTGTAGCTGTTCTCACTGGGATGTTTGTGTTTCACTCTTTCTTGTTATTCAAGTGCTGCCTGGCTGGTGTTCAGTTATGGTTGGCATGGGTTCTATTTGGTTTTACTGGCTTAGCAGTATTAAGAAGAGCTTCAGTATTTAGAAATTGAACACTTTGTTTTCTTTTGAGGCAGTGCTTTAAAAAAAAAAGTTGCTCTGCTATTCTGCTTATCTAAACTTTACCCACTCCCAATAGTGTTTATGTGTGGATAATTATAGTCTGTTAGTCCCACTAGGAGGTGAGACTGGGCACAGGGTATCCTGTCAGCTTCTCACAGCACATAAATAGGAGCCCAGGAGGCAGTTGGTAATCCTATCCAGTTTCGCTCTCTTGATTACATCATTGGTCTTGACTGTTGCATGTAAATTTTTCTGAATAGACAATATAATTGTTTATATTTTCCATCCCGAATCCTAGCCCTCCATGTCACATGTTCAGAGCATGGTGTCTATAGGATCCATGATGCCCGTTTTGCCTGGGGAAGGCTATAGGAAGAAGCCCGTTGGTGTGGAGTCTCCTGATCCGGGCACTTCAGCTGTCTTCTGTCTGTCCCACCTGTTCAGTTTCTACCAAAGTCCCATCTGAGTTTTTTTTTTTATTACTACTGAATGTGAAAGTAAGAGTTTTACATCTTCTTTATTTGCTTTCCCAGCTACAAAGTTTAAGCTATTTTGCAACCCCATGAGGTTTTCCTTACAATAGGTAAACTCACTCATGTTAGATTAGAAGGTTTTCTAAATGTATATTCTGAAAGAAGAAAGTTGATGTATGCATATATGTCAATATATATATGAAGTATAATAGTCATACTAACTTGGTTCATTTGGAGCTCCAGCAAGGTTTTGTTATTGGAAATTAGAAATTAACTATTTGAAAGTGCAAGTGAGTACATTTAAACTTTTGTATTCAGAGGTACACTGTCAGTGTTAAATTAGTGACATTTTTGTTGAAATGATCTTTTCTTTTTCATAGAGAAATTAGTCATACTGTGCCAGACATATCTATCCATGGCAATCTCTCTTCAGTCCACTGCTCCCTGGATTTGTCAAAATATAAGCTCATCCGTGGCCTGTTAGAAAACAACCTTGGAGAGCCCATAGAGGAATTTATGCGACCCTATGATTTACAAGATCCAAGAATTCATGTGAGTGAGACTTTATGTTCTGTAACTCTCACAGTTTTAAGCGGATGATCCGCCTAGGCACATGTTGTTGAGCATCACCTGGACGAAGAAGGTGACAAGCCAGGCGGCTTTCTTGGCTTACTGACCTAGTTTACATTGATGCCATCAACTCTGTGTTGAGCAGCATTTTCCTTTTGCAGACTGTTCTCAGTGGAGAAGTGTACACCGGCATGTGCTTCCTTGTGGACATGGTAAATGTAAGCCTGGAGCTTAAAGATCCAAAAGGAAAGGAAAGTGCCAGCTCCCTGGCCAGGTATGGCTTTAAACCTGTTGTTCTACTGTTGATGACAGTGGATGCAAAGAGTACATGCAGTTTCATTTGCATTGAATCAAAGAGTGTGGCTTTCTAAGGGCCCTTCGGTTAGTCTACGTAGTGCTTTGTAAATGTTTAAATTCAGGACAGGCATTTAGCCTAGCAGTTCAGGTGTAGCATCCTGAATTGGAGTGCTTTGCTTTGATGCCTGACTGCACTCTTTAATCCCTGTCCCGACTGGGGAAGCAGCAGGTGGTTGCTCAAGGGTCTGTGTCCCTGCAGCCTTCACTATTATATCCCTGGCTCCAGAGGCCCTTGTAGGCATCCATACCCTCTATCGATCTCAACAACAAATAAGCAAATTAATTAGTTAATTAAAAATGAAAGGGTTGTTTATTTGCCCTCAAATACCAGTGGCTTCCTACAGTGACTTCCCCGTAATCTTGGCACCTGATCACTGTGGGGATTAGGCTGTTTGTCTCATTGTATTAAGGATGACAGAGCAGCCAGCATTCTGATGATTCTGAGAGAAACACAGGGGCTCTGTAATGGTCCTAAATGACAATGGAATGCTCTTGCAAACTGCGGGGAGCTAGCGCGTGGGCCTGCCTGGAGCCAGCAGTAGAGACCAGCTTACTGAGTGTTGTGAGGCAGTACTGACTGCCTCTCTGGCCAACATTGCAAAACTTTAGAAATTTTACCTAAAAAGTTTGGATTTTAGCTTGTTTCTTTACCCCTTGTTGTTTGTAGCTGCTTTTGACTTGTGATCTGCTTTCTTGATTATGTGAAATGGATATTATGTTTAACATCTTGTTTGCTTTCTCCTTCTTAGATTTGACTTCAAGAAATGCAGACTGCTCTATGAGAGCTTTTCCAACCAGACTAAGTCCATTAACTTAGTTTCCCATTCTATGCTGGCCTTTGACACTCGCTGTGCTGGGCAGAAGGCCAGTCCTGGCACAGCCAATGTGTTCAGTTGCATCTTCCAGCCTTCCAAGAGCAGCACCACTCAAGGATCTATTCAGATTGAGCTGCATTTCAGGTACAGGAGCAGAACCTGAAGTGGCCTTTCTCTGTGGAGTCGTTTCCTGTGTGTCCAGTGGGGGCCCAGTGTGTTCCGGCTTTAGAACATCAGGGAACCACAGAGTCCCAGCGCAGCGTGTCATGTGTTAACATGTAACTTCTGTTACCTTGCAGTTACCTCTTGTGACCAAAAGATGTCTCTGTTGCCTTTAAAGATTAGTATTGAATCAAATTTTGAAAATGAAAAATTTTTGAAAACCAAAACATGATTTTTGAAGATCAACCTGCCTATAAACCATAGCTTGTTAGGATTTATAAAGTGAAAAAGTTATGCTGACTTAGGGGAAAAAAAAAGATTCTTGGCCTATGAAAATAGTGGAAGGGAAGATGGTTTGGATTTGAATTACATCTGTTTATTTAAGTGTCATTGATTTCCCTGTATAAAGAAAGTTTTACCTTTTTGAAGTACATTTTTTTTTTTCCTTTGTGTTGTGGAAGGCAGGATGGTGTATGTGCAGTGAAGGCTTTGGAATCAGACAATCATGGTCTCACAACCTCAGATTTACCGCTCAGCTGTGTGTTTCAGGGCAAGTTGTCTGGCCTCTTTGGGCCTCAGTTTCCACTGCTGTAACTATACCTACCTTCCAACTGGACATGATAATATGAGTGGTTCTGGCGTGTTGCTTGGTAAAGATGGTGGCTGTCACTGTTACTCACTTAGCTCTGCTCTAGTGAGATTTTATGACCAAATGAGCATAGGCCTGGAACCTGAAAAATTAGATCTGCTCTCAAGAAATTCTTCAGCGAAAATCCCAAAAGGACATCTCTGGAACCAATGTCAGTTTCATTCTATTAGTTCTTGATGTCATCTGACATATTATAAATAAAAACCATTTAATAGTAAGGCTGGGGAAAATCTGAACAACAGCAACAACAACAAAAAGCATTGAGACTATTCTGTATTGCATGTGTAGGATTTGGTGTGAGGAGGGCAGTGGGGATTCCACTCTCCCTGAATGCCTTTAAAGAAGTCCAGGAAGGAAGACAGACTTCTTCCTGAACTCTGGAAAGGCTCAGTAGGGGGAATGCTCTCTGTCTGCTTCTGGGGTCTGTTGTGAGTTGGGTGCTTCACTTATTGTCAGCGAAGCCTCACAAGTCTGCTTAAAGGGTGATTTTGACTTTATAAATGCAGACAGAAACTTGGGGAAGGGCTAAGTAACTCTTCTAAGGACACACAGCTAAAGTAGTCTGAACTCAGGCCTTGGTCTCTGACATGAAAGCCCAGGTCCTTTCTGATGGTTTTCAGGCTGCTGGTTGCTTGATTGCAGTTAGAAGTGAAGGTGGTTATATCTTGAACTTCTTTTTCTTTTTCTTTTTTTGAATAGTTTATTTGAACAGAAAGTTTGTGTGTATATACATATATACATATACAAAAATATATACATATACCAAAAAAGTTTGTATATGTATTTGGTTCATGAAAATAACTGTTTTTTGTTTTTTGGGTGTGCTTGATTTTCACTGATCTAGCTTATGGAGCTTCTAGCTGCTTGCCTTATTGAACTTGTTTGAAATATATAAAAAGCCTTGAAATATCTTTATTTGTATTCTAAAGCTTTAACATTTCTTGGAGCAAGTAATAAAGTCTTACCTTGGCTCTTGCTAACAGAAATAGCATTGTTGGTGAGCAGAGTAAAACATTCATTCTCTTGATTGGAACTTCAGAACGCTTTCCGTGTCTCAAAGAGAATTACTCTTCTGTTGGGATTTTGCATGTCAAATATAAATCACTTCACAGTGTTTAAAGGCTTGACATATTTTCCAGAAAAGGATCTGACACACTCTGACTTTCCAGTTTGTGCTGAGCTCTGACAAGCTGTGTTCAAAATGGGGTGGAAAAATTTTACTGAGGGCAACATTTTTTCTGTATTACAAAAGGATGGAGTGTTTCTGAAGAATGCTGGCCTGTGAGAAGGAGACATGTAGCATGCTGCCCTTTTACCAGAGGCAGTGAGCCAGGTTCAGCAGAAGTGGGGCACTTAGACCAGTCTAGCAGTGCTTTCAGATGAGCCTCCCTCAAATGGGCATGCCTTGCAGGGCAGGGGAGTTCCTGCTGTGGGTTTGGAAAGCCAGATTTAATCTGGGAGACACCGTTGAAGCTTTCCTAGGCCTCGTTTCTTCTGTCTATCAGAGAGGCTTGAACCAAGCTCCTGGCCACTCCATGGATTCAGGCAAGACCTCAAAGTCTGGGTTTTTATGTCAAATAGGAAATTTAGGGTAATGAGGACCATAAAACTCCACCCAGTTCTACATTTTCCCTATTGAGGAAATACTCATGATAAATGTCATCTTATTTGTCCTTTTCAAACTAAAATATCTAGGCTCTCCCATCCCATCTTCTGGAGACATCATCTGGTGTTTTGTAAGCTTGGTGTGTTATAAAGGTGCCTCCTCTTTGCCTGGGGTGTTCTCTCTTAGCATGTGAACATTCCTCGTACGTGAGGAAGCCAACAGGGAGGATAGAGTGACTAGCACGGCTTGGAAGTGACAGTGGTTGGATCTGGGCTTCTGACTCCACAGACTGTACTTCTTCTGCTTCGGCAGAATCTCACAGCCTTTGCACTGCAGGCAAGCATCCCCTCTGCATTTCACATGGGGGATTTTTGTATTAGATTTTGGAGCACTTGCATAGACTTGACTTGATTTAGCATGCCTAATCTATAAAACTCCCAAACATGAAACTGCATCATGTTGGTGCTTAAATAGTTTGGATTTGGGGTTTTCAGATCAGGGTTACTCAACCTGCACTGAGATTTTGGATAAAAATTTCTCTGTTGTGGGGATGTCCTATTAATTGTGGGATGGTTAGCAATATCCTGGCTTCTGTTAGCTGCCAGCAGCAACCTCTTCTGAGGGATAACAAATACCTCCAGACAATGCCAAATGTCTCCTTGGGAGCAAAACTGCCCTGGTTGAGAACCACTAAGCTACCCAATATTGTTTTTTCTTAGCATATTCCTTCTTGATTAAAAAAATATGATGTTACCCTTTGAAAAGCATATACTGAATATATTATTAAGCCAGTGTTGAATGTTTATTGACTCTCAAAGCTATCAGTTTAGAAAATACTGTATGCCCTTTGCCAGGAATGCGTAATACATTTGCAGATCATTAAAATGTCATTTTTTTCTTTGTCCTATTCTTTATTCTCATAGGTCTACCAAGGATTCCTCCTGTTTTACAGTAGTTCTCAACAATCTTCGTGTGTTTCTCATATTTGATTGGCTCCTGTTAGTCCATGATTTTCTTCATACTCCCAGTGATATTAAGAAACAGAATGTTACTCCTCGTCACCGGCACTCTAGCAGTGAATCCACTGTGGTTCCCAAAACTGTGAAGAGCGGAGTAGTTACCAAGCGGTCCTCCCTTCCTGTGTCTAATGAAAGACATCTGGAGGTCAAGATCAATGTAACAGGTGAATATACGTAGGCAGAGCTCACTGGTTCTGAGTTTAGCTGTCAGACTCAATCTCTGTCTTATTGGATAATTTCTCTTAATGCTTTTCATTTTTGACATGAGCCCATATACATTTGCATCTTTTAAGACTAAAGGACTGCATGGTTTCAGAGTCTCTTGTTCCTCTGACAGTGTGTGTGTACCTGGCCTGAGCACCTGGCTGAACACTGGTGTTTTTTTCCCCAATGTGAAGTCTGGTTTTAATTTCTGATTGATCTTTAGGACCCAACACATGGATCTTAACTGAATCTTGGCAAATGTAGTGCCTTGGAAAAATTGCTTTTGAGGGTGAATCAGTCAGAGGGTTGTTACTTTCTATCCCTTTACAGATGGACTTCCTTTTGTTTTCCTTTAACTAGAGAGCTCGCCCGGTGCATCTGTGGGGTTTGTGTCAGGAGGGCTGTTTGTCATACCCTCTGCCTGCTTCTCAGTGGTCTTGATGCAACTTGGTAGCACAACACGTTTTAAATGGATTCAGGCACAGATGCTTGAGCTGCAGATGATTTTTTACAAAAGCACCGTGTGCAACAGAGTGAATTTGCCGTGTGTGAATGAATTTGGAAAACTGCCTGCTGGCTTAAAAAATCTCAAGCTTGAATGAGTCTATGTTCTGTGTGAACAACTGGACCAGCTGCATAGATCCAGCATAGTGCTTATGATGTCTAACCAATTCTAGTATCTGAGTCCACCTCCTGAGGTTTTCTAGCAAGGTGCTACTTGGAGAAAGGATGCTTTCCAGGGTTTCTGAGTGTCTGTCAGCCTTCCCAGAGGACTGGGATGTAGTTTCTCTCTCCAGCTTAAAAATAGATGCTTCAGAGAGAAACCTAACCTTGGGTCGATTGCCATTGCTTCCATTGCAGGCACGGAGTTTGTGGTCGTTGAAGATGTGTCCTGCTTCGATACCAATGCCGTCATTCTGAAAGGCACCACAGTGCTCACCTACAAGCCCCGCTTTGTTGACCGCCCCTTTTCAGGCAGTTTGTTTGGCATTGAGGTAAGAATTTTGTGAGTTGATCACACCATCACATGTTTAGCTCTGAAGAAAAGCATTATCATGTGAGGGAAAAGAACTCATGGATTTGGAGGGTTCTTGCAATGTTCTGAAGTTACTGAGTTACTGTAATATGTGAATTCAGACCTGCAATGTTAGGCTGTAAACCGATGGAGCGACTTTCTCTCTTAGCCCCTTCTCTTCTCTTCTCGTCCCTGAAAGCCTGTCAGGCAGCTTGTTGAGGCCTCTAGTTCTGTAGGTCTGCTTCATGGCAGATTTGTAAACATGAGGCAGCAGATCTCCTTTCCCCACACCAAGTACTGTCCTGGGAAGATCTAGGGCTTTTGGGTAATGGAAACGTGTTTACATAAAAGGTGTGAAGGATCTTGGGTAGTTTCTAACTTTTGGAATATCTGATCTATGAAAAGGCTGGAGAAGCACGTGTAGTCCCAGAGTACATCTCTGACCGTGGTGCTTTAGGTTCTGATGTCGTCTCGTGGAGATCCTTTGTACTGGAGTAGCCTTTGTAGCTAGAAATTTCATCTGCAGTACTAAGCAAAACCTGCTGTCTCTTTCCAAGCCAAGGGAATGTGACAGCTTCTTGATTCCATCACATGTTCTTAATTCCCTGATCTCCGCTCACATTCCTCTCGTTACAATGTGAGAAGAGTTGGGCTGGGTTCCTCTCCCTCTACTCCTGAACTGTTCCTGCCTTTTCTTTCCACCTGTGTTGCTCAGAGGTTGGATGAGCAATATGTTATGCTTTTGTGGGGAGATGTGTTAAATATAAATATAAATGAATAAAACTTATAGATATGTCACATATTTAAATAAATATTGATAGATTGATTTGGAAGGCAGAAATATTAGGGGGAGGGATTGAAAGATCTTGCATCTACTTCCATCCGAATCTCTCGTGTGGGTGGTAGGAACCCAAGAACTTGGGCTGTCAGCTGCTGCCTTCCCAGTCCTAAGCAGCAGCAGCATGTGCTGTACCACAGCGCTGGCCTCCACACCTCTTTTCTTGGCCACTTGTTTTCTCATGTAAAGAAGGCTCAGTGTGAGAGGAAAGATTTACATGCTGATGTGATGTGAGTTGATCTTGAAATCTCAGTTCAATTTTCTTTCCAAACCACCGCACTACCCGCTTTGAATGAGAAATGTGGGTGGTTGATGAATGAGCTGTCAAGCACAGCTGAGTTTGTATGGCAGAAGCCCTGCAAGGAAGATGAAACTTCCTTGCTTCACAGCCTCAGTAAAGCTGCAGGGCAAGATGTTGGAGACCCTTGGAAGCTCTGCTCAGTGTTGTGCTTTTCAGTTAGGTTAGGACAAACCCTCAAGGGGAGGAGAAGGGACAAAAGAGCCTAAAACAAATGGTACCTTCCTTGCTGTGTGCACTGCTAAGCACAGTGTTAGCCTGGGAGTCCTCCTGCCTTCTCTCTCTCCCCACAAATGATGATTATTTCTTGTAGCATTTTGTTATAGAATATTCTAAACATGTAAGATAAGCAGAATAATGTAGTGAACATCTAGGTATCTACCATCCGGCTTTAATAATTCATGTATTTATTTTTAGTTAAGGAAAGGGAAAGTCACCTTTACTACACATAGGTAACCTCTATTGACATTTGATTTTTTTTTTCTGAAAATAGAAAGTCATGGAGTAGTACTATTTGCTTTGGGCTATCGTTTCATATTACCTGTGCTATAACTGTCTTCTTTCACTCCATATAATCTGTTTAACACTCATTTCTAAATGGCAACAAATGTTCCGTAAAACAGAAACGATATCCCTTTGTTGTGGTTTATTTTTTTTGTCAAAAATTTTTATTTTATATACTTGAACATCTGAGAAAGAGCTCTGTGAACTTTTCTGTATTTTGCATTATTAACCCAGTTTCTAAAGAGAAGTTAGGAATTTGGGGTACAAAGATGTGAGATCGTCATGGCTTTTGGGATGAATTTTCCAGGACCCCCTTTCTCAGCGTGTGTGCTTGTGTGTGCTCTCGGTACTTGCCGTGGGCCTTGTGATGATACAGGACTGATGCCTAGTCATCCCTGCCCTCTGCATTTTGTTCTCTAGGTGTTTTCATGCCGACTTGGGAATGAACAAGAGACAGCACTTTCAATTATCGATCCGGTACAAATTCAGGTGGAGCTGGTGGGGAATTCTTCTTACCAGAACAGCTCGGGACTGATGGATGCATTCAATAGTGAAGATTTTCCGCCTGTCTTGGAGGTAATGGTGAAGGATCTCTCACTCTAGAACCCACTCAAACACCTTCCGTTGTCAGCTTCTCCCAGGCTCAACTGGGCAGAGGCAGTACAGAGATTTGGTTCTATTTCTGTCCTAGGAGATTTGGGGAGGAGAAAAGACCTTCTTGTTGCCTGATGCCACGTTGAACTTCTGTGACAATTTACAGGAAGCAGAACTCAGAGTAGGCAGGGGTATTTACTGTGAGTGGAGCTCAAGGTCGGGTGAGTCCCTGGGGAAGTGCGGCTTGTCAGTTGGCAGAGTGGAAGAGGAAAAACATTTGATGTTACAAAGCAAAGTCTTTGTGGAAACAGAAGCTGTTGGACCAGGCCAGTCAGCTGTGCAGGCAATGGCAGAGGACCAGAGGGTATAGCCAGACAAGGGAGAGTTAGTTTGGTGTTTTCATGAATTGGTTGAAGGAAATAGTCTATTTGCACCATAGAAGATTGAAAAAGCGAGAAAAGCCTTTGGGTATTTTTGTCTTAGTAGTGTCTCATGGGCAGATAAAAAGTGAACGAGGCAGCACACTGCATGTTCTGATGGTTCTGTGGCATTGCCGTTCTTAGTGTTCTGGCAGGGAGGCTGCTGTAGCCTCCCCACCGGCAGCCAAATTGCTAATCTCTGAGGAAGACTGGATTTCAGGAAACACCCTTTGTCTGTGTCTAAGTTGATATGTTCAAAATTATGTTTAAAGAAAGAAAAGATAGGGCCCGGCGGCGTGGCCTAGTGGCTAAAGTCCTTGCCTTGAACGCGCCAGGATCCCATATGGGCACCAGTTCTAATCCCAGAAGCTCCACTTCTCATCCATCTCCGTGCTTGTGGCCTGGGAAAGCAGTCGAGGACAGCCCAATGCTTTGGGATCCTGCACCCCTGTGGGAGACCTGGAAGAAATTGCTGGCTCCTGGCTTCGGATCAGCACAGCACCGGCTGTTGCGGTCACTTGGGAGTGAATCGACAGACGAAAGATCTTCCTCTCTATTTCTCATCCTCTCTGTATATCTGACTTTGTAATAAAAATAAATAAATCTTAAAAAAAAAAAGAAAGAAAAGATAAATTTTGTTCCTTAGTTTAAAAATTTAAAAAATTAATTATATCCATACCAAATGGATTAGGACGTGTTACTGATCTATATTCTTGTTTCCACCAAGCCGTTCTCTGATCCTTCCTGTTCATGATTAATGCACTTGCATGGAAATCATCCTGCTGACATATTAAATGTTACAGCAATTATTCTAGCTTCATATTTTTATTTGGTGCAGTTATGTGACCATTTAAGCTCAAGGCTGTCCTACTTCATGGTTATTACTGCTTACTTTCAAGATCTTTGCAGTGTTTAAGTGAGAAAAATCTTTTAAGTGAGGACTTTTAAAACTTAAAATATGAATTCTATCTGTTAAAGTGTGGATGTAAAACCAAGTACCTCTAAAAATGTGCTACCTTTTGCATTTTTTAGATTCAGTTGCAAGCCCTGGATATCAGACTGTCATATAATGATGTTCAGCTGTTTCTTGCCATTGCGAAATCCATCCCAGAGCAAGCTAGTGCTGCGGTGCCGGAGCCAGTGGCCTCGGAGTCAGACTCTGTTGGCAGTCACCTCTCGGGCACAGCTCGAGTTGGAGAAGAAATCAGAGAAGGGACAAGACATAGCTTAGATCCGGTCTTGGGTAGGTGTCTGACATTAAACCCACCCAGTGCTACTACCAACCATTTTCCCTTTTTAATCTTAAACTTGTTCAGAATCTAATTGTATGTCATTAAGTGTAATTGTGAGTCATGACTCTAATTTTTTTTTTAATTTAAAAACAAACCAAGTACCCTAAAAGAACCGCTGAAGCCTATGCTGTTTTTCTTCTTGCAATTAATTCTGGAATTATATGGATAATGCTAAAATTTAGTTTTAAACCATAAGTATTTTCCTCCAAGTTATGTGGATAATACTTAGTTTTAAACTTTTAAAAACATAGGCAATATAAGGGAAAGACTTTACATGTCAGGTACATTTGCTGGAAGCCTTCAATGAAAAGTCCATTTTACATATGGAACTGAAATATGTTGATTGCCAATGTCTGAATTTCTTAAGTTAGTCTGTGGATTAATTTCCATAAAATTGTTCCTTAGAGTTACAATTGGCAAGACTGCAGGAGCTGGGATTCAGCATGGAGGACTGTCGCAAAGCCCTGCTGGTGTGTCAAGGTAATTTGAATGAAGGTTCCATGACCTAGTGCTTGTATCTAGAATATGCTTCCTTTCCCTCTCCTCTCTCTGTGCTGCTGCCTGTCTGGAAGACCCCCCACATGTCTCTGCATTTTAGATAGTTAATGATTTCTTGGGGACAAGAAAGTGGGCTCTGGAGCTGACTGCTTGGGTTGGATCCTGGGTTTGCCCCATCTCAACCATTCATGAATGAGTGTGAGCCCAATGCTCGGTCTCCTGGACCTTAGTGCTCTGTTGTCTGTGAAATGAGGTTCAGGAGACACCATTCAGAGGGTTTATGTAAATACTTCATCGTGTGTAAGTGCTTGAGAAGCACCTGCATGGCACACTGTGAGCCATTGGCACAAAAGGTGGTGGTAATAGTGGATGTGCCAGTACTGCTTCCTGCACTCGCTGAGTTCCTATAGGCCTGTCTCTTGGATTCCCTGTTGACTTCCTAGCTCATGGCTCTAGCGGTGAGCTTTGCTTCAGCTGAGGAAACTGGCTCAGGTTATGGAAGCTTGTGTTAGTGAGGCCCCAGTTGGTTTGAGGTAGGCCCTGACTCCAAGCCCGGGTTTTTTCCCGAGTCAGGAAATGCTCCCAAGGTTGTGTTTCCTTGAGTTCCTTACACCTGTGGGTGCCCTCTCCCTGTCTGATTCTCTGTGCTGTGCTCAGCCATCCACTTCTGTACACGTACATTTTGTAAACTGGTAGATTATGTGGTAAATATAGTCTTACAGGCTTTTTAAGTAGTATTTTATTGAAATATTTTATTATGGTTACTTAATATTACATTAGCATCTTTCTATATCATTAAATCTTTTGTAAACTGATTTCTTTTTACATTAGCTCTAAGAATATATTATACTTTCTAACCTTTCACTTGTTTTTCTTTTTTTTTTTAATATACATAGTTGTGTAGTAAGCATATTTTTGGTGTGAACTTTTGTCTTTTAACGATGCCCTTGATAGACCCAGAATTATAGCCACTGGATAAATGTGTATATTAAATTTTTCATGCCATGTAGTGGACTTGACAAGTCTTTTTTCTGAAAAGGCTGGGCCTGAAGTGCCTCATTGTTTATTTGTGAATTGACCAGAATCTGGAGTCTGAAACAGTCCCAGAAATTTTTAGATATTGGATAACCTTTATCTAAAATGTAACCCTTAATTAAGTTTACCTTTTCCGTGCCTTTCACTCTTTTCTTTAACAGTGAAAGCACATTTAAAAAATGTCTAAGAAACTCTGTGTCTTTGTTAATTTGTTTTCTTTAGTATCTAAAACTTCATGCTATCATTAGTAAGGCTGGTAATAGAGCTGGGGTTTATCACACCTTTTGAACAAGCCGGCCTTTGCTGCCAAAGCTTCGAGTGTGCCCTGTATTTTTTCCTCAGATCAGCCCTATTTGTGGATATGTGGGTGCCAAAAGATAAGTACCACCCTGATCCAACAGCTGGTACATACAGAACCAAGTCTGGATCCCATGCCCTTAACCGCTTACACCGTTCCCTGAATGTTCTCTGGTGATTTATAAGTGTTGCTTTTCTGGATTTTTTTTTTTTTTCTTTTCTTTTGAGAGGAGTAGAACTCTAAGCAATCTGTTCATATTTAGGTAGCTGGTATTTAACTCTTGTTTATTACACACATGCCATTCTCATGTTGCTGGTTTTAAGGAATTTATGATTGGTTGAGAAGATATTATACACACAATAGGACATTTGAAAACAATTAAGCAGTGTACCACAATATGCAAAGCTAGGTAGTGAAGATGAACTGCTTCAGCACCAGGTAGCCTTTAGAGGCTGGATCCTCTCATGTTCTTCCTGTCAGTGGTCTGGGTCAGGTCCTGACAGGTGTGGTGAACTTGAACATAAGATACAAAGAAGGCTGCCTTCTACCACTTCAAAACAGGATTCCTATTGTTAGGCTAAGTCTGAGAACACTTCTGGAATCAAGGCTCCTTTGGGCTTTCCAGGAGGTCCCTGACAAACTTGGTTTTTTCAATTTGCTGGGTTAAGCTGTGGAAGTTGGTGTAAGCTGATCCCTTTTAAATTTGTTTGAAGGGCAACTGAAGAAGGCAGCAAGTTGGCTGTTTAAGAACGCAGAGCCCCTGAAGTCTCTGTCGGTGGCCTCCGGCAGCCGGGACAGCCCTGGGGCCGGGGCAGCCGCCCGCCTCTCTGGCGTGGAGATCAAGGCCGAGAGCGTGTGCATCTGCTTCATCGACGACTGCATGGACTGCGATGTTCCTCTTGCTGAGCTCACCTTCTCCCGTGAGTGCTGTCCTGGTCTTCGGATGAACCCAGTGATAGCTGAGTTACTGGGGCCCTTTTAAAATGTCAGCATTCATGGTGAATTCTGCTTAATAGTATGAAATTCAGTAGGGTAAAATTTAATTGATGATTTTCAGATGCTTTTTATTATGTGTATAAAAAAAAAGATTTATGTGTTTGTTTGAAAGGCAGGGTTAGAGAGAGAGAGGTCTTTTATCTGTTGGTTTACTCCTCAAGCTCCTCAAATGGCTGTAGTGGCTCAGGTTCGGCTGAAGCCAGGGCCTAGGAGCTCCCGCCCAGTCTCCCACATAGCTGCTGGGCCACAAGGACTTGGGCTGTCTTCTGCTGCTGCTTACTCAGTCTGTTAACAGGGAGCTGGATTGGCAGTGGAACAACCGGTACTCAAACTGGCACCCATGTAGGATGCTGGGCCCTGCAAGCTATGGCTTAACTAGTTGTGCTGCAGTTATGACTGTGTATTTTAAAGATGTTTGTAAGCCTTTGCCATATGTGGCCTTCTGCCTGTAGCTTAGGAATAGTAGAAACTGTGATTGATATAATTCTACTGTGTTAATAACAGTAGCTAAGTAGCTCTTGACCTATTTTATGTATCTAAAAATGGTAGTGAATGCAATTACTAACTAAAGGCATTTAAAAAAACAAGTTCAGAAAATAATGTTTTTACCTACTTACCTCTTGAAAATTAACAAATGCCTAGAATCTTGTTGGAGAGGTCACCTCTTTGCCCGTCCCCATGCCAGTGTCAGAGGTGAGCGCTCTTTGGGTAGGAGCTGTTCTTTAGTGGAGCAGGGCCAGGGCAGGTCTGCTTTATCCTGCAGCGCATCTCCACAGGTGCTGTGGCAATGAGGTGGGAGAGCAAGTGAACACCTCCCTGCTGTGTCTGCCTTTCTTGCCATCTTTCCAGCCTGCTTTCACTTCAAGTCTAGTTGCTTCTGAGGCCTTAACTTGACTTCTCTTCCCCTGTGCTTCTAGAGACTGCCAGGGTTACTTAATTGAAGTTGTTCCTGGAGATTTTGGCTTAATTAAAGTAACCCCTGGAGATTTTTGTAAATAGGTGTTCTTTTGACAGAGATGAATTAGATGATTACTTATTTTTCTATGATAATCCTGAAAGTTAAAACAGTGTTTTTTCAGAACATAATTACTCTCAACACTATGCATTCTCTAAATGTGTTTATATAGAAATATCTTTTTTAGGTTCCTACTGATTTCAACGCATGTGAGTGGTAGAGCTGGGAGGCACAACATTTAAGGAAGTGCCAAAAAACTGGACAGTCACCATAACTAATACTTAATGCAGTGTATTTTAAAAGTAAAATTGGTACCAAAGTCTCTGACCAGAAGTTGGGGTTGTGTGTGCTCACACTGAGGCCACTGATGTTAGCGGTAATGTCCTTCCAGGGCCGTCTGCAGGCAGTGCTCCTCACCCCTGGCCCACTGCAACAGTAACATTTGCTTTGCTTGCAGGTCTGAATTTTCTCCAGCACATGAGAACCAGCCCTGAGGGCTATGCCCATTTCACTCTTTCTGGAGATTATTATAACCGTGCTTTGTCAGGTCAGTATGAAAAAGCATATATTGTCATGGGATTTAAAAAATAAATTTAAATGTTTGTGTGATGTAAATTCTACCTGAGGAAAAGGGGAGTAGAGTCAGGGTGAGAAAGATTAGAAGCAAGTGTCTGGTAGGCACAGAGATACAGTTTTTTGTTTTTCTAAAATGTTATCAGGTTGCAAGTGAATTATTTAAAAAGATGTTTTCTTGGTTAATTCTTCTTCATGCTGGAGTTTGACTCATTCTGCAAGAAGACATTGCTCAAAACTGAAGGTAGCTAAATTTTCAGTGGCTCTCTAAATCCATTAGTGTTTTTAACCTCAGGTCTCCAACTCCCCTTTGGTTGTTTCCTTGGAAGTATATGCTGAGTCAGTGATAACCTACCCCCTAAAGCAGGCACAGTCCATCAGACAGGTTGAATCTTAGAGAATGTTTAATTCAATTATACTTCAAAGCGTTTCCAGGTTTCTTGCTTCCAGCCATCGAAAGGACCAAGACAAAGGCCAGAACAGGTTGAAATTTTAAAGTCAGCCTGCACTAGGGCCATGTGATTTAAGCTGTACACTTCTTTGTCCTTAAGAGAAATGAAATGATTTCCCAGAAGCGTTGTGCGCAGGAGAAGCACGGTAGTCCCACACAGTTGGAAGTGTAAACTGATGAGTGATTTTTTTTCCCTTTGATGTCAGTGAAAAATTCAGCCTCCCTTGGTTGTGCTGCTGCTAGTGGTTGCAGGGAGCATATTCGGTGTTATGGTAGTTAGCATTTCCCTGTGTTCTGGAGTCAGTTAAAGAGAGCACTTGTTTCCTATTGTTCAAAATGCTTAACTTTAGAATAATGACCCAAATCTTCCCAGCTGACAGAAACTCTTGCAGGGCGTATGGTAGTTATTTTTTCTGAGAATGATTTATTTTCCTAAACAAAATGTTGCCTACTTTTGAATGAACACATTCTGGTTACTAAGTGCCAAATGAAGTAAGAAGAGCAGTGTAGCTATTCTGCATTACAGATTGGCTCGGATTTCTGTAGGTAAATCACCTACCCTGTGACTAACTGAAATAACAATTTTTCATATCCAACAGATAGGTAAAAATTAGTTTTGACATTACTATGTATTGGTGAAGATTTGATCCATAGTTCCTGTTATTAGACTTGTATATCACAGTTACTAGTTGGGAAAACAATTTGACATGATCAAGTAAAGTTGATTTCAAGTATACCCAACCCAGCAATAAACTGCCTCCAGGTGTGTCACTCAGAGAGTCACTTGTTTGTGTGTACTAGAGTAAGAGTACAAGACAGTGAGTGTGTCATAGCAATGTACATCAAATATGCAATAATATGCTCAAAGACATGTTATTGAGGAAAATAGAAACTTGAAAAGGAATATGCACAGGGACTCTGTTGTGTAAAGATCATAAACAGGAAAAGACAAGTCAGTATGTGCTTCAAAATTATATATGTGATAAACTTAGGAAGATCAAGCAAATGCATAATCAAAATGTTAAGACACTGTTTACTTGGAGTGTGGTGGGAAGCATTGGGAGGAAAAGGGACGACATTGGGGAGTGGCACTTGGGGACTTGAAAGGAATGTGTACATGTGTATTTGTGTTGTTTTCCTTAAACTGTACCTGTGTGATGTTTATATACCTTCATATTTATGACTGTATTTTAAGATTTAAAAGATGTGAAAATATTAAGTTCATGAGCCTCCAAATTTATTCATTGAATATGTCACTCTTGCAACCAAAGAATCAAATGTAACAGTCATTATGCTACTATTTTTTGAGCCTGAATTAAGACACCTTTTTCCGTCTTGAGTGGCTCAGCAATAGGTCCTGCTTGTGCCTCAGTGGGAGAGGGCATACATGCTCCCTACCCCCTGCCAAGCATGGCAGGGGCACCTATCTGCTCTTCCCTGGCAGCCTCTGGGCAGCGCAGCATCTGCAGGGGGACCTCTAGCTAAAGGTGGTACTTTTGTGGTAAAATTGAATTGCAAATAGAAAGGCATTAAGCTCTAGTTGTCCTTTCTGAGTGTTTGTCAGATGGGTTCCCTGGAGCTCTGATAACTGCTGCACGGTGCCTTCCTTCCCATGTACTTCTAGGTTGGGAGCCGTTTATTGAACCCTGGCCGTGCTCTGTATCCTGGCAGCGGCAGGCAGCTAGTCGGCTCCATCCTTCTCGCCTGAAGCTGGAAGTGAAGGCCAAACCCCGCTTGGATGTCAATGTCACTTCTGTACTGATTGGTGAGTGGGGAGTTGTCTTTACAGTTGGTCCCTTCCTGTGTCTGAGTTCCTGGTAGCCACACTGACCTTCATGTGGTCATCTCTGCTGTTCTCCTGTCACAACTGAGCTGGCCTCGTGGTTCTCCACCTGTTCCCCTAGCCTGGGCATCGCTCGTTAATGCTGGCAGTTCAGGAGCAGCAGCTTAACTCATTAGGACACACAACTTTCTCCTCCTAATGTTTGGTCACTAGGGCTTATTAGGTGTTCTGGAAGTGAGTTTAGATTCCTTCCTCTCAAGTTCACAAAGAATCCAATAAAGACATGACTTTCATCTTGCCTGTGTTGTTTGCCGTCGAGTAACATGTCGACCTCATTGTCAATGTGATTTTGCGGCAGGTGCTGCCAGGCCAGTGGTGTGTGTTCTGAATGTTTCCATTTGACACTGAGATGTATACTTCTGGATATGAGAGAGTGAATAAGAATCCCCTGCACCCACGCCCCCCAGCACTGCCCTTGCAGTTCTCTCTTCCTACATGTCTGTCCTATAAAGGAACAGCAGCATCACCCTGCTGTTGGGTAGAAGATGCCTCCACTAGGAAAATCCACGCTGAGTTGCTTTAACCATTTACTGATTTTGGTAATATTGTAGTTGGCATTGAATCATAACACACTTTTGCAAATTGTCAGCTTGCTTCAGTATGTATGTATGGGATTGAGGCTACTGAAATACCCATTTTGTTACTCATGTTAGAATAAGAAGGAAAGAGCAAAGTGCAGTGAAATGAGTTCCTAAGGTTTTGACTTCTAAGTTTAAAATCAGATCATGATCAAATTTCATTTATTAATCTACCTAGACAGTACTATCACTTACAGAATAGCTTATTTTATGATACTTCTATACTTAAATATGTCTAAACCATATTAGTTTGACTCCCATATTGTTTCTCATATAATCTCTTTCTTTAAAGATTTATTTGTTTGAAAGGCAGAGTTAGAGAAGAGAGATGGAAAGACAGAAAGAGATCTTTTATCCACTGGTTTATTCCCTAAATGGCCACAGTGGCTAGGGTTAGGTGAGCCTGAAGCCAAAAGCCAGGAGCTTCTTCCAGATCTCTGATTTTTCCTGGAGCTGAATCAGAAGCTAGAACTCAAACCAGTGCCCAAATGGAAGCCATCATTACAGGTGGTGGCTTATTGTGCTGCACCATAGTACCAGACCTTACATAGACTTTTAATTTTGAAGATTAAGCATCTTTTATTTGAAAATCTGTCATAAGCAAGAGCTTATCTCCAAAGGATTCTTGTTGGTATTTCTGATGTGCATCTGTTATTGTAAAATTATTATCCAGATCATCCAGGTCATCTGTGGTATAACAGGTTAAGTGCCAGTTGGGATACCCACATCCCAAGTCCCTGGCTCAGCTCCTGGTTATTCCATGCTTTCAATCCAGTTTCCCTGCTAATGTTCCTGGGAGGTTGAAGATAGTGGCCAGAGTACTTGGGCCTCTGACACCCAAAGGGGAGGCTCAGATGGAGGTCCTGCCTTCTGCCTTCAGGCTGGTCTAGCCTTGGCTATTGTGGGAATCTGGGGAGTGAAGCAGTGTAGTGCGCAGTAGCCTGGGGCTGAGGGCTGGAGCCTGGAGCTCAGTCCTGGCTTCCCAATCTTGGAACTTTTGCTGCTGCCTCCCAGGCTCTACATGAACAACAAGTGGAGTTGGGAGGCGGAGCTGGGGATCAGACCCAGGCTCTTTGAAATAGATGTAGGTGTCTCAGCTGGAGTCCTCACCACCATAGCAAACACTGTCCTTACTGGTTTTTGAATAGCCTCCCAGCTGGTCTCTGTCTACCAGCCCACTCCTTTGCTGTGGCAGGCTGTGCTCTTTGCAGGCCCAGTTCTTTCCTTTTTCAGACTTTCTTTGTTAAGTGATACTGCAGTATGCTCTGCTAAAGCCACATCTGAGTATTCACTTTTCCCTAAATGTACCATGTGCTTCAGCGTCTTTCTAGATGCTGTTTCTTCTGTCTGGAATGTTATTCGGATCTAGATCAAAGGTCCCAGGTCTCTGAAGATTTCCCTGTTTTTTCGAGTATACTACCCTGCTTGGCCACGTGGAGACAGTCTGATGTGTCTCCCCATAGAACTGCATTGCAGTTTGTTTTAGGCAACGTGATTGTGTTCATATAGCTCCCTTGCAGTGGAGGGTGAGGCTTTCCATGGCGTGACCTTATCAAAGCTTAGCAGAAGCCCTCCTTCCAGGGAGACATGCTTGGTTTTCTGAACAACGGTGGTATGACCTGAACCCTAATTTTCTCTATTTTCTTTAATGTCTTTGGGATTCGCTGTAGATCAGTATGTGAGTACCAAGGAGTCATGGATGGCGGATTACTGTAAAGAAGATGAACAAGCAGAGGCAGCAAAGTCAGAAGACTGGATGGGCTCATCGGTGGATCCTCCATGTTTTGGGCAAAGTAAGATCTTCCTCTGCAGATGTGTCCTGGAGTCCCTGTTGATAGAGCAAGGTTTCACTGAGAAATTAAATTGGAACCATCGTTCTCCTGGGGCCAGATAGGAAACTCTGAGTAGCATCTGTAGTTCCGTTTTCATCTTTAGAGAGAATTTTCTGACATGAATTACTGAGTTTTGAATTTTGGTTCTAATTCTGCTTATGTTGGGGAAAAAGGATGTGTGGGACATTCCTGCTCAATTCCTGTAGCCTGTGTGTGAGGTGGTGTACCTGAGGATGCCTCAGCACCAGCACTTGGATAGCTGTGCTTTATTTGGCATGACATTGAATTTCCAATTGGTTGTACATTTTAACTGCATTTGATCTGTTTATTTTCATGTTATTTGGCAGGGAAGGAGGTGGGTGGATTGAAAGACAGGTAGAGAGAGCTCTTCTGTCCTCTGGTGCACTCTCCAGAGCTGAGCCAGGCTAAAGCCAGGACCTCCGCTGGGCCTCCCGCTTTGGGGGGACCTCAGCACGTGAGCTGTCACTGTTGCCTTCCAGGGTGTGCATCAGCAAGAAACTGGGTTGGAAGTGGAAAAGCCAAGACTGAAACCAGGCACCCCAAGGTGGGGTGCAGGCGTCCCAAGTGCTATCTTGACGGTTGTACCAGACATACATCCGCGACAAGATTAGAGAAACTCATTAGGGCTTAGAGCTTTTCTTTTTATTTTCGTTTTTATTTGAAAGGCAGAGTGACAGTAGAGAGAGAGAGAGAAATGTCCATTTCCCGGTCTTCCTCCCCAGCTGGCTTGCAGCCGTGGACATGCATCCCTGCACTCCCTCCGAGGCTCTCCGACCTCCCAGGCACACTAGGGGTGCTGGGCTGGAAGCGTGACTGCTGGCACCTGAACTCAGTCCTCTTTGGGGTGCTAGCATCACAAGTGGTAGCTTTACCTGCTGTGCCACAACATTTTTTAGAGATTTATTTTATTTTATTGGAAAGTCAGCTCTGGAAAAGAAGGAGAGACAGAGAAAGTTCAATCCCCAAGTGGCTGCAATAGCTGGAGCTGGGCCAATCTGGAGCCAGGAGCCAAAAGTCTCCTCTGGGTCGCCCATGTGGGTGCAGTGTCCCAAGGCTTTGGGCTGTCCTCGACTGCATTCTCAGGACATGAGCTGGGAGGGAAGTGGAGCATCCAGGACACGAACCAGTGCCCATATGGGATCCTGGTGTGTGCAAGGTGAGGATTTTAGCCACTAGGCTACTGTGCCAGGCCCTGCGCCACAAATTTTTAAAAACATCCTCACTAGTTATCTACACCTAAAGATGGAGGCTTTGGCTGTATCCCATGCAAATCAAAGTTTTTAAAATGGGAGCCCTATATTGTTAACAGAATCTGAAATAATTAAATACTCAGCCTTTTAAAGAAAGCAGTGTGAATTTCTTCAAAGTGTCCTCTCTCGTTATCTCCTGCCTCACATGGAGGTCTGTTTTCCTCAGAGCTGAGGCGATTGTGTTAACTGCATGCTCTTCATTATCCCGAAGTGATTGTCACCCAGCTCAGCCCCTCTCTTGCACGGTGGTTTCTTTGGGACACCGGGCTGGACCTCACAGATCCCGTCAACGCTTCAGTGTTCCATCTGGTTTGCATGCAAGCCATGGAAGATGGGTTTTCTGAGTGTATGAAGTATTTGTATGGGCTCGTCTCTTCTCAGGGTGTATCTGCCTGTGCTTGGGAGGGAAGGACAGAGACGCCAGCTGTGCTGGTTCGCTGTGTCCCTGGCAGCTGCTGCTGTACCTCAAGGCCAGAACCACTCAGTTGTCGTCAGCCTCTCCTCTGGCTCCTCCTGCAGCCTTCCCAGTTGTGCTTAAAGAAAATAACCTGGTCTACCAGAAGACTTGTTGATCTCTGTACTATGCAACGTTTCCAAGAGAGTGTTTTTCTGAAAGCCAGAATCTGCAAACAGGAAGGCCTAAGCTTTGGGATTTTGAGAAAGAATTTTCTTGTCCTACTACTTTTCTTTTTTCATCCTGTTCCTTTTAAAACTTTTCCTCTCTTTAGTTAGCAGGCTGCCTTATCTATGTTAAATGCCAGGGCCATATTAATACTTGCTTTATTTACTTAGAGATTTTTATGACTACTTGGGCTTCTAAAGGCATAAGCAGGCATAACTGAATGTGCATAAATTTCCAAGCATATTTCTTGTTGGAAAGTCCTGGGAGCTAGTGTAGCTAATCCCAGGATTGTGTTATTTTTGTAGACCTGCTAAAATGCTTATTGGGCATTTACTTTGCAACTCAAAAATTTGATTATAAGCCTGTAGATTTTAGTCAATAATATTTTATCATATTTCCTCATATTTATTCAAGCCAGTCTCAAAATGAGCCTTTAGAATACCTCTTCCTCAGCCTGAGGGAGCGGCTGATCTCTGCGTGTGGGCCTCCTGCTGCCCTGACTGCGGGCCTGGCCCAGGAAAGCCAGCACTGGGGGTGGCACTTCACTGAATCCCTGTTGAATTCCAAACATGACAGTGTGCATCCTCAATATCCTTGAAGCGTTCAGACTTAACTAGGTGTAGATAACGCTGTGAGGTCATCCCTTGGCGGTGGTTTAGATCTGGGCCCCAGCCTGGCCTGTCCTCCCGGATGTTTGACACCCTCGGTGACTGGCATATGCTCTACTGTTTCCCAGTTGGATTGGAGCAACTGCCACCAGAATCTGTAGTGACTGGCTTCTGTTAATTTTTCTGTGCCATTTAAGATCATAACATGCTTTAAGTGAAAAATCTCCAAACCTTTATCATTCCGTTCAAGAAAAGATTTGATACATTTTATTCTCCTAATTCAGAGAGAAAGAAAAGAAGTGTGGTGCTTTAAAACCAGCCCTGGGATAAAGTCCTCTGGCCACTCTTGCTGTGTTTGCTTGGCCAAGTAGGATGTTAGCTTTTGATCACCACTGAAGGGAACCATCCTGTGACTGCATGGTGCTTGCCTTTTTTGTAACATTCTCTGTGCTTATTGTTTGCAGGGGAGTCTTCTTCACTGTATGTATCTTGCCCTCTAACTTTGTCTCTCCTGTCCACCAGGCCTCCCCCTTGTCTACCTTAGAACTAGGAGTACAGCCAGTCTGACTAACCTAGAGCACCAGATCTATGCTAGAGGTACAGTACAGCCAAGCGGGGGCGGATTTTCTCTGCTTAGTTTCAAATGTGGGTTTTTTATTCTTTCTTTCTCTCTTGTCAATGGAAGCTGATGTGGGTATTCCCAGTTGAGTACTGTATTAGCAACAGGCAAGAACATTTCCAGCTGACGGACAGAGTGACATTTTCTGTCAGGAAACCGTGTGCTGACTCTGATCTGGATGTCTTCTGTTTCCCTTAACTTTTGGTGGAAATGGAACAAACTACACAGCGCATGATGTGGAAACATCCATGGTCAGTTAGAGTGAGCTGCTAGCATAGGAAAGCAGGTAAGTGGAGGGCCAGCATCCTCCATCCGCCAGGCAGCAGGTGTTCTCATGGGAATGCAAGGACATTAGGAAGTTAGAGTTACAACCATGGAAATGGAACAAAGGAATAAATCCCCAGTAAATGGTTATATGGACACAAACCTGTGTGCTTTAGAGATAGAAAAGAAAATGTTCTTTATTTCTGTCTCTGACCTTTTGAGGTTCCTTGTGAGTTTGGCCAGTGAGTGAACACAGGAGAGCTGGGATCTGAGGGGTTTGCTCTTTCCTTTGCTTTAGGGAGCATGATTTAATCTGAATGATTTATGTTCACCTGTGGCTAATTCCAGCCTTGGATCATTGATGCATTTGTGTTCCCCCCCCCAGGACACACGATGATATTGATACGGAAGCACATTGCCTTGGGGTTTTTTTTTTTCAGTTTTGTTTTCTTGGGGGATGGATGTTTGAGGAAGAAGTTTCAGAGAAAGCCCATTGCTGAATGTACATTGCTCATGTGTTTATCCTTCTACACTTTTCTGTGTGTCATTTAACCTTTCTGACTAAGCTGAGCATCACTCCTACGTAGCCCTGATGAGGACAGGGAGACTCAGAGGGGGCCCCGCTGTTTGCCTTCCCTCAGTGGTAGACCTGGCGCGTCAGTCTGCCCGGGGACTGGCAAAGCAGGTCTTTTCCGTTCTATGGAGTTGCTTAGATAGCATGAGAACCTGCACTGTTTAGAGGGGCTGATTACTCTGGATCAAGTCCAAGGGGAAAGCCGTTTTTGTAGCACACCTTTTTGAAGCTGAACTTGGATGTGAGAGGTTTGTGGTTCATTCAGCTCAGAGCTGAGCTTGGTCACTTGAGGCCAGCAGGGAACGCTGTGATCATTGATAGATGTGGGGATTTTTTTCCTCTGGTGCTGTGCCAAAGGCGAGTGCGGAGTTACCTGGGGTCTGGGCAGATGCTGCATGGCTGCCTGCTTGTGTGCTCCCCTGTGTCTTACCCTCTGAGGAGTGGTTTACCGAAGTCTGTTACGTCTAATCCACCTGAGAAGCTTGGGGATCCAGCGTTTGCCTCCCCATGCTGTTTAATTCCAAAGCAGTGTGCTTGTGAATATCCTTGTGTGATTCTGAGCACTTACTCCATATTATAAAGTGATCAAAGCCGTCTGCCACCTGTTCTTTTTACATCTAATGGAAACTTACAGTCTGGCTCACAGTGGGATATGAAAGCACATCTGGCTTCTTTTCCTCCTGGGTCTTTTATCTACTGTAATAAAAGCAGCTCGCTCATTGCTCTCCTGGAGAGGGAGGTGCCTTTCAAAATGCTACAGTAAATACTGTTTACCCTGCAGACAGCTCTTAAATTTGTACTCCCCCTCCGCTCTTGTCAGCAGTCTTACAACTACTCCTTAATTTTCTACTTGATGAGCACAATTTTAAAGAAGATTTATTTGAGTTACAGAGAGATCAGGAGAGAGAGAGAGAGGATCAGTCAGATCTGCTAGTACACACTGCCAGTGGCTGCATAGCCAGGGCTGGGCCAGGCTGAAACAGGAGCCAGGAGCTTCACCCTGGCTCTCACATGGGTGACAGGCACCCAGCCCTTGGACCATCTTCTGCTGTTTTCCCCAGGCCAGTAGTAGGGAGCTGGATCGGAAGTGAAGCAGCTAGGACACAAACTGGCACACTGCTGTGCCACGATGGTGAGCCTAGTTGTTTTTTTTAACCTTGAGAATTCAGTAGGACGTTGGGGTGGTAAATGGGCATATTCGTCAATGGAGTAGACACTCTGGGTCACAGTGTCTCCTTGTTTGTCCTTCTGCTTGGTGGTATACCTGCTTGGTGGTATACCCTTTCCTCCACTGGATTGCTGCTGCCTCTGTGATCCCTTCCAGCACCTCTGTGCAGTCAGTCCCAGAGGGGGCACAAACCCTTGGTCACAGGGCCGACATCTCTCCTCAGCACTACCCCGAGACAGCCCTGCAGCCCCTGTAGAGGTGCCTGTGGCAGGATCCTGGGTGGCTTTGGATTTCTCATGATGTTTGTAGTTAGGCCATCTTTCTCCAGAATTTGGTTGCTTAGATTTTGTCCTGACCCTGGTTTCTTTCCAGTGTTTCTCACTGGAAGCTCCTGTGTGAAATGTTGCCAGCTTTTAAGCTCCTTGTGTGGCCTCCATTGTGCCCATCATGTAGCAGGTGGTGGCGATACCTTTGTGTATGTGTGTGTGTTTAAGATTTATTTAGTTTTATTGCAAAGTCAGATATATAGAGAGGAAGAGAGAGACGAAGAGAGAGAGGAAGACCCTTGGTCCGCTGATTCACTCCTCAAGTGGCCACAATGGCTGGAGCTATGCCGGTCTGAGCCTCTTCCTGGTCTCACATGTGGGTGCAGGGTCTCAGGGCTTTGGGCCGTCCTCAGGCCACATGCAGGGAACTGGTTGGGAAGCAGGACTGCCAGGACACAAACTGGCACCTATATGGGATCCTGACGTGTGCAAGGTGAAGATTTTAGCTGCTGGGCTACCGCACTGGGCCCAATACCTATGTTTTGAAAACATGAGCTAAGATTTTTATTTGTAAAACTTTGGAATACTATATCCCTGATTTTCCAGGGAGGAAAAAACAACTATTAATATGAGGGACTTGCAAAGAATGTTAAGTCCATGTACTCTATCTTGCTACAGTTTGGCTTATCCATCTAGAATATATTTTTGGGGGATACTGGGGAGTGTCGCCTGTTTGTTTCGTTTTTGACTCTAGCCATGGTAGTGCCTGATGATTGCTTTTCAGAGAGCTCACCTGTGCAACACTGGGAACATTGGGGGCTGGAAGTAGTCACAGGGGCCCCAGAAAGAAGTGGAACTTCCGTTTGTCCTTTTGACAGTTCTGTGGCTGTTCCGTCTTTCCTCTGCTTTGCCCAAAAGCTGGTTGTGGGCACAGCCCAGGATGGGAGGGACTCTGCCAGCAGATAGAGACGCCTGCCAATCTCTGCTTTCTGTCTGTCATCACAGAGGTGAAAACCCCCAAGCGTCGACAGCCGTTTGTCCCCTTTGCCCTGAGGAACCAGACGGGGTGCACTTTGTGGTTCGCCACCCTGACCACCACGCCCACCAGGTAATCAGCTCTTGGCCTATCTGCCACCAAGGCCTCCTTGTCCAGTACAGCCCAGCCTGCCCAATCTAGCCCAGCCCAACCCAGCCCCACCTAGCCCTGCCCTGCCTAACCCAGCCCCACCCAGCCCTGTTCTGCCCTGTTCCGCCCAGCCCAGTCCAGCTCTGCCTCGCCTAGCCTTGCCCTGCCCCTCCCAGCCTTGCTCTGCCCAGCCCAGCCCTGCCTGCCCTATCCTGCCCTGCCCTGCCCTGCCCAGTCTAGTCTCACCCAGCCTTGCCCCACCCACCCCCACCCTGCCCAGCCCAGCCCATCCCAGCTGAGCTTGGGACCCTTCGTTTTCATTGTGATTTTTTAAAATTGTTTTTTGATAAAATTTAGTTGGTACTGGGTTCTCCCCACCCCTTCCCCCAAGTTTCTTCCCCCTCCACTGTTCTCCCCTTCAGGTTCATTTGCTGTCCTGATGAGACTGAGATTGGAATCCTCTGTAATGTGGGTCCTGGGCTTGGCAGGTCATTAGGCTCCTGAAGCAGGAACGTGCTAAGTTTAAAGTGGAAGTCAAATAAGTTAAGCGTACGCATAGGAAGTGTGAAAGGAGCCATTCCATTATATCTGTTCAGAATGCTGTTACAAACAAAATGAGCATTTACATAAGCTGAGTGAGAACCTTGCTCTTGGCTCAGCATTCCAAATACATGATTTGCCCAGTGAGGTGCACAAAGCACAGAAGATGAGGGACAGAATCCATTCGTTAGAAACCACATTTCTCCTGCCTCCAGAAAGTGTGGCGCTGATCTAGAAGATGTGTCTGCTGGAGTCCCCCTCGCCTCTTAGCCAGTACTGTGCAGGGCCTGGCCTTCGTGTCTGTGTACTGCACGCTGCTGCTGGAGTGAGCAGCTTGGTCAGGAGAGCTTGCAGCTGTGTCTCCAGCCCAGAGGTGACTGGAGTGACGGCCTGTCCAGCTTGTCCTACCCAGCCGGCTCGTGGGTGGAGGGGGGGGAGAGCAGAACAGGCTGCCCTGGTCCCCAGGGCTCTCATGATGGGGTGTTGAGGAGAGCTGGCAGTTATCTGCTTTGCCTGCAGGGCTGCACTGTCTCATAGCGGGAGTCCAGGCGTAGTCCCAGAAGGGAACAGCTCATTTCTGGACGATGCTCACAACGTCAGTGAATGGCGAGAAGTTCTCACGGGTGAGGAGATTCCCTTTGAATTTGAAGCAAGAGGAAAGTTAAGGCACAGGTAAAGTGGGTTTACTCTTTCTTTAAAAAAATCAAAGTAAATGTAAGCAGTTGTTCTTGATGCTTTCCCTTACCAATAATTTTAATGTTTTTATTTTTAAAAGGTATCTTGAAAATCGATGTTGACCGATTTATCTGTCTTTATCTTAGAAATCCATTTAATTCCATTAATTATCTGTTTATGTAACATGTTAGGTGTTTCACATAACTCCCAAAGATTCTCAAGACTTGTTCATTTCATTCTTATGCACACATGCACTTACGTATATTCATATGCACACACATATATACACATAAGCACACATGTACACGTGGCACATGCATTTTATCCGAATGCATTCATGTACACATATGTGATATGTTCACACACTTGTGTATGAATGTGCCGCATGGTACTTTGAGCAAGAAGGTAACTTCAGGAAGCAGAGGCAGTGCTGATAATGTGCACATCCTGGTTCTAAGACAGCTGGAACAGCCTGTCTTGGAATACTGCTAACTGATGCAGCCTCTGAAGTAGCCAGTCAAAGAACTGGGGTGAATGTGGGAAAAGGTGATATCTGAGTCTTGTGAGATCATAAATTGTTTATTAAAAATTAGAAATGTTTTGAATGGAAGCGGGCTCCCCAATGGAAATGAATAGGTAAAGGCTCAGTGCTTGATTTGGTTGAAATTTGAGTTTGTTTTGGGGCTGAGTTGCAAGGGAGGAGACTGGCTTCAGCTTCCTGTCTTGATGTGGCTGTGTGCTTGTCGCGTGGCTATGTGCTTGTCGCGTGGCCATGTACTTGTCACGTGATTGTGTGCCTGTCATGTGGCCGTGTACTTCTCTTGCAGCCCTGAGTCCCTGTGTGCAGGCCTCTGCCTCCAGCAGGCATAGCTCCATTTCCCGCAGTAATGTCCTGGCACAAGCTTCACCCAATTGGCAAGGGTTCTAAGCCTGTGGATAGCTGGGGGCCTGACAGGGGCAGTTTTTTTCCCCCAGTCCATATGCTGGGCAGACATACCTGCAGCAGCTTCAGAGCTTCCCAGAATGTGTGGCATGCATTTTCCTGTCCTTCTACCTGGCCTTTGGAGCAGCAAACTGTGGAACAGCCAGCACTGCTTCTGTTATATCAGAAAGTCAGTTCCGTTTTAGTTTCTGTGTTTAGTAACCCATTTCAGGTCCCACTGTTCTGCTTGAATTCATCAAAATAAGTGCCTTTTCTGGCATGTTCCTCTTTGGCATTTTATTCCTCCTCCATGCCTCATTCTACCCTTCCTATGGGCCTCACTCCAGTTCCCCATTTCAGACTTCTGGCTTGAATTAGGCAAAATCTAAAATAGAATTAAATGTGCAATTTCCTCTTTCCTTCTGTTTCGTCCACTGCCTTCTGCTCCAATTTCACTTGAGCACTTCTGCCCTGAAACACTGATGGCTGTTTCTCCTACCCTGTCCAGTCATGTGGGCTGAGGGCAGATTGCAGACTGATCCTGAGAGAGCAGCTTATTCAACAAAGGAAGCAGGAAGGCATGTTTTCTGAATTTCGAAGAGTATAACTGTACAGTTATATCACTAGTGCACTTTTACCACGCCATTGAAATGATTGTAGTTGATGTCCTTATTTCTTAATAGTTGGGGAGGGTTGGTGAGGAAAGGCTTAAGGTAGTGTCCAAGATTCAGGCTGTGTGAAAGGGAGGGCGAATGCGCTCTTGTTCAGGCTGGACATATCTGAAATTTGTGCCCCAAGCATGAAACCCAAGTACATTTGTCTTTCGATTACCTTTTTTTTTTTTTTTTAAAGAAGATTTATTTTATTTTTATTACAAAGTCAGATATACAGAGAGGAGGAGAGACAGAGAGGAAGATCTTCTATCTGATGATTCACTCCCCAAGTGACCACAATGGCCATTGCTGTGCCAATCCGAAGCCAGGAGCCAGGAACCTCCTCCATGTCTCCCACACGCGTGCAGGGTCCCAAGGCATTGGGCCGTCCTCAACTGCTTTCCTAGGCCACAAGCAGGGAGCTGCCGGGATTAGAACCGGCACCCAAAGGGGATCCTATTAGATTCTTTGTGTCTGCTTTTCTTCCTTTCCTGACATTGTGCTTACTGTCTTTCCCTGTGTTCTGTTTGACAGACACACCCATGACCTCCGCATTCATCAGCTACAAGTGCGAGTGAATGGCTGGGAGCAAGTGAGCCCCGTGTCTGTGGACAAAGTCGGGACCTTTTTCCGATATGCAGCTCCAGATAAGAATTCCTCTTCCTCCACGGTGTGTGGCCATAGATGGGATATTTAATGGAGCAATGTGTCATGGCCACATGCCCTTAAAGCCAGGCAGTCAGATGGTTAAGCCATTAGTAAGTCTGCTTTAGAGAGGTTTTCATGCCTTTTATTTTCTCAAATTTAAGAAAGAAAACAAGGTTTTTTTGGTTAGCGATTGATAATCGGTATGTAGATAAACCAGGAAATAGTAAATTTCAGTAGGAGAACAAGATTTAAAATCAGCAGCAACACATCATCTCTGGTGCTGATCCTGGCTGCTCGATGTGAGTAGAGTTGTCCCTGGATGTCTAGAGCCTCCTCCTCTGGCCTCAGAGCTGACGTGCTCAGGCCGGTCTGTAAAGTGGTGTGCAGTTCTCACATAACATATGCAGCCTTGTAAGCTTTAAATCGTCTCTAGAGAACCTGCAATGCCCACTGCAATGTAAGTGCTGAGTAAGCAGTGGAATAAAGATCTCTGCGTGTTGAGGACTGGCACAGCTATTTCAGCATTTGATCCATGATGGCATGAATTTGTAGAGAAGAAAGGCCAACTGTGTTGGCATTGTTTGACATGTTGTTAATTTCCTTTATACACTTTTTTTTTAATATATATTTCTTATAATAGGACTTGGAGTCCTTCTGTGTGGCTCAAAGCAATATGTCTGTGGTCATTAATTTTTCTGATCACACTTAGTGTCACATAGCCTTGGTCTTGTTTTACCCCAGCTTGGAGCCCTGAGGTTGGATGGCCAGCCTGCAGGCATGATGCAGGTGGAGGCTGTGTCCGGGCTGCGTGGCTCCCAAGGGTGCTCCTGCTGCGTGCGCATACTGTCACGGCAGTGTTGCATTTGCCCTGTGGGGAGCAGTGATCGGGTGGAAGTGCAGGTCTGTATAGACCCTGTGACTTCCGCCAATAAAAATGTTCTTGGAGAACACTGTTCTGTGAGTGTGTCTACTATTATGGTTACCTTTTAAAAAATACCCTTCTTAGAAAAACAACATGAAACTTAACGTTTCTTGATTATCTTTTTGCCTGAATAAATGTCTGATATTGAAAGGACTAATCTACACTGCCCCCTCCACCACCCCCGTTCCATAGTTACCTTTCTCTTGTTTTGATGTATTCTGGAGAAATCCTACATACATTGAATTACGAGATGAATGTTGTTTTCATCACATCTTCCAAGAAGAGATGTTTTCTCTGCTCAGTGAACCATGCTTTGCCCAGAAGTGCTTACAAATGCTGCCCTTTTAAACATATGGCTTTGTTGTGAATTTAATGACACCTGTTCCCTGAGGCCTCTGCTGACTTCCTGATCTTGGAATCTTTCTTAGATTGGCAGCCCGAGCAGCAGAACAAACATTATACATCCCCAAGTCTACGTGAGTATGACGTTCCTGTTTATGCTGTGTATTCACTGCACATGACGCAGCGTAGATGTGCACGACTCGGTGACTGAAGGCTGTAGGACGTGTAGGGTTGGGAGTGATCTCTTCCCTTTCTGTGAGTGACTACCTTCCTTTTCCAAAACCTGCAAGAAGATTTGCTCACCTAATACATGAAGCTGATTATTACCCGGAAGGAAAAAGGGCAATTGTGTTGATCTGATATCTCCTTTTTCTGCATTAAGGTGGAAACCAATTCTAGTATGTCTGCAAGCATTTCATAAGCTTTAGCCCAGAAGTCTCAAAAACAAACAATAGGTGGGAGTTGTGGTATAGTGGGTTAAGATACCACATCAATGCCAGCATCCCATATGGGTGTTGATTTGAGTCCTGGCTGTTCAGTGTTCTCGGGCCTCTACATCCATGGTGAAGATCTGCGTGAAGCTCCAGGCTCCTGGCTTTAGCCTGGCTCAGCGCTGGCTGTTGTGGCCATTTGAGGAGTGAAGCTATGCAGGGAAGATTGCTCTGTTTGATTGCTCTGCCTCTCTCTCCTCACCCCCTGTAATTCTCTCTGGGTTTGATTTTCAGATAAATAAATAAACCTTACTTTTGTGAGTAAACAACAAGGAAAAATAGTATGATTCCCTCCCCTCCATTTGACTTCTGAAGAATTATCACGAGACTCCATTAGTAAGCTTTTTGAAAGTTTTTGTTTATGGTATCTTCTCCCTGAGGATCCGAAGTTTTGACATACGGAATTTTAGGTGGACTCAGAAGGAATGATGTCCAGATTTTCTTACAGTTGTTATTGATCTTGATTCTGTTGAATCTCAGCCGGGCTGGCTCAGTGGAATACTGAGCTTTCATGATCCCCTTGAGAACCTTCTCGATTTATAGCTTGGCTCTTTATTTGAATTTCCTGGAAGTCTTGTTTCAAAACATGGATCTCTTTGTTTTATAGTGTGTTAGATTTTCGCTTACTTTTTATTTGTTTTTAAAGTTATTTATTTCTGTATTGGAAAGGCAGAGTTAGAAGGAGAGAGAGACTTGCCGTCTAATCGTTCACTTAGGAAATGGCCGCAGTGGCCTGCATGGGCCGGGCTGAGGCCAGGAGCTCGGAGCTTCTTCACAATCGCCCATGTGAGTGCAGGGCTTCCAGCACAGGGACATCTCCCACTGCTTTCCCAGGTGTGTTAACACATAGCCGATTGAGAGTGGAGCAGCCAGGTCTTAAACTGACACTTTGTGGGATGCTGGCACAGCAAGTGGAGACTTAACTTGCTATGATACAATGCCGGCCCTTACTGTTTACTTTAATGAAAGTGTTGCCTTGGATGTGGTATCATTTGCTTTTTCTTTGAAGAAGCATTTCCAGTATGTCTGTGTCTTCATTGTAACAGAATTTCTTTCAGTTTTTTTCTTTAAGGAGAAAGAAACCTAATGTAGGATCTTATATTTACATTTTTTTCCTTTCACACACTGGTAACATGGTTATGTGTTAAATGTATGAATGAACATACAAACTAATACTAGTGGCTGCAACACAAGACCAGAAATAAATAGTTTTCCTCCATTATGTTTGGTTTTTGAACATTAGTGTTCTATTTATGAAAGTGATTATTGAATAAAAAGTAGTTATTGTGAAGAAAAAAGGCTTGTTTTTAAAGTTCTTTGAAACACAAATGTTAGTTTTCCTGTAAGCCTGCATACTAAGAGTGTATAAGGCTGAGGAGTAAATTTTTTGTCATCTTGAAAAAAGGATTTTTTGTTATTTGTTTCTGTGAAAAGCACACCAATACAGACAACTTTTTCTTGCTCTCTCTGGACTCTACAAAGGCAAGCGTTAACCTCAGAAGACTTCTGCTATGTTTCCTGGGTGTATTTGGGTAGCACCCAACCCATTGTTAGTGTTCAAGGAATGTTTTCTCAATTTAATAGTAATCTGGGAGGAAAATAACCACAGAAGGTAAATCATCTAATGGTTTGCTCATTCCTAATTCAGTGTTTCTAATTTTAGCTGCTTTGGAATAAAATTTGCTTTATTCTCCCCCGTGGAGCTGCAAACAAGCTTGTTAGTTTCCGTGTGGGGGCTGACCCAGGAGCATTGTGAATGAAGAGTAACTGCTAACAGCTCTCCTTACTAAGTTTCAGGGAGTTTGGGAAATTCGCTAGGTCACGACCACAGTTTTAGGTTCTTTTTAATGTGTGTAGAGGCCTAGGGCTGAATTTCCTTTGCATTACAGTTTATGGTGTCACATTTGTCTAGATTGTTTTAGAAATTTTATTACTGGCAGGTTTTAGTAGTATATAGGTTATAGATGTGTACTCCCTGTAAGTGTAAAGCTGAGTTTAGGGTTTCATGTCGCTGAAGAATAAAGAATATGAATAAGAGGATGTGTTTCCTATAGACATTCTGCCAGTGTTATTGTATTCTGTATGTTTCTGTAGACATAACAGTGTGCTATTTCTGTGTCTCCTTCACAGTTCTCTTCACTCCCACCTGTCCGGGTGGTCTTTGCAGTGACGATGGAGGGCAGCGCTCGCAAAGTCATCACTGTGAGATCAGCCCTCATTGTGAGGAACCGCCTGGAGACGCCCATGGAACTAAGACTGGACAGCCCATCAGCTCCAGACAGTATGTTCTGATTGTCGAATACAGTAAAAGTGTCTAAGTGTTGTGGACTGTTCCCATGACTCTCCCCAGTGGGTATCCTCTAAGCAGTCAGTGTGTGAAGTCCTTCTGCTTGTCCTGAAAGAGTCAAGCTTTGGGATGGAGGTGGGTGTGCTAACATGTTTATTTCTGTGGCAGAGCCAGTGGTGCTTCCTGCTGTCATGCCGGGGGATTCGTTTGCTGTGCCTTTACACCTTACCTCTTGGCGGCTACAGGCCCGGCCTAAAGGGCTGGGTGTGTTTTTCTGTAAGGCTCCTATTCATTGGACCAATGTGGTGAAGACTGCAGAGGTTAGTAGCAGCAAACGAGAATGTCACTCTATGGAAACAGAAAAAAGCCGATTTTTCAGGTATGTCCTGCCTCTGCAATGGTGTGCTTACTGTCTGCCCTTTTCCCCCTTCAAAGTGACTTTTCTTACTGTTTCTTGTCTGAGGACTCCTCATGATTTAATTATGCTTATTAAAAACCCTAAAGTTTTTTTTTTTTTTTAAGTTCTTGTGTTAGAGGTCCACAGAACTAAGGGTTAACCCTCACTCGGGGTTGGGAGAATTTATTTATCGTCTGATATTGATGGGAGAAGCAGCCACAGATTTGCTACTCAGGCACATAAACAACTGGGACATGTATGTAACATAGAAGAGACCATGAGGGGAAGGCAGGAAAATGACACCAACTAGTGTCTGTTCCTTAACTGGGAGGCAAAATCTTGGAGTTTTTGGATGAAAGATTTTTTAACTATTTTAGGTAAAGGTTCGTGCACCTGTTATTCACTCTGATAAAACTCTTCAGCATCATTGATCTTTAGGGACATGTAGTGTTCACAGGGCCAGAATGGATAAAAAAGATTCATTATGCTGGCAAATACTGGCAAAGGTATAGAGTGACCAGAACTCTCCTGAGTAGCAGGTAGGAGTGTAAAATGGTACAGATGCTTTGGAGAAACAAGTTGCAATGTGATAACAAAGTCGAGGACCCAGTAAATCCATTCCCGAGTATTTCCTTAAGGGAAATGAAGATACATATCCGTGAAAACACTTGTACAAAAGTGTTCATTTAGTGCGCAATTCAGAATAACCCAGTTCACTATTAACAGGATAGTAAGTAATAAATCAAAGAAATGTGTTGCTTATACCCTGTTTGTGTGCTGGGCAGTGAAAAAAACTAAATTACAGTGTATGCAACAACATACATTGAAGTCTCGTCCTGAGGAACAAAAGCCAGATACAAAGAGTAGTACTTATTGCCTGACTCCAGTTATGTGTAATTGAAAGACCAGACAGGTCCAACCCATAGTGATGTATAGGTAGAAAGCAGGTGCCTGAATGATGGGAGAGAATAGATCAGAGTGGGAGTCAGGATGGTCAGGAGTGAGAGAAATATTTTGTGTCTTGTTTTAAATGGTGAATAGGACGTTGTATGTAGTTGTCAAGACTTTTCAAACTGAACTTTAAAAATCTGTATATTTCATTGTATGTTGTGTCTAAGGAAATGTATTTGGATCGAAAATATCTTCCTTAAATAATTAACCACATTAATGTTGTACTTTCTCTTAGCTGAGGAGAAATAAGTCTGAATTCTTCATTGAAACTGATGATTTTCATGCAATTTTGTCTTTGTAGGTTTTGTGTGGCTATAAAGAAGGAAAATTATCCAGATTATATGCCTTCCAGTATATTTTCTGATAGTGCAAAACAGATTTTCAGACAGCCTGGGCATACCATATATCTCTTGCCAACTGTGGTAATCTGCAACCTGCTACCCTGTGAACTTGACTTTTATGTTAAAGGAGTACCAATTAATGGGACACTGAAACCCGGCCGAGAGGCAGCCCTGCACACAGCTGATACATCCCAGAACATTGAGCTGGGTAAGGAGTTTGGCATGTGATTGCATGTAGTAACCCCACAAAAATGTCAGTAAATGTTTTGTGAATATTTGGTAAACATCTCGAAGAAATTCTGGCACATTTATCTTAAAAATCCTCCTTAAAGTAATAATATATTTATAAGAGAAAGTGAACAGATTAGAAGATTGACAGAGGAAGCACTTTCCAGAACCATGTTACTTAGATGGCTCGCATCATACATACTCATAAGGAGTCATCTCATCTTTTCAAACCATGATCATTTTTGTGATCATAAAATGAGCAGAATCACAAGGAGCCTGGGCTGAGTTCCTCATCCTCTAGGCAGCAGTCTGGATCCGCTTCCACTGTGAAGGTTTGGAAGGTTTAATGCAATGGGTGGCTTTGCCATTTGTAAAGGCAAAGTCAAGGTAGAGAATCATTGTCACATTTTGAAGCATTCAAGGAGATACTTCCAGAGTTCGGGTGGAAAGTCTTTTTCTTTTTCTCTAAGATTTATTTTTATTGAAAGGCAGATCTACAGAGAAGGAGAGACAGAGAGAAAGATCTTCTGTCTGCTGATTCACTCCCCAAGTGGCTGCAATGGCCAAAGCTGAGCTGATCTGAAACCAGGAGCCAGGAGCTTCCTCCATGTCTCCCACGCGGGTGCAGGGTCCCAAGGCTTTGGGCCATCCTCGACTGCTTTACCAGACCACAGGCACGGAGCTGGATGGGAAGTGGAGCAGCCAGGACATGAATCAGTGCCCATATGTTATCCCGGTGCATGCAAGATGAGGACTTAGCATCTAGGCAATCGTGCCAGGTCCAAGGAAGTCTTTTTAAGACTGTCACAGACTTTTAAAAAATGATTTTCTTTACATGAGAGAGGTCTTCCATCCACTGGCTCAACCCCAAATATCAAAACAGCCAATCCTGAGCCAGGCTGAGCCCTGAATTCCACCTAGGCCTCCCAGGCGGGCAGCAAGGTCTCCCCTCTGGGAGCCCTCACCTAGCAACTCTCCAGAGCACGCATTGCTCTGGCATGCTGGCGTGGAGAGCAGGGCTGGGCGGTGACCCTGGGCCCTGCTGCAGGACACAGGCTTCTTGGGCCGTGGCTTAACTGCTGCAACTAAATACTGGTTCTCGTAGACATGTGGAAGTAGTACTAGCTTTAGATATTACATTTATCTTTGTAAGTGTTTTCACTGTTAAATCATTTAGTCTTCACGGTAGCACCATTCAGGCTAAGACAAGTGTTAAACCCATCTTGTAGATGAGGGAGTATGTCCCACAGTGACAGGATTTCATTTCAGGGGCTGACATTGTAAAGCTGCTGCTTGAGATGCTGGCATCCCGTATGAGCACCAGTTCACGACTTGGATACTCTACTACTGATAAAGCTGATGTGCTTGGCCCTTGCACCAGTGTGGGAGTCCCAGATGAAACTTTTGGCTCCTGACTTTCACCTGTCCCAGGCTTACCATGCTGTGGCCATTTGGGTTGCAAGATTCTCTCTCTCCATCTCTTTGTTTCTGTAACTGCCTTTCAAATAAACGAGCAAATAAAGACTTCATTTTGATGATAACATAGCTTAGTTTGGAAAAGAGAAAATAATAATTACTAACTCTGAAGTGAATAGGTCTTTGCCATTTTATTACTTTTCTGACATGCTTCTTCAGATGTTTGTTCAACCCCTGCAGAAAATGTGTCCTTTCACCCTGCCCCTGTGCACCCACCTAGAGTCCTGCTCTTTCACCCTGCCCCCGTGCACCCACCTAGAGTCCTTCTCTGCAGCACTGTGTGTGTCCTGGATCACCACTCTTCACAGCAGTCCTGCATGAACACGCTGTTTTTACCACAAGTTTGCAGACAGACCCAGGGAGACTGCAGCCTGTTTCCCCATCCTGTGGGTAATAGGGCTGATAAGAGAGGCCTGAGGAGTTGTAGGGAGGGAGCTTGGCTGCAGGAGCTTGACTGAACTGTGCTACTGTGTTACAAGTCCCGAGCAGAGGCCTGGATGTAGACTCCTGAGAGTCATCATTATTACTAGTGGCAGTTTGTCTTCTAATCCCGCTTAGGCAGGGGGACTGCCCACTGGGACTTCAGGCCATCTGCTTTGCTTCCGATTCCCACCTCTGCTAGAGGGAAAGGGTAATTCTCATGAGATGGTTTGCATTATCAGTTTTTCCTGAAAGGAATCTGGTTTAGTTTTGCTGGGGACTATCTTGAAAATCCAAAGGGAGAACCCAGGAAGACAATAGTTTATGTCATTTTTAGGAGTATCACTGGAGAATTTTCCACTCTGCAAAGAATTGCTCATTCCACCTGGAACCCAAAACTACATGGTGCGAATGCGACTCTATGACATCAATCGGCGGCAGCTAAACCTCACCATCCGCATTGTGTGTCGAGCAGAAGGATCCTTAAAGATCTTCATTTCTGCTCCCTACTGGCTCATTAACAAAACAGGTATGCCCTGCGACTGCTCAAGCAGCCTGGCGTTGGTCATGGGAATGTAGATGTATTTATGCAGCTATCAGTGGAGCATGGCCAGTAGATGACTTTGACAGTGGAAGATGCAAGAGCTCTCTGGCTTCCACTGTAAATGCCTGCGCTTGGCCAAAATTGTCCTTTTAGACAGGGAACTTATCCCACCACATAAGTACAGTTCTTACTGTTTTCACTCTTGAGTACTTCCCTGCACTTACCATTTGCGTCTCTCTTGGGTAGCCTGGGTGGGATTGATAGAAACTCTTCCCTCCTTCCTAAAGGGTTGCCACTGATCTTCAGACAGGACAATGCAAAGACTGATGGTGCAGGCCAGTTTGAGGAACATGAGTTGGCCCGGAGCCTGAGCCCTCTCTTGTTCTGCTATGCCGACAAAGAGCAGCCAAACCTGTGAGTACAGTTATTTATGGGAAGGGGAAATCAGCTCCTAGGGAAGGGAAAAACTTAGCAAAGGCTATCATGTATCCATGTAAATCCACATATACTGTAGATAACAATCGTCACTTGGCAGGGGAACAGAACTGTGACCTAATGGGATTGTTTTTCCGGATCTAATTTCTGTGTTATTCAGTACTGGAAATAAACCGTTTGGATAGTTTATATGGAAAGCTAGTTCTATTTTAAAGGTATTGAAGGAGTTTTCTTCATAACTCTGGCAAGGAGGGGAAATCCACATCTTCCCTTTTCTGTAGCTTCGCTTCCACTATAAGCTTTTAGCATCGGTCAGGGAGCTGGCATCGCAAGGGAGACAGATTGGCCCTGGTCCTTTGCTTAAATGCTTAGCCCCATTAATCGAGTCTGGCTCGTTTTGTGTCCACTTTTGAAATCTGTCCCTTTTCCCTTTGAAATAAGAAGGGATTCCCAGCTCTCAGAACCTTCCTTATGTGTTTAGAGGCAGGGAAAAGCAATATTGGAGGAGTTTAGGTGATATGATTTCAGCAGGAAGGGCAACTGAGGAAACAGCTCGGAGGGAATTATGTGCTTGAGGGCAGGCTGCCTGTTAGTGGTGGAGCTAGAGACACATGCAGGACTCGTGTTTCCAGAATCCATGAGGAGACACTGCCGGTGGAATATTTCTGCCATTAAAACAATGCCAGTCTTTATAGGCAACACAGTGCGGGGGCCTGGCACAGTGGCCTAGTGGCTCAGTTCTTGCCCTTGCATGTGCGGGAATCCCACAGAGGCACCAATTCATGTCGCTGCTGCTCCACTTCACTTGCTTTCTAGCTCCTGGCTTGTGGCCTGGGAAAACGTTAGAGGATGGCCCAAAGCCTTGGGACCATGTTCTCCCTGTGGGAGACCCGAAGGAAGCTTCTGGCCTTTGGTTTTGAATCAGCTCAGCTTTGGCCATTGTGGCCACTTGGGGTGTGAGCCAGCAGATGGAAGATCTTTCTGTCTCTGCTTTATCTCTGTAGATCTGCTTTTCAATAAAAATAAATACTAAAAAAGAGTAATAGTGCTCCTGCATCTTCAGTATTTTCTTTCCTTCTGCTTTTTAAAGAACCTGAAACTCCTGAATCAGCACATTGTCCGTATGTTTTGAATCCTTGCAGAACAAAAAAACTGAAACATTTTTCTCATGTATTATGGTCACAGAATCCTAATGTCATCTCCCAGTGTTTAGCTGTAGAAGTCAGTTTATTTTTATGTATGTTCAACTGTGGTTACCTCGAAGGGCTGTGCTCTCTGATTAATTTTCTTGCTCTGTTTAAGAATTGCATGAGGGTAAGGATGAGAGGCAGTGGGAAGGTGACTATGTTAGTGTTTTTTGATGAGAACAAGCTGGTAAGTCTTGGTCATGGGTGAATATATGCATCTTTGCTTTTCTGCCCACAGCTGCACGATGCGAATCGGAAGAGGAATTCATCCAGAAAGCACTCCGGGCTGGTGCCAGGGCTTCTCGCTGGATGGTGGGAATGGTGTCCGGGCTTTGAAAGTCATCCAGCCAGGAAACCGCCCAGGACTCATCTACAACATTGGTGGGTAACATGTGGGGCAGTGGTAAGATTGCAACTTGTGCCCGACGACTTCAGGCTTAGAGGAGTAAACTGACCAATCCGGTTATCCTGGTGGGTTTTTCTCATTTGACATTGGGTCCGGGATCTGTTTTCTGAATGCTAGATTGGTATCAAGCCAGATCTAGTCCCTGGGGGACTTGAGGAGCCGCGTGAATACTGCCCTTTTGAGATTAGTGGCTCTGTAAATCAAACTTACCTGGATCAGGAAAGTATCCGTTTTGCTTGAATCTTTGTTTTTTGGGAGGTGAATAATAGGAACACTTAGAATGTCTTTCATTGTCTAAGTATTCCCATGCATTCATTAAAAATTGCAGACTGTGAGAGAGTAAGAGGCTTTGTTCTTCTCGAAATCGAGACAGGTCAAGTAGCCTACCCAAATGTAAAAGGAAAGTCTGGGTCAGAGGTAGAATTAGGATTGGGGTATATATACTTGAGACAAAAAAAAAAAAGGTAAAATACACTTGGTGGTATGGTAATTAGAAATGGTCCAAGTAGATCCAAGGGGAAGGGGAGGCGGGGAAGGACACTGCTCCTGTATCCTGCTCACCTGTGAGCACAGGAAGCGTTCAGATCTGTAATGTTTTAATTCTGCCTCAGGTTGAAGATGTTAGCAGTGCCTCCCACTTTGGTGTGTAATTCTCAGGGATCTTTTTTTTTTTTTTTTAAGATTTATTTTTATTATTTTTTCATTGGAAAGGCGGATATACAGAGAGGAGAGACAGAGAGGAAGATCTTCCATCCGATGATTCACTCCCCAAGTGAGCGCAACGGGCCGATACTATGCCGATCCGAAGCCAGGAGCCTCTTCCGGGTCTCCCACGCGGGTGCAGTTTGGGGCCGTCCTCGACTGCTTTTCCAGGCCACAAGCAGGGAGCTGGAAGGGAAGCGGGGCTGCCGGGATTAGAACCGGCGCCGATATGGGATCCCAGGCGTGCAAGGCGAGGACTTAACCACTTGCGCCACCGCGCCGGGCCCATTCTCAGGGATCTTGAAGCAGCATTTCTTCCGAAGGGTTGGAGCATTAGCTTGGAGCTGCATTGTCCTGTGGAAGTCTCCAAGATGGTTAGAGCTGTTCTGTTTCATGCCATCCAGTATGGCAACTGTCAGATGATGTGAGGCTCACAAGCACTTGATTAAGGGATTGGATTTTTTGTCGTATCTCATTTTGATGATTTTAAGCTTAAGCAGCCATGTGTGGGTAGTGACTACTGTATTGGACAGTGTGGATAAAGAGTTGTGTTACAGAAGGAAAATTGAGGAAATTTTCATGTGCGTGATTCCCCTGAATCCTGCAGTTTGGGATCTGTTTAAATATTTGAGGATTTATTAGCAAAAAAATCTTCAAGTAAACTTTCCTTTTCAAATTTTTTAAAAACATGGATGTGTATTCATTCTCCCTTGACATTGGTATTTTTTTAAAAAATATTTATTGATTTATTTATTTACTTATTTATTTATATTGGAAAGGCAGATTTACCGAGAGGAGAGACAGAGAAAGATCTTCCATCCTCTCATCCAGTCCCGAAGTCGCCACAATGGCTGGAGCTGAGCTGATCCAAAGCCAGGAGCCAGGAGCTTCCTTCAGGCCTCCCCAAAGCTTTGGGCCATTCTCTACTGTTTTCCAAGGCCACAATCAGGGAGTTGGATGGGAAGTGGAGCAGCCAGGACACAAACTGGTACCTTTATGTGATCCTAGTGCCTGTAAGGACAATTAACCACTAAGCTATTATGCCAGGCTTGACATTGGTATTTTTAGGAGAAATGCACTTTGATTCTCCAGCTGATAGCAGTCTTCTTTATTTGGCCACATTGGTTAGCTTTATCCTGCACTAGACAGAAGCTGCTTCGTATTGAGTTTGGCTTTTAGCTGGGATGTCAACCTACCACAGGTTAACTGGAAGCTATAGTTGGGACAGAGTTGAAGAGGACACAAAATGAAGCTTGTTTCTCTTTAAGTAATTAGCACTAAGAATCATGTAATTCATTCCTAAAATGAACTGTGGAGTTAAAAGCTTGAAATATTGAAAATTGAAAGTGTATTTGGAAACCTCAGAAACTTAATTGTCATATTCTAGGGGGTGTGTCTTCCATTTTTCTCGTTCTTTGCTAATTTTGACTGCTGAGTTGGGCCCTGTAGATGCTCCATCAAAGTAAAGGCAGGCACATATGGGTACTGTCTCTGGAGCTGGGTTACCTGGTTTGAATCCCAGTGGTACCAGCTACTAGGTGTATGACACTTGGCTTTCTGTGCCTTAGTTTCCTCCTCTGTAAATTTGAAATAATTAAACTATTTATTCATAATGTTATAAAGAGGACTAAATCTAAAGCCTTTGGTCGCTATATTAAAGATATATTATTAAGAGTTCAACAATAGAACTTCCAGCAGCGTGGTGTCTGCTGGGGGTACCTGAGCCAGGTTGGTCTCAATGCTTGGGGCCCTAGCCACAGCCACTGCTGCTATGCGCTGAGTAAGTCCTGGGCTTTGGGCAGCCAGCACACCAACTGGTGCTGGATTTTGCCCACTGGCTGCCCGGCAATGAGCTCTAGGGTCTTGGGGGTGGAGAATTGCTGCCTAGGGACATCTGTGAATAAGGCCACTGTGGGTGTATGTGAGGAATGAATCCTGAGGGACTCCCAAAAACAGGACCACTGTGCTTACAGGTAAGCGAAGCACCCTAGACCTTGTGGTTTGGAAGGGAGAAACCGGAAGACCTATATGGGTTAGACTGATACACCAGCCTACATGGAAGTCCTGAGTAAGGCTTGTTATCATGGAATATTGCTGACCACCACACACCAGTCATGTGAAAGCTATGGCTGGGGACATGTCTAGCAGGGCTAGGCCCAAGTACCTGACAATGTCAGAATAGGGCATGGGTCACATTAGTTAGGGCCATTACACTAACCACATAAAAGAACCAGGTCCAGGGGTAGATTGTGTGGGGGATATGTGGGCCAACCCTGTGGAAATACAATCCCACTGGTTAGCTCAAGAGTTGGGGTTAGGATGCGCTGGACTAGGTGTGACCATGGAACCTGCCATACTCACAGGTACAGGCACCAAGAACAGTCTGGGCAGATCCAGGCTGCAGTACCCACATGTCCATCCTAAAACAGGGTGTGGGGTTGGTCAGGATGCAACATTCAACAGCTCATACAAAGGCCAAGATGAAGGTGCTGGCTATGCCGGGCAAGGGCCTAACACCCACTGGCATGCATGAGATCTAGGTCTGTGAATGGCTCAAATGAGGGAATGTGGGAAACTGCCTTAGTGGGTCATAGTTCCTGCTGGTGATTACATGGTACAGGTCTGGGATTTGAGTAAGCTGGGCAAGGTAGCTGCAACTTTTGGCTAATGTGTGGGTTAGATTTGGAAGGGAGTGGACTAGAAGGGGTTGAAGGTGGAAGAGTGCAGGGCTGAGCAAACCTTAGCTCAACCAAAGAGCAGAAACCAGGCTGGAGCACAGGTCATGCTGGGCTAAGCTGTCACACCTACCAGGTTGCATGAACCAGGGATGGGAGCATAATGAGTAGGGCCAGGTTCCAGCACTCACCAGTGAGAGCCAGGACTAGAGTTAGGCCGCGTCAGGCCAGGCAACAGCATCCAAAGGCAGAGGTCAAGATGGGTGTGGGACTATGCTAAGCTGGGTCAGAGCAACCACCAGTACATGTGCGATTTGTTTCTGGGAACAGGCCTGGTTGGTGAGTAAAGGAGAAATCCTGCTGGGTTGTGGTTCCCATTGGTATATCCAGGGACTGGGGTGGGAGCTGTGTTCTAGTCTGGATATGGCTACAGTTTCCCTTGTCACAAGTGTGGACTGGGGTTGGGCATGCTTGACTGGGCTAGACTCCAGCACCAACTGGTGCTTATGAGAACCAGGGTAGGTGTAGGACAGGCTAGGCTAGGTTTTTGCTTCTGCTGAGCCACATGTGAGCTGTGTCTGTGTGTTGACCAGGCTAGGCTGGGCTGTAACACCCAACAATAAAAACTAGAATGGGCTTGAAGACTGGCCGGGAAAGAGCACTGTTTCTGCTAGGACAGGGCTGGTCCATGGACCCACCGGTGTACGTGAGATCTGGCATTGGAAGAGGTTCTGATGGAGGAGCTTGGGCAACTCATCTGTCAGGACTCAGTCCCTGCAGGTGAGTGCAAGGAGCCCAGACCAGTTCAGGGAATGGTATCCAGCAGCATACATTTGGCACAGGTCAGGGGCAAATCAGGCAGGGCTAGTCCACATCACCAGTGGTCGAATATGAACACCAGAATGGAGTATGGGTCAGGCCACGTTGAGTCGCAACACATGCCAGTACACATGAGGGTTGGGACTGAGGGGTTGGGGCTGGGCTGGGCCAGTTTGTAGCTCCCACCAGTATGAGCTGGAATTTGGGTGGGTTGGGCCCGGCCAAGCTACAGAACCCACTGACAAATGCCAACATGAGGCAGGCCATGCCAAACTGGACCTCAGCACTTGTGAGACACAGGAGGGGAGGAGGCAAAGTGTGGGGCTTCCCTGTTGAATCACCACTCCCACTGGAAAATGTGAGTTGGGATGGAGGTAGACCAGACCAGGCAGGACTACAGGTGTTGACCTATTGGTCTCATGTGAATTAGATCGGAGAAAAACCAGTCTGGGCTGACTGTTCCTGCTGGTGCATGCATGAATTAGAGTGAGTGAGGGTTGGTTGGCTTTGCTGCAGCATCAGCTGGCAGATGCTGCCATGGGGGGAAGTTCTGTCAAGTTAAACTGCAGAACCACCTGGAGAGTATAAGATCCAGAAAAGGGAGTAGGCCCAGTAGGGAAACAGTGAGCATCTCCCTCTTGGGCTGCTACTCCCTTTGGTGAGCTTGAGAACCAGGAGTGGGGCAGACATGGCTAGATAGAGAGAATGGCATCTGCTGGCACATGTGTGGACTTGGTTGAACTAGGCTTCAATGCCCATTGACATGTATGGGAGCTGAATGGAATGTGGGACAGACTGGACCAATCTGCTGTACATACTGGCAAGCATGGGAACCAGGGAAAGGGATAGGCCTGGTGGGGGTTATTGCTGGTCACTTTGACTAGGCTGCACCACCCACTGGTTTGTGTGAGGGCTGAGTGTGTGGTGGGCAGGATCGGGCAGGGATCCAACTACCATTGGTTTGTGTAGAAGACAGGACTGGAGGCAGAAATGACCCAGCAGTTGCAGCCACCGGCCGAACTCTGCTCTGAGAAGCACACACAAGAATCAGGTCTGGGTTCACCTCAAGTGAAGTTTCTTTGGGGATTCCTCCAACTGAACTGCTGGACTCAGAACCCCAACCATGAAGAGAAGTGCAAGTTCCATGGTCTGACCGTGAGGTGCATGTGTAAAAGCTGCACCTCCCCAGTGGCTCAGATGGAGCATTGGACAGCATGTCCAGGTGCACGTGGAGATATGGCAGCACACTGGAGGACAGAACAAATCAATCAACTACTCCAGCCAAGCAAGAGTTGTCAGTGACTGCCAGGGCAAACTAAGGTGGACTATGTCAGCCAGTGGATTCTGGAGAGATTTCATTGTGCTTGGAATGGAAGGTTGGCAGCAATTCAGAACTGTTGAGTTATTGAAACCACTTGAGCAGTGCCTTCAAAGCATGCCCCATACCGGGGATCCCGGGATGGTTGAGAGGTTGGGTGTGGCTTCTCCCTTTGTTTCTCCCCTCCCCCAGATACAGGAAGGAAAAAAGAAGAATGCGGAAACAGTGGTCTTACCCACTTTCTGTAGCCCTTTACTGTTTGCGCCCTAGTCAACTGTGTAAAACTCGTCAAAATAAAATAGTAATTTTTTTTTTTTTAAAGAGTTGAACAACAGAGTCTGGTGTGGTAGTTTGGTGGCTGGGGTCCTCTCCTTGCCTGCGCCAGGACCTTGTAGGTGACTTTTAATTCTGGCAGCCCTGCTTCCCACCCAGCTCCCTGCATGTGGCCTGGGAAAGCAGTCGTAAACAGCCCAAAACCTTGGGGCCCTGCACCCTTGTGGGAGACCTGGAAGAGGCTCCTGGCTCCTGGATTTGGATCAACTCAGCTCTGGCAGTGGCGGCTACTTGGAGAATGAATTAGTGGACAGAAGGTCTTCCTCTCTGTATATCTGACTTTCCAATAAAAATAAATAAATGTGAAAAATTAGAGTTGAACAGTGGTTGTCAAGGTCACTATTATTATTTCTACTAGAAATATTTTCATGATTGTGTAGCTGGAGCGCAGCTCAGGGCTTTGGATATGGTTGCTATATTTATTGTTTGAATAAATGACCCATCCTACTGAGTTTTACATTTTTAAAAATTAGCAAAATTTTAAGGATCGGTTTACTTTTTAAAATTAATTTCTTTTTTTTATATCTGGTATTTTGAAATTTGCTTCTGACTTGTCCTTTTTTTCCTAGTACATAGTAGTACTGAATGCATACTGATTTTGCAAGTAAATAAATTCTGTAATGTTTAGGTGGATTCTCAGGTTAATAGGCTGAAAGAAAAATACTAGAAAAGAGCCAGTTGAGTGCAGAGGTCTAAGATTCCAGGTTGAGGGTCTTGAACCTTCTACTATATCCTATAAAAAAGGTGAATATTCTCTAGGAAGAAATTTTGTGCCCCAGATACGTGAGCAGGAATATCTCACATGAGACTTGGTGTAGTTTCATAAATGAAAATCCTGATATGTAACTGTATACCTATATATTTTAGTTGCTGTTATATATGGACGTACTTTGTAAAGAAATGAGGAATTGTGGGGTTATTGTTATTACTCTTGAAACCTTTCAAAACTTAGATGCAAATAAGGTGTAACACTTGAATTCCACTGTTGGAGAGTTTGATGTCCCCTCTGACAGGGATTTTTTTGGGAGAAGCTATGTGATTGTAAAGGCTGTGTTAGATCAGCACTTTCTCTGTTCTGATTATTTCATGGAAGTGCTGCTTGTTATTTGTAGGCATTGATGTCAAGAAAGGCCGTGGTCGGTATATTGACACCTGCATGGTCATCTTTGCCCCCCGCTACCTGTTGGATAATAAATCGTCTCACAAGCTCGCGTTTGCACAGAGGGAATTTGCCAGGGGACAGGTAAGCAGTGTGCTGCTGCTGCTTTTTCTTGTTTGTAATTTGAAAGAGAGCGAGAGAGTGAGAGCTCCTGTTAGCTAGTTCACTTCCTACTTGCTGACAACACTGGGGCAGACCAGGCTGAAGCTGGGAGGTGGGAGCATACCCCAGGTCTCCCCTATGGGAAGCTGGAACTGAAATTTAAGGCATCACCACTGCCACTGGTCTGCTGAGAGGGCCTGAGTCGGAAATCCAGCCCAGGTCCTCTCCGGGATGTGAGCATCGAACTGCTAGCTAAGCACCCAGCACAGTAGCTTGCTTTTGTAGAGTGGCTAGTGCTCATTTAGGAACACAGTGAATGCCAGCATGATTGTCAGTGACATGAGTAAAGTGTTCTGTGGCAAGGCTCAGGAGAGGTCCTCTAAACTGAGTTGGTGTCTTGACAAAAGCCAGTGATCTTACGTGTTTCAGGGAACAGCCAATCCCGAAGGTTACATCTCCACTCTTCCTGGTTCCAGTGTGGTTTTCCACTGGCCTCGGAATGACTATGATCAGCTGTTGTGTGTCAGACTGATGGATGTTCCCAATTGTATTTGGTCTGGTGGCTTTGAGGTCAACAAGAATAATTCCTTCCATATCAACATGAGGTAAGTTTGAGGTTACAACAGAGTAAAGATAACCTTGCTTGAGGTGTGGAGACATACTAAGTGAGCCTCTGCTGCTGTTTGTAAAATGGCCACATAGATTTTTGTCTTAGATGGGGGTTTTAGATCTTGTACAGTGCAGGGAGGAAGTATGAGCGAGCGTTCTGGAACAGAGAACAACAGTTTTGAACTGTGTAATTGCTGTAGTCTGAGAAGCTGTGAGACTGAGGGACAATATGAACTGATGGGACAGTTGTCTGTTCGGAACCTTCTGTCTCTGCGTTTCAGTGGAGACATTGTGTTTTTCTCTATTCGTGGACATTTGTATAAATCCATCTCTTACTTAGTGCCATTCCAGTAAATGTGGCCACCCTGAGGTGGCTTAACAAGCTAGCCCAGGATGACTTAATATTTCTTCTTGATTTTATCAGGAGCTATTACAGTTGTTTTAATGAAAAGTATGCAGAGCGTGCAGTTTACCATCTTAGCTACTTGGGAGTGTGCAGTTCACTTTGAAGTGTGAGTGTATTTACATTCTCTTCACACAGTTTGCCTAACCCTTCTCGTCTCACAGAACTGAAGCAAGCCCTGGATCATTTACACAAAACAGGGGCTCATTCCTTTTATCCAGAATGCCTGGCGACTATGTATATCTCTGTACCTAAGGGAAGTTGAATCAGGCACTGGTTATCTCTTTGTGATTGACATAAATTGTTTATAATTCCCTCAGTGTTGTTTTGTGTTGTAACATGTCAGGATTTTCTTCATCTTTTTTGTTTGTGTTTTTCTTAAAGATTTGTTTATTTTCCTTGGAAAGACAGATTTACAGAGAGAAGGAGAGACAGAGAAATAGATTTTCCATCTGCTGGTTCACTCCCCAGATGGCTGCAATAGCCAGGGTTGAACCCATCTGAAGCCAGGAGCCAGAGCTTCCTTTGGTCTGTCATGTGGGTGCAGGGTCCCTGAGATTTGGACCATCCTCTACTGCTCCCAGGCCACAAGCCAGGAGCTGGATGGGACATGGAGCAGCAGAGACGAGAAGTCACACCCATATGGAATGTCGATGCTTAGAGGTGAGGGATTAGCCAGTTGAGCCATTGTGCCAGCCCCAATTTCCTTTGTCTTTTTTCTTTTCTTGAAGATTTTTAAATTTTTATTGGACAACCAGATGTACAGAGAGGAGGAGAGATAGAGAGGAAGATCTTCTGTGTGTTGATTCACTAGTGGCTGCAATGGCCGGAGGTAAGCCGATCCGAAGCCAGGAGCCTCTTCCAGGTCTCCCACATGGGTGCAAGGTCCCAAGGCTTTGGCCTGTCCTGTCCTCAACTGCTTTCCCAAGCCACATACAGGGAGCTAGATGGGAAGCAGGGCCACCGGGATTAGAACCAGAGCCCATATGAGGTCCTGGTGTGTTCAAGGTGAGGACTTTAGCCACTAGGCTACCTTGCCGGGCCCTCCTTTGTCTTTCATGGCTCAATAACATGCACACCACTTTTTTGTTTTGTTTTGTTAAATTTTTATTCTGAATTTTTGAATTTTATGGTACAGTTTTGTGTAGACTGGGATTCCTCCCCCCCCCAGCAGTTTCATTGGGACTCCATCTTTGATTTGGAGACAGGGGTGCACATTGTATTGTATCCCCACATCTGGATATGGTAGTCTCTATCACTATACATTCCCATAAGTGAGAAGCCGCGAAATAAGGCCAGCACCAGTATGAATTAGAACAACAATCACAACGACATTACAGCACCATGAGGAAATGCACCACTGAGTGACCAACGCACGGGTGACAAAAAGAAAACACAAAACAGTCCCTTGGGTAAAATGATGCCACCGATACACACCACTTGTCAAGTATTCATGTGTTCACTCGCGGCGGGGCTGCTTCTGTCCTGCTGCTGTCGTGGTTAATGCTACCATAAGCATGCTTATCCGGGTATCTGTTCCAGCAGTGTTTCAGTCCCACTGGGATAGCTGCAGAAGTGAGATTGTCACCATCTGTTTAGTTCATTTTACTTCCAGTTGCTTGAGGAGATCGTGTACTGTTTATTGGCTTTTATGAACTGAAGAAATTTAACATTGATTGGATGCTTTAAAGTAAGTCCTTACACTAGACTGAATCCAGGAGCGTCTGTCGTAGTCGCCTTCTCTAAGACATAAGGATGGCTCAGTTGTGTTCATTGATTGATGTATTTTCTGGTATTGTTTCATCTGGAGGAGCAGTCCCATTTTTTCCTTTCTTGTTTTTATTGGCAACATTTTGAGACTTAAGCCAGTTTCTTGTAGAATGTCTTGCTTTCTGTATTTGGACTGTAGTTTCTTACATATATAAGTTTAGATCAAACTTTTTTTTTTATACCAATATTACTGTATGGTATCAGGAATCCCATTGTGTCCCAGAAGGAGGCCTGCAGGTTCTTTGATGGTGGTAAGTTTGATTACTGCTTAACTAACAATGGCATCCAACAGGCTTCTGTACTATAAAAAAGTTGCTTTTGCTTCCTTGGAAAGGAACCATCTATTGGAGCAATAATTGAAGACTGAATATTTTTTTCCCAGAAAACTTGCACCCAAGGATTTGATTGTTATTATTAGAATCTGTTATTACATTGCTAGCTATACAATGGTAATTTTTTGTCTTTTTGTTTCTTCATTTGTTGACTGGTATGCTTTTGTACAGACTCGTTTCTGTCTGATGCGTCTGTATAGACATGCATTACACACATGCACTCTGCACGTGCGTGCATACTCAGCTTTACAAAAAAAGACAGTAAATTTTAAAGAACTGAGGGAATTAGAAAATCACTACTTTGTGATTTTATTGTCAATTTTGAGTTGTGGAATGAACAAAGAGCTCATTGTGGGCTGAGCATCAGTGTTGTGGCTGGGAGACATGTGAGAGAGAAGAAAGTGCCTGTGGTTTGTTTCCTGTGTTTTACACAGCCTCTTTGTTTCCTATTTCTGCAGGGATACGTTGGGAAAATGCTTCTTCCTACGAGTGGAGATTACTCTTAGAGGAGCCACATATAGGATCTCATTTAGTGACACGGATCAGTTGCCTCCTCCGTTCCGAATTGACAACTTTTCTAAGGTGTCAAGGGGAAGCCTGTCATTTTCACATAGGGCAGGGTGAAGTGTGTGTTGCCCTTAAGATAATGATGCAAAACTTCCTGATTTTAACTTTGCAAGAAGTTGTCATATAGGTTCTGTATGACTGGACAACCCAACACTGAGGTTTCTGCTGGCTTTGCTGGTTACTAGTCAGCCCTGCAATTTCTTATCCCCGCAAACTGAGTCTGCTGTGATGCCCTTTGTGTAAACTGGGAAAAGAATCAGCTTTTCTAGCGACAGTGGGGACAGTTGTGCTGCTTGGTTACCACCAGCGTGAAGTCCTGCAAGTGAAGCTCAAGTGCAGCTCAGTAACTTGTGCTGTACCTTTAAATGACAAAATATCATCTGCTCTGTGGGTGACTTTTTATTTTTATTTATTTTTTTTTACTCTTTGGTTACTATTATTTTAGATGATGTTTGCATAGTTAACCAGTGGGAAGGATCCAGGGTTAGGGAAAAGTGGATGTGACCATTGTTTCCAGACTTTCTATTTCTTCTTCCCATTCCTGGCAGGAGGGAGAAGATAAGGGGAGAAGCTGTACCCAGCCTCCCAACCATCCCAGTGCCCAAAGATGGGGAAAGTCCACCCGATATCAACCCAGGAGTGACTTTTTAGTAGCTGACTTCCAGTTTTTTTTTCTGTCTTCAAGTGTAGCAGAGGGCGTCTGAGATGGCAGGGGTCAGCTGGAACGAATGCCATTGGAAGGGTAGAATTGTTTCCTTTTGGTCGTTTGCTTGGCAAAGCTGCTTGAAGTCACTGATTGAGAACACTAGCCCATGCTCCTTTGTTGGACTCTTTGGGATTTGTAAAATGGTTAGTTTAGATTTGAAGGGGTAAGATGGGGAGCCTTGCTGAAAATTTTCCCTGGAGAAGACTCGGTTGGGGAGGTCTGGAACTAGAATTTAGGAGGTGCCGACTCCGGACCAGTGACACCATCCTGAAAAAGTGCTCTCTGCCTTCCCTGTGCCTCTAGGTGCCAGTGGTGTTCACCCAGCACGGGGTGGCAGAGCCCAGGCTCCGGACAGAGGTGAAGCCTATGACTTCGTTGGATTATGCCTGGGACGAGCCCACGCTGCCTCCTTTTATCACCCTCACCGTAAAAGGCGCAGGTTCCTCAGAGATCAGCTGCAACATGAATGATTTCCAGGATAATCGCCAGCTTTTTTATGAAAATTTCATTTATATTGCTGCTACCTACACATTTTCTGGGTAATTCTGGATTCAATTACTGTTCTTATAAAGTAGAAGATTCTAATTATTGACATGTTTTTAGCAGTTTTGAAGGAGACCAACGTATGAGGAAAGGTTGCTCAATTTTTCACAAAATCCCAGACTTAGGATCTATTTTGAAAGATCACTTAAGTAGAATGTTTCCATCTTAAAGATTTATTTATCTTTATTAGAAAGGCAGTTACACAGAAAGGAGGCAGAAATATCTTCCATTTGCTGGCTCACTTCCCAAGTGGCTACAATGGCCGGAGCTGAACCGATCCGAAGCCAGGAGCCAGGAGCTTCTTCCTGGTCTCCCACATGCTTACAGGCTCCCAAAGCTTTGAGCTACCCTCTACTGCTTTCCCAGCCCACAAACAGGGAGCTGGATGGGAAGTGGAACAGCCGGGACACGAACTGGTGCCCATATGGTATCCTGGGTGTGCAAGGATTTAGCCACTAGGCCATTGTGCTGGGCCCTGAACACTTGTGCTTTAGCTAGATTAAAATTTATCCAAAGAGGGAAGACTTCTCCTTTCCCCAGTAATCCATTCTGATATTAGATGACTCCTCCTATGAAGTATTATTATATGTTAAAATCCCTGTTGCTTTGAGTGCTTCTTTTTTTATCTGTTCCTAAACTGTTCTTCTTGCAGTTTATATTCTGTTTTGCTCATTTGAGGCTGATCAGTGTTAATGTAATTGCTGACATCATCATTCTGACCCTCCATCCTTGAAAACACTGAAATTCACCTACAGACAAGGCTAGTAGTCTGATTTTATAAACCAGTCATCTTTACTGCTGTTTGGCTAGTTATATTTGGAAAGCTCAAGTGAAGACTATTTTAACTTCACCGTAAGAGTCAAAACACTAGACTTTTAAAAATGATCATCCACCAACATTCAAATAGCTTAACTGTTTTTTTTTTTTCCAGCTACAGTTACAGGGTCAATTTTAAAGTTTATCTTAAAAATATGGACAAATTATGAATATTTAGTATTAAAGTACATATCAGCTGATGAACAAGGCATTTAAAGTCATATTCTTTCTCAGAATACCCTGAGTAGTTTTTGTTTTAAAGATATATTTTATTAGAAAGTTAGATTTACAGAGAGCAAGATCTTCCATCTGCTGATTCACTCCCCAAGTGGCAGCAATGGTCAGAGCTCGGTTATCCAAAGCCAGGAACAGGAGTTTCTTCTGGGTCTCCCATGTGGGTGCAGGGTCCCAAGGCTTTGGTCTGTCCTGTACTGCTTTCCCAGGCTGCAAGCAGAGAGCTGGATGGCAGGTGGAGCAGCAAGGGCATGAATTGGCACCCATATGCCCATATGGGGTCCCGACACATGCAAGAGTGAGGGTTTAGCTACTAGGCTATCATGGTGGGCCGATCCATAGTTTTGTGCATGAATGGAATTGTTACCCATGCCTGGGCCCATAGATGACCTTTGCTTTCCCCAGTTGTGAATTGATTCACAGATAAGTGTCACTGTTTCCTTTGTATGTAGCAGATGCCTTTTGTAATGAGGTGTGGGGATGTTTGTCTTGTTGTAACTGAGCCAGTAATACTTGTTTGTTGTTTGTTTTTTGAAGATTATGGCACTTAGGAGAATAACATACTAAAGGCTTAGTGCCTAGAAGGCCAGTTTTGAACCCAGCATGATGGTTCAGTGGCTAAAATTCTTGCCTTGCACATGTTGGGAACCCATATGGTTCGTGTCCCAGATCTTCACTTTCCTCCTAACTCCCTGCCTGTGGTCTGGAAAAGCAGCAGAGAATGAGCCAAAGCCTTGTGACCCTGTACCTGTGTGGGCGGCCCAGAAGAAGCTACAGTTTGGCTCAGCTCCAGCCATTTGGCCACTTGAGCAGTGAACCAGCGAATGGAAAAATCTCTCTGACTCTCTTTCTTTCTGTAAATCTGCCTTTCCAATAAAAATAAAAATAAATCTTTAAGAAAGAAAAAGCTGGCTCCAGGGCAGTAGCCTTGTGGCAAACATCCTGACCTTGCACAAGCCAGGATCCCATATGGGCACTTATCTTAATCCTGGCAGTCCCACTTCCCATCCAGCTCCCTGCTTGTGGCCTGGGAAAGGAGTCTAGAATGGCCCAAAGCCTTGGGATCATGCACCTGAATGGGAGGCCCATAAGAAGCTCCTGGCTCCTGGCTTTGGATTGGCTTAGCTCTGTCTTTTCCAGCCACTTAGGGAGTGAATCAGTGGCCGAAAGATCTTCTTTTCTGTCTCTCCTCCTCTCTGTATATCTGACTTTTCAATAGAAATAAATATTTAAAAAAGAAAGAATAAGCCAGTTTTATTTTAATTTTTTAATTGTATAAATTTTATTTTTCATAATTTTTACATATTTGATTAGGGTGTGAAGAGTCAAGGGCTAGAGAAATGTGGGTGAGGCCATTGTTTTGATATTCTCTTTTTTCCTTCCTGTATCTGGGGGAGAGGAGAGATAAGGGGAGAAGCCATACCCAGCCTCCCAACCATCCCAGCGTTCCTGATATGGGAAAAAGCCAGCTTTAAATCTGTTTGTTCATCATTTGTTTTTTCTTGTGTTATATAAATTCCAGTAAAGTTACGAAGCTCTTTAAGGTAAGGATACAGGTAGAGGATGAAGAGTTTAGAGGACTGAGCAGCAGGAAGCAAGTCCCTAAGAGGCCAACTGTTCCTTCAATGTATTGGGTTCATTGTCTTTGCATGTTAAAAGAGAGCTAATGATGGTAAAGAAATCCAGTTAAAAAGATTTTTTAAAAGCCAAAACCAGAGAGAAAAAGGCGGAGACAGCGGAAGAGATCTTCCAATGCAAATTCACTCCCCTGATGGCTACAGTTGCCAGAACTTGAGCAGGCCCAAGACAGGAGCCAGAGACTTTGAGGGCTCTAACATGAGTAACAAGGGGCTCAGACACTTGGGGCAATTTCTGCTGCTTTTTCCAGGCCATTAACAGAGGACTGGACCTGAAGTGGAACAGGTGGGACTCGAACCCAGCGCCCATATGGGAGGCTAACATAGGCAGCAACTTTACCCACCAACTGGTCTTTTCCTGTGCTGCCTTTTTGTGTATTTTTAAAATGATTTATTTGTTTTTATTGGAAAAGCAGATAGATTTATGGAGAGAAGGAGAGACAGAGAAGGATTGAGCTTTCATACATTGGCTCATTCCCCAAATGGCTGCAATGGCCAGAGCTGAGCTGATTTGAAGCCAGTAACTTCTGGGTTTCCCACACGGGTGCAGGATCCCAAGACTTTGGGCCATGCTCCACTGCTTTCCCAGGCCACAGGCAGGGAGCTGGATAGCAAATAGAACAGCTGGAATACGAACCAGTGTCAACATTGGGTGTCAGTGCTTAGAAGGTAGAATTTAGTCATTGAGCCATTGTGCTGGGCCCCTTTTGCTTCTTTTGTTAAACTGAAATTCATGTAAATTTTACTGTTTCAAACTGGCAGTTTATATCTTTATATTTTGCACCCATCATGTCTACCTATTTCTGAAACCTTTCAAGCAGTTGGCTTCTCAGCAGACTTCAACAGCCACCGGTTTGCTTTCAGGCTTTGTGGGTTCATTTGTTCCACGTATTTAATGTAAATGGGACAATAGGAGTGTAAAGTGACTTGTTGTGTGTGGCTTTACTTATTTCTCATAAGTTTTCAGGTTAATGTGGATAAGCATGATAAGATACAAGTGCTTTATTCGTTTTTTAAGAGGCATGCTGTCATTTTTATACCTGATTTTCAGTTATGTTTATGCCTCCATCTTGGGATGGGCCTTTGGATCATTTCTGCCTTTTTGGCTATTGCGAGGAATGCTCTTGTAGGCATGTATTTGTTTGCATGTTTGTTTCTAATACCCACAGATGGAACTTCTCAGGTTCTAATACCCAGAAATGGAATTTTTCGGCTCGCTGGCAATTCTGTGATCATTGGCTTCCATTTTCTTGTGTCTTCCTTGGTTTGTTATTTGTCTGCTGATGTTTGTTATACCCACCCCCTAGGGTGTGAGTTATGTCAAGGTTCTTGACACATTTTAAGATTGTGTATTTGCCTTTGTAGTTGTGAAATTGTAAATTTATTTCTGATACTGTTGGCTTAACATAGTTGATTTGTAAATATTTTCTCTTTGAGTTGTTGCTCATCTGGATAAATCCTAGTTCATACATTTTCTTTGATCATTTGACCATTTTGTGTCAATAAGTCTTGTTCTTACCTCTGAATGCATTTATTTACTGATTTGCTGGTTCCTTTTTTGAGGATGCTGACACTGAGGCCTCTTACAGATTTCCTGGAGGGTAGCTGGGCTCCTGCAGTCCCTAGAGCCACTGGGGGACGCAGTGTCCCTGCCTGGCAGGGAGGAGCTCCTGGCCTCTTTGAGGCCTTGTCCGAGGATGCCAGACATGGACTGGGAATGCAGTGCTGCAGATCTTCACCTGGCAGAAGAGCGCCAACTCTTGGTTCCTTGGATGTTTGACTTGTTTTTAAACTTTTTTGCCTTCTTCATTTTTTTGGACTTTTAAGATATGTGGTCATCTGTTTATGTCTAGATTTTCAGCCACTAAAATTATTGGAAGAAAAATGTCAGTATTTTTCCTGACAAATCAAAGTTTTTACTCTCCAGAGGGAAAAACATCTTTGTGCTACTCCAGTCGGGATTTTTCTTATATGCTTCAGCATTTTTGTCTTTTTAAAAAATATTTATTTACCTGAAAAACTGAAATTATAGATAAAGGAAGAGACAGACATCTTTTTAAAATATATATATATATTGATTGCTTTTATTGGAAAGTCAGATTTACAGAGAAAAAGATCCTCTGTCCATTGGTTCACTCCCACAATGGCTGCCATGGCCAGAGCTGAGCCAATTTGTAGCTTCTTCCGGGTCTCCTATATGGGTATAGGGTCCCAAGGCTTTGGGCCATCCTCTACTGCCTTTCCAGACCACTGGCTGGAGAAGCATGGAGCTGGAAATAAAGTATAGCAGCCAGGACATGAACTGGCACCCAAATGTTATCCCGGTCCTTGGAAGGTGAGGATTCAGCTGCTAGGCTATCATACTGGGCCCAAGACAAAGACATCTTCTGTCTACCAGTTCTCTCACTAAATGGCTGCAACAGCTGGGGCTGAGCCAGGCATAGCCACGAGCTTGGAACTCCATCTCATTCTCAGTGGGTAACAGGGGTCCCACTACTTGGGCTGCCTTCTCAGGCATAGTTGCAGGAAGGTGGATCAGAAGTGGGCCAGCCACGGCTCAAACTAGTACTCACAAGGGAAGCTGGCATCGCAGATAGCAGCTTAGCCTACATCCCACAGCACCAGTCTAATTTTGTTGTGTTTGGTACAGCTTCTAGGCATGTGCTTTACGAATGCCTGACAACACAGGTGAGTGTGAATGCATATGCAGCTATGTGTGTATGTGTGTAATTTTTCTGTGTTGATTCTAGTTTGCAGGAGGGAACCGGAAGGCCTGTGGCTTCCAACAAAGTCATCACCTGTGCAGAGCTCGTATTGGATGTCTCACCAAAAACACAAAGAGTTATTTTAAAGAAGAAGGTAAGAGAGCTTAGAGATAAGAGTTCAAAATCAGTAATTTTTAAAAAAGATTTAATTATTTTTATTAGAAAGGCAGATTTACAGAGAGAAGGAAAGACGGAAAGATTTTCTATCCACTAGTTCACTCCCCAAATGACCACCGTGGCCAGAATTGAGCCCATCTGAAGCCAGGCGTCAGGAGCTTCTTCCAGGTCTCCCAAGTGGGTGCAGGGTCCCAAGGCTTTGGGCTGTCCTCGAGTGCTTTGCAGGCCACAACAGGGAGCTGAATGGGAAGTAGAGCTGCTGGGACCTGAACTGGTGCCTGCAATCACGGAATCCGGTGCTTGCAAGGGGAGAATTAGGTATTTGAGCCATTGCACTGAGGCCTAGAATAAATGATTTTCAGCACTGCAAGAGACGCAGGGTTGTCCAGTCTAAAGTTTTTGGTTTCTACATGAGGAATGTGAGACTTAAGAGAAGAAGCTCAAGGCACAAAACTCGGGAGTCAGTGCCTCCACTCCAGTGTTCCCCAGCCCATGGCCCATGCTTCAAGGAGTTCTGAGTCTTCCTTGTGGTCAGTTCTCTTTTTGGAGAACCTAACCCTTGCATTTGATTTCTCTTTTCTTTTATTCTTCTGTTGTTCCATAAATGAATTAGAAAATAAAATCAGACTGTTAAAAATGTTCTTTTGTATGCTGACCGCAGAATTGTCAATCACTATGAAAAGAGAAAAACAAACAAACAAATAAACCCAGAAAGGTCATTTTAACATTCTTCTCTAGTTAATTTATTCTTGGTAGTAGATCTAATTTGTGGAGAGAAAAGCAGTCAGCTTTGCCCAAAAGACTAGTTTTAGCTGAAACTAAGAGTCGTGTGGTTGGGAGCCTGGAGGTACAGAAGCCACTGGAAATGGAGAGAGACCACCAGTGTAGCTCTTTGAAACGCTTTCACCTCAGGGATATATTTCTAAAGATGTTGTGTAATTTTTATAGCCGAATCAGAAAGAATTCTGAGTTTCCATTTGCCACCTCCGGTGGCATTGCAGGTAGCACTGTTGTCATTTGTTGCCCTTCCACTTGGCTTGGCGCTCATTTTGCTCTTGACAGATTTTAGTTGGTTAGGAAAAAGTTTATTCAAATTATTTCAAATGTTGCACATCAAATGTATCTTTAAAACATGTGCTTTGCAATTTAATTATGTATTTTAATGACTATTGATATATAATTTACATACCATTAAATTACTCATTAAAAATGTATAGATTTCAGCTGTTTTTGGTACAATCACAGTGGGCCATACACATAAGCTCCCTGGATTTCTGCCCGCCTACGTCTGTCTAAACTTTTAGGATTTGATAGTTAGGTACAGAAGAACATTGAAAGGGAAAATGGTGCATATCAGGTGCTTTCTTTTTTTTTTTTTTTTTTACGTTTTATTTTATTTTAAATGTGAAAAGTCAGATATACAGAGAGGAAGATTCTCCATCCATTGATGCACTTCCCAAGTGGTCATAATGATCGGAGCTGAGCCCATCCAAAGCCAGGAGACAGGGACCTTGAGCCTCCTCCAGGTCTCCCACGTGGGTGTGGTGTCCCAAGGCTTTGGGCTGTCCTCCACTTCCTTCCCAGGCCACAAGCATGCAGCCAATCCTGGAATGGGAAGCAGGGCCCACCAGGACATGAACCAGCAACCATATAGGATCCTGTTGCATGCAAGGCGAGTTAAGCTCCTAGGCCATCATGCCAGGCCCACATCTCAGATTTTTAAGAAGAAATTTTGAGTTTCCAACTTATGATGAGTCTGTGCAAATGGGCAAGCAGTGGAGCAGTCCTGGCAGAAGTGGTCCTCCTGGGGCCTCTGGGCTTTGCTCCCTCATCTGTAGCATCTGCAGGGTGATGAAGATGCTTTTCCGTTTCAGTTTGGTGTTCTGGATAGCTGGGCCCTCATGTGGGGACCGAGAGGGAGCCAAAAAGTCCATGGCTTCTCTCTGCAGACACACAGAAGAAAGGTCATGATATTGACTTCAAGTCCTGGCATTGTCACATAAAGAAACCTCATATTTCATTTCCGATTCTTCTGTGAACTTCATTTTTCTACTCACCTTCAAAGTTTATTAGGGAAATCAATTAAAATGTATGTAACTTGCGATGAAAAGGATTGTAGGATACTGACAGCAAGCATTTATTGAAGCTGTACCCATGTGCTAGGCCTGTGGATTTGTCATACTTATGAACATCTGTAAGAGGTAGCTTGATTTTCCTCTCTGATTGATCAGGAAGCTGTGAAGAGATTAATTTGTCCAACGTTAACTCGGCTCGTAAATGGTGCTGCTGGGTCTCAGGCCCTGACAGTGTGACTCTAACATTCATGTTACGTACTGTGTAGAATGCAAGAAGTCTGTCTTTCCAGCAGGAGAGCAGCATATGAATGAGTGTGTCGGACCCACAACTGGCTGCTGCATCTGACGATCGCCTGCCTGTCGAGTGTATGTAGGGCTGACAGGTCTAGCTAGAGTGCAGGTGTTGCTGAGTCAGAATTGTAACAGGTGTTGTTAAACTTAGGTGACCTGTCATGACTGAGACGGTATGTAGTGAATGTTTTGTTATTATTATTGTATATGTTGAAATTTATGCCATTTGGTGATTGACTTGGTGGAGTTGAGTATTCTTGAGAAGAAAATATATTTGGTTAACAGCAATCAACTTAGTATAACCTTTGAATACAGTTAATGAACATATGAGTATAACCAACTGTCTTGGTTGGAGATCATAATGTAGTATATCTCCTTTGTAGACATTAAGGAGAGGAAAAAAGACCTTTGGTAAGTTCTGATTGTCTGTGAGCTATGAAGATAATCAGATGTCAGTTTGAAGAATATCGTGTGTCCTTTATACCATTGGATCTTTCTTTAAGCTAGGAGTCCCCGTCTGGAACAGTACTCCCGGTAGAGTGGTTGGCCTAGGATATTGCCCAGTCATTTGTTCTCCTTAAAAAAAAAAAATGTAAAGTGTATAGAAAGAAAAAAACTTTAAAAATTTGTTATTTGTAATTTGTGGTTGTTTGGTTTAAGAGTGTAGCATATTTTACCAATATTGCAATTAGAGATTGACAGTAAGGAAACTCTGAATGAGGCATTTGTCTGCCGTGGCAAGTGTCTGCAGGGCAGTTGCTGCCTGGGAGGAAGTAGCCCCTGGAAGAAGCTCTTGGCGTGAGGAGCTGGCTGTGGCCGTATGTCATTGGCTCTTTCTTTGTACGTGTCTGCCCGACAGGAGCCAGGGAAGCGTTCCCAGCTGTGGAGGATGACAAGCACTGGAATGCTGGCCCACGAGGGCTCTTCAGTTCCTCATAACCCTAACAAGCCCTCGGCCACGCGCTCCACCGAGGCCGCCGCCATCCTGGACATCGCCGGCCTCGCCGCAGTGACTGACAACAGGTAAGTCCAGGCCACTTGATTTCAGCTCAGCGCTTTCAGATTCAGAACCAAAGCAAAAGACATCAGAAAGCTAGTTTGTAAACCTTGTAAGATTTTGTGTGTTTTTCTTAACTGACAGAAACCTGTCCTCGTCCTGGTAGGGCTCCTGGGCCTTTGAGCAGTTTAATAACTAATGTCTGTACAGAACGAATGTTTCTTTCACTCAAACTTACAGGCTACTTTCACCCCCTAAAAGTGAACTTTTTCTTGTTTAATATTTTTTGTAATATCTTCAAGAGAAGAAATTAAGTTTAGGGAATAATAAAAAATTTCTGGGTATTGTAACATTAATTAAAATAATGCTGTGGGTTTGTAGAAACAGTGAACCAAAGAATCAAAATGCAAGCTGTGTGGGCCCGGTGCAGTAGCCCAGCAGCTAAAGTCCTTGCCTTGAACATGCCAGGTTCCCATATAGGTGCCGGTTCGTATCCTGGCAGTCCCGCTTCCCATCCAGCTCCCTGCTTCTAACCAGGGAAAGCAGTCAAGGACAGTCCAAAGCCTTGGGATCCTGCACTTGTGTGGGAGACCTGGAAGAGGCTCCTGGCTCCTGGCTTTGAATCGGTGCAGCAGTGGCCGTTGCGGTCACTTGGGAAGTGAATCATCGGATGGAAGATCTTCCTCTCTGTCTCTCCTCTCTGTATATCCGCCTTTCCAATAAAAATAAAATAAATCTTAAAAAAAAAAAAAATCTAAAAGAAAAAAAAAAGGCCAACTGTGTAAAGTCCTAGCTAAAGCCACAAAGTATCTAATGTATACATCTGCTGGCTGAGAGACTCAAGAAGTACTGAAAAACAGTTGGCAACTTGAAAATGAAATGGTGTGATTTTTCATTTTGGTTTTATTGTGTTTGTTTGTTTTAAAGATTTATTTTATTTATTTATTGGAAAGGTGGATATACAGAGAGGAGAGACAGAGAGGAAGATATTCTGTCCGATGATTCACTCCCCAGGTGGCCGCAACGGCTGGAGCTGAGCCAATCTGAAGCCAGGAGCTCTTCTGGGTCTCCCACACAGGTGCAGGGTCCCAAGGCATTGGGCTGGCCTCAGCTGCTTTCCCAGGCCACAAGCAGGAAGCTGGAAGGGAAGCGGGGCTGCCGGGATTAGAACCAGCGCCCATATGGGATCCCAGGCGTGCAAGGCGAGGACCTTAACCACTGAGCCATTGCGTCGGGCCCCGATTTTTCATTTTGAATCCTTTTCTCAGCAATAGATAAAGTTTCCCCCTGTCTGCTGGCATTTTATATGGAATCTGATTTATATTCCAGTTGCTCCACTTCTAATCCAACTTTTTTTTTTGTAAGATTTATTTACTTTTATTGAAAGGTCACATTTACAGAGAGAAGGAGAGACAGAGAGAAAGATTCTTCATTCACTGGTCTACTCCCCAAGTGGCCACAACAGCTGGAGCTGAGCTGATCCAAAACAAGGAGCCAGAAGCCTCCTCCATGTCTCCCATGTGGTTGCAGAGTCCCAAGGCTTTGGGCCGTCCTCTACCACTTTCCAAGGTCACCAGCAGGGAGTTGGAAGGGAAGTAAAGCAGCTAGGACACAAACTGGTGCCCACGTCGGATCCCGGTTTATGCAAGACAAGGACTTCATCCACTAGGCTACCATGCCACGCCATCGAGCTTCCTTCTAATGACCTGGGAGAGCAGTGGTAGGTGGCCACAAGTGTTTAGGCCCAGCTGCAGCTGTTGCAGCCATCTGAGGAGTGAACCAGCTGATGGAATACTTCAGTTTGTTTGTTTTTTTAAAGATTGATTTATTTTTATTGGAAAGGCAGATATACAGAAAGGAGGAAAGACAGAGTGGAAGATCTTCCGTCAGATGATTCACTCCCCAAGCCACTGCAATGGCTGGAGCTAAGACAACCCGAAGCCAGGAGCCTCTTTCAGGTCTCCCACACGCAGGTGCAGGGTCCCAAGGCTTTGGGCTGTCTTCGACTGCATTCCCAGGCCACAAGCAGGGAGCTGTATGGGAAGCCGGGCCGCCAGGATTATAACCGGCGCCCATATGGGATCCTTGCAAGGCAAAGACTTTAGCTGCTACGCTATTGCGCTCGGCCCTGGAATACTTATTTATCTCTCTCTCCTCTCTAACTGTGCCTTTAAATAAAATTCTTTGAGTTACATGTAACATGTATAAAATAATAACATTATAAACTTGTAACAGTGTATTTTTTTATAGGCAATAGTTGCTTATGAAATACATATAGTATGATACTAATAATAAAGAATAGTCCAAAAATGATGTCAGTTATATGGTTAATATCAAATGACACTTGCATCTACCCACATTTAAAAATTACATAATACTGTAAAGGAAAGTGTTAAAAACTACATATTGAGATAAGAAATAAATTCAATAATAAAATATTATAATCAAAGAGCCAAGGAATTCAGAGATTAAAAAAAAAAAGTTTTCCCCTCCAGAGTTTAGTATTTTGTCAGCCAAAGTTTTCAAAAGTTTGTTTGGGACTGATGTTTTGGTACAGAGACTTAAGCCACTGCCTTTGCCAGTGCCATGTCTACAAGTAAGTTGGGATTTTGGTGCTCCAGTTCTGATCCAGGTCCCTGCTAAAGTACCTGGGAAATAGCAGAGTTTGGTCTGAGTGGTTGGGCCCCTACCATCTTTGTGGGAAAATGAGGAATGGAGTTCCAGTCTCCTGGCTTTGCCTGGCCCAGTCCTGGCCATGGTGGCCATTTGAGGAGTGAACCATCATATGAAGAATTTTGGTCTCTCTCTCTCTATTACTCTTCATTTCAATAAATGAAATAAATCTTAAGAAAACAAAGCTTATTGTGAAGCAGCATTATTCATAAGTGCTACACATTTATTATCTCATACAGTTGTTTGTTTCCCCGTAAAGGACCTTGGTAAACATCTAAAATGTGGGGATAGGACATAGTTGAGATGAAACTGGGCCAAATACCAGTAAAGTATTTAACAACTGTTGCCTTAAGTGTTTGAGTGTCACAGATTGATTCAGTCAGCCAAACAAAATAATCAAAATGACAAAACATGTATTGTGCATAAATCAGAATAACAGTATGTGTTACAGAATGACAAAGCAGTCTTCCCATACCACAATGCAGGCTTCCACATGTATTTGGGTTGCAATCAGTTCTTTCATTTGGAATAATTTGCTTTATTTGGTTATCCCTACTTTCTTCTTAATATCAGGGAATTTGCTTTCAGCGAATTTCTCATTTCCTTAACTAAAACACTTTAGATGCCTTGCAACTTAAAAGACAAAGTACTTATAAATAAGATCTGAAATATGGTTAGTGATTGTCCCTTCCCATTGTGCACGATAATTTGTCACCAAGAGAATGTGAGAGCCTCTGTCATTAAATTGTGTTAGGCTCTTGTCACTTCTTGTCCTCTCTTTGTTAGTTTCCGTTTTATTTTATTCTTTTTTTCTTGTGAACTTTTTTCTTATGCCTTCTTGCCCTGGGGTTCAAGCCAACTGCCCAGTACCTTTGGAGGATGGTGAAAGGAAGAGCAAAGCTGTTAACCTCCTGTGTTCTCTGCAGGCCTCAAGAGTTGACACCCAGAACTCACTGTCTTTCCCTTTGTTCAGATATGAGCCTCTTATGCTCAGAAAGCCTGACCGCAGGCGAAGCACGACGCAGACATGGAGTTTCCGGGAAGGCAAGCTGACCTGTGGGTTACATGGGCTGGTTGTTCAGGTCAGTAGTTTTCAGTTCGCCAAGTTGCAGTCAGCAGTGGTTGAGGCTTCTTGGAAGTAATGTCTCATCTCGGTTCTACATTGTAATAAATTGTTAAGGGGAAAATGAATTACAGAGCAATACATAGTCTTCTTCATTTTTTGAAAAAAAAAGTCAAAGAACCTATGTTGTGTATCTGTGTATGGTTACATGAGAGGTATTCTTGAAGGTGATGGAGAACAAATGTGTTTGGGTGCAGTTGCCTCTGGGTGATAAGATTTTGTTTTCTCACCTCTGCAGCCTATTTAGTTAGAGACCCAGCAAGGTGATAGCATAACTAGGACAGTACTTGTCGGGGTGTTTCCTGAGGTGTTGAGCAATCATGGGCTCCATGTGCTCTCAGTTCTGTGAATTCCTGCGTTCTTAGTGTTGTCTAGATAAGCAACTATTGCTCCAAGTGTCAGAATAAATATGGTGGACAGTTTCTCTGTCCTTAACTCAGCCAGTCTACTCCGCAATAAGCTCCCAGGTACTTTATAAGCCAGTGGAATTGGAAAATTATTGTGAGTTTGGATTTTGTGCCCTTTGTGGCATCAGCCTGGGGATGAGATCATGATCCAGGATGGGTAAGTAAGAAGATATTGAGGAAGATTGGCATCCACCATGATATGTGCAAGTCTGCCCCAAGCTGAAACTCTCAAAAGGCAAATGGTGGAGCATCCGTCCTTGGCTGGGGACTCGCGTGTCGCTCCCCAGCACAACTCAGCCGTCCTTTTCTGTGAGGAGCTCGTGCTGCAGGGCATTGTACACAACTGTGCAGAGTGTCTGCGTGAGGTTGATTTTCTTTATCTATATTGCCCTGAGCTTTTCTCATCAAAGGCAGGCTGCTTACTTATATGATGCACACATCTGGAATGGATTTGTGATTTTCAATTAGCAAGACAATTCAAACTTTTAGTGGCAAAAGAGGACTACTAGCAGCTGGTGGGTTCCGTATCTGACCCTGACTTACTTTATTACTAAAGTCCGTGTAATTCCTATTCTCTTGGAATAGTTTCTTCCTCCAAAATTCCTGCTGGTGTTTGTTGTTTCTTGGATCTGTTTTGTCATTTCTCTGCTTTGGAATGACTCGTAATAATAGTATTCAGCAGAGCAGAATCTGTTTTGGTTAGAGTAATAAGCTCATTCGAGTCTTGCTGTGCTGAGTCAAGTAACTGAAGGCACTCGAATGTTGTCGTCAGTGCCCTCTGCCCTTATTAGGCGGAATATGTACTTTCTCTCTAAACTGAACAGCAGTTATAAAAGGCTTTCTCTGTGTTGAGACTTATCCTGTAAGCCCAGTCTGAGTTTTCTGTCCATTACCTCTTATTTAAAAGTCAGCAGAGGGGGTGTTGGCAATCTTCACTGTTGCCTTCCCCAGTCCTGTGTTTGCTCCCCGATAGACGTCATCCTGTAGGGGTGGGGCAGGTGGCACGAAGGTGCTTTTCTCTAAAACCTAGGCAACTGGATGTCAGGTGATGTTCCCAGTTCTATATTACATTTCAGAAGTGGTACCAGCTTTTTGATATTTGAGTTGTCTGTCTAGTCATCGGGAAAGTTTTTAACTCTAGAATGTGCTGCTTTTTGATAAATCAGTGTTGGCAATAATTGTTTTATATTCAGATTTTTCAGCTAACACTAATGAGAATCCTCAAATAAAGCTCGATTTGCTTTTCTAGAAATGGTTTGTTTTGAGGCAGAGTGAAACTGGCATGCTCTATTCATAGAATTGTCTAACAGTGTCACTTTCTGTCTTGCTCAAGTTACCCTATTTTTCATCGTCTGCAAAGTTAAACAAATAGTAACTGCTTTGCTATACATTGATCATGACCCTTCAAAAGAGAAATTTAATAGCCTGTTTCAAACAGCATGATTATTTGGCAGTCAGTATTATATCTTTTGTTATGTCTTTATTCCAATGTCTTTTAGGCTAAAGGAGGGCTTTCTGGTCTGTTTGATGGAGCTGAAGTTGTTCTTGGTCCTGACACTTCTGTGGAGCTTCTGGGTCCAGTTCCACCTGAACAACAATTTATTAACCAGAAAATGAGGCCTGGTTCTGGAATGTTAGCCATCAGAGTCATCCCAGATGGACCAACCAGAGCACTGCAGGTGATAATTCATGATAAGTATTGATATGTGATACTCAATAGGACCTCCTCGAAGGCTAGTTGCTCACAAAATGTTTGCTGAACATGTGTAGGCCAGGTGTGAGAATGTGGTGTGCTCATCTGTAAATTGGGGATAGCATCTACTCGGCTAAGTCCTTTCAAAAAGTAGAAGTACAATGTTAAGTAAAAAGTGTATGCAAAGTGGAATGTAAGAAGGTAATTCTAAAAATGCATGCTATTGATGTTATTAGTCATGCTAATATTAATGTCAATGATTGATATTGTCAATAGCAGAAATAACAAGTAGATGTGAGCTCTTTAAACAGACAATTGAAATGTCTGAGAGTAAGAGTGCAGAATTTGCGAAGGATTTGTGTGCCTTGATAAGGGGATTGTGGAAGCTTTCTAGGCGATGTAATACTTCGGCTGAGACATAGTTGAAGGAAGTTACCCAGGTCTAGAGGAAAAGTTAAAGGAATCGAATGTGTTCATCCCTTAGTTACTGAGCCCTTGTTAGAACCAGGCTTGGTTCTGGGTACTGAGCATAATTTATACCAATGACCAATCCTGGTATTTCCTGCCTTCCTGGAGTTTACATTCTTGGAATCATAGACCAACAGTAAATAATGAAAATAATAAATAAATTTCATAGCACTGGGGAAGTTGTTTAGTGAAGATCCACAGGTAACAGTGGTCCTGGGCCTATCTGACAAAGAGAGCATAATGACAAGCAAGACTGGAGGTAGAATCGGTGGCCCAAGCATTGTGCATCTGCAGGACAGACTAAAGATTCTTGTGCTTTTTCCTCGTCAGTTAGGCGTCAGGGAATGGCATGATCAGATCTCTCGTTTCAGATGATCACCCTGGCTGTGGTGTAGGGAATTGAAGAGGTAGGGTTAGAGTCAGAAACATGTCAAAAGGCTCTTCCACTAATGAAGCTGAGAGCTGATGATGAGAGCTGCCCTTAAGGATGGGGCAGGGGAGGATGGACAGAAAGAAATGGAGATGAATGCTTACTTGGGAGTAGCCAGTTAGTTTCATAGCTGACGGAATGTTGGATGAGGGAGAGAATGGAGTCAGGCGGTGGCCTCCAGGATTCTGATTTAGGCAGCTGGAAGCAGGGTAATTCAAATCACTCAGATGTGAACACAGAGCAGATGGGGGAAGTGAGGAGTTACATTATAGGCTTTGAGTTAAGGGGAGATGTCTGGAAGTCGTAAGTGTGTGTCCAAAGCTCCTGGGAAAGACCTGTGGAGCTGTGGATTTATCAGCTCGCAGTGCAGTCAGAGAACCAAGGACACAAAGGTGTTGGGATATAATGATGAACTCTCCAAAGCAGGATCTCGTAAACCACAGTACCACTTGAAAAACAGTCTTCTCTTAAGGGAAAAACAAGTGCGGGAACCTTGGGTGCATCTCTTTTAGCTTGAGCTGTAAATCTGACCACCTACACATGCCTGACTGTCATGTAAGTTGCACAGGATTTGTGGCTTCAGTTTGTCATGAGACCTTCAAGTCAAGTTTGCATCATTATTGCATAAATGTTACCTTCACATTGTTGGGGTTCTTGAGCATAAAGTGACTTTTAATCTACATAATGAACATGGGTTACAATGGGCTTCCCTCTGCAAGTGTGAGCCCTCATTATGTGGTGCTTGATTGACTTCAGATAACCGATTTCTGCCAGCGGAAAAATGACCGCTCATCGTATGAGGTGGATGAGCTTCCCGTTACAGAGCAAGAACTGCAGAAATTAAGGAATCCAGAAACAGACCAAGAATTGGAAGTAAGTTCCATATGCAAATTTTGTTTTTCTTTTTTTGATCACCAGCTTATTTAGGTTTTGCCCTGTGGTGTTCTGTTTAGATGTTTTGTTTCTCTCCTGTGTGAGAATATGATTCTATCTCTGTATACTGTTACCACAACATAAATGTGTGAATGTATTATGTAAATGGCAGTGAAGTTTTTGTGACATCAGACTATAGCAAATGTTGCTACAGTAAGATGACAGTAAACCCTGCAAATCTGTCTAAATTTCAATAGTTTTAAGGTAAAGGTTAAGTAGATTATTTGTTTTATTTTTGCACTGTCATGTTTGAACACTGGGAAGAAGATAGAAAGTTTGAAAAGGAAGATGAGATGAACCTGGAAAAGCATACTTATCTGATATTTATTTAGTGATATTTTTTGCTTGAGATTTATTTATTTTTATAAAGACAAATAGAGAAGGAGAGACAGAAAGATCATCCATCCACTGGTTCACTCCCCAAGTGTCTGAGCTGATCCAAAGCCAGGAGACTCTCCTGGGTCTGCCATGCAGGTGCAGAGTCCCAAGGCCTTGGGACGTCCTGACTCCTTTCCCAGGTCATAAGCAGGGAGCTAGATGGGAAGCAGGGCTGCTGGGATTAGATCTGGCGACCATCGCTTCTTGGCCTATTGGCTAAAATCAAGTGTAGAACTGGCAGCCATATGGGATCCCATGAAAGGTGAGGACGCTAGCCGCTAGGCTACTGCGTCAGGCCCTTAGTTAGTGATTTCTTAAAAATAAATGTCTGTGTGTAAAGCACTGTTGGATGTTAAAAATGTACAGTAAGTAACCAATTAGCAGCTTGAATCCCAAATACAGAGAAATATTTCAAATAGTCTCATTCCTATAACGGAAATGCAAAATGTTCCAGGGGTCAGATAGGGATTTGATGATGTCTCTCTGGAGTCCCTGGTGGAATGGAGAGTAGATGTGGAGGGGGTGACCCGCTAGTGGGATGACAGCCCATGCGTCATCCAAGGGAGCTGATGGGCTGGGCTCAGTAGTCATCTGCTGAGCGGAGAAGAGGAGGGATTTCATGCCATTTATTTCTGCTCTCCTTAATGTGAACTACCCTTTGTTTTTAAAGATGTATTTATTTTTATTAAAAAGGTAGATTCAGAGAGGAGAGAGAAAAATCTTTCCTCTGCTGGTTCACTCCCTAAATGCCACAGTGGCCAGAGCTGAGCTGTTCTGAAGCCAGCGGCTAGGAGCCTCCCCCAGGATTCCCATGTGGGTGCAGGGTTCCAAGGCTTTCCCAGACCATCCTCTACTACTGTCTTTCCCAGGTCATAAAACAGGGAGCTGGATGGGAAGTAGAGCAGCTGGGACACGAACTGATGCCCATAGAAAGTGCCAAAGCTTGAAGGTGGAGGATTAGCCAGCTGAGCTGTTACGTTAGCCCTGTGAGCTACATTTTAAACAATCAATATTGCCATATTTTGCTTTCCTTCCAGGTGCTTGTGAGGCTAGAAGGTGGTATTGGGTTATCCTTAATTAATAAAGTCCCAGAGGAACTGGTTTTTGCAAGTCTTACGGGAATCAATGTGCATTATACACAGCTGGCAACGAGTCACATGCTGGAACTCAGCGTACAGGATGTACAGGTAAGAGAAAGTTCAGAGTTGTTCAACTCTAATAATCCACCAAGGGCAGATGTTTAGTGTTCTGAAAACATCAGTGTTTTGTAGGAAGTACCTTGTTGGAGACTTCAAAGCAAATCATTTGAAGGAGTAGTTGTTTTTCATTAATTTGATAAGACAAGCAGAAAGTCATCAAATTTATGCTGGCCTGAAGTAGCACTGTGGAGCACCAGAGCCGACTGAACAAATCCTGGGCCATAAAAATAATTTTCAGCAAGTCCCCTAGTTCAGGACACATCAGGTGTGTTTTCTGATGCCAGTGGGATTAATGTAGAAATAGCAGAAAGATCTTTCGGAAAATCCTCCAGATTTTTGAAAACTAGTACACTGCTAAGTAACACATAGGCTCAAAGGAATCCAAACAGAAGTTAGGAAACATTTTTAGCTGAATGGAGATGAAAACACAATGTCTCAGAATTTGTGGAATATGACCAGAATAGCATGAGAAAGAAACTTAGAGCAGTAAATGCTGTATTAGAAAAAAGAATGGCCTCAAAGCAGTGAGTTCATGTGTCATTTTAAGAATTTTTTGAAAAAGCATTATGAACCCTAAGTAGCACAGGCAAATCAGTGCAATGAGAAGGTAGTTCATAAGAAGTTCTTAATAGGTTGGTGTGCTCAAGAGGGAGGAGGGAGGAGAGGCAGGTGGCTGACATCAAGAGTGAGAGAGGAGCCAGGAAAGCCAAGTGAACGATGACAGTCCTCGGGGATGTGGCTGGCTTGGGGCAGGCATTGTCTGGAGTGACTGTGAGGCTGCTGGTTTGTCGCCGTGATTGCTGGGCTGTTCCAGGCTGCAGGGTGCTGAGTTGGGGATGGTGGTTGTAGGACAATTTAAGCTGCCACACAGTGCATTGTTCTTAAGGAGTCTCAGCTTGTTTTCTTGAATGAATACTCCTTGGATTAATACAAGCCTTTCACGTGTTTGAGAAAGTTGACTTTGGTTCTTGGCCAAGTTATGTTATCTTGCTCTTGGAACAACTTCTGTATCTCTTGGTAGCATGATTTGGACTGTTCTCCTTTCTAACCTCTGCCGCAACAGTTGTGTGCTGGAAGCTTGTTCCTTGCCCAAGCAGGACCCAAGCCCAGTCTCTGATTCTTGTTTCCCAATGAACAGCCTGCGTTCCTGCTATGCCTGCACACAGGCTGCCATCTTCCCTCCCTGGACCAGATGGCACCATCCAGACACTCAACCCCAGACTTCTCCTCAGAGGAAGTTTATATCTCACATGACAAGTGGCAGTTAATTTAGGCTAATCATAAATCATTTGTTTGTAGAAAGATCCAAAGTTAACACCTTTTTGTTCTACATTTTTGACCCTACAGAGGGGATCTGAGGAATAAAAAGAAGGACATTGTAACAGAGTAACCTGGGAAGATCCTCTTGAGGTAGTGAGATCTGTGCTGAAACTAGGAGGTAGACAAAGAGCAAACCATAGAGAAGGAATGCCATCCCAGGGAAATTCAAAGACCCTGAAGAAAGAGGGACTTGACCACATTTGAGAAACAGCGGGGTTGTACCTGTGTAGACTGTAGCAAACTTGAAGAGGAATGGTGTGTGATGAAGCAGGGAGATTTGGGACTTTATGTTTTGGGCAAACCTTGGCAATGTCTCAAGAAGTTTGGTTTTCATCCTGAGAGAAAGAAGCTACTGAAGAGTATAAAGGGTATGGCTTGATTTTGTAAGTATTTTTAAGACTTATTTATTTATTTATTTAAAACAGAGCGACAGGATCTCCCATCCTCAGGTTTACTTACCAAGTGGCTGCAACAGTTCTGTCTGAGTCAGGCTGCAGCCAGAAACTAGAGCCTCTATCCTGGTCTCCCACATGAGTGGCAGGACTTGTGTGCCATCATCCACTGCCTTCTTAGGCATATTAGCAGGGAACTGGGTGGAAAACAGAGCAGTCTGGTCTCAAACTAGCACTTTGATATGGGTTGCTGGTGTTGTAAATGGTGACATCATTAGCTATACCACAGCACCAGCGTCCGTTTGTGTGTTAAAAAATCACTTTGCAAGGTACTGTAGGAAACAAGAGTGCAAAGAAGGATAAGTCTCCTGTTCTTAGGCCTGCACTTGGAGAGCCAGGCAAAATGAAAGTCAGTTCCAACTACATAAAATGACCGTGGAAATTCATGTGATATAACAGAAGAATCAAAGGGTTTGGTACAAGAAATGTCAGTATTTGAATTCCAACTCCTCTGCTTACTAGCTGTATGAATATGATCAAGTTCATTTAAATTGTCTAAGCTTCTGTTGATTTGTTGATTAAAAACTCAGTCTTTAGAAATGTAGTAAAGGGTATGTTAGAGGATGATGTGCAAAGATTACATGTAGATGGTCTTTCAGGGTACCCTGCAGGTGGCCCCCCACATCTCTTCCGCTTGTGGACCTTCAGGACCTTGCAAATGAGTCAGAAATGTGCAGGTGGCGTCCTCCTGCTAAGAGCTCCCCCCTGCTTAACCGTTGGTGTGAAGCCAGTGCGCTTTGTGCTGCTCACCGGGAAGCAGAATAGCTCCAGACTCGCTGAAGCCTTGTGTTCCTGAGAAGGGAGTTGACTTTAGAATTGGGAATTTTGCCGTTTGGTAGCCAACTGAACCTCTGGTTCTCTAGTTCTAATTGCCTTCTAATTGCTCTCTTGGAGCAAGAGAGCATTGATAACATTAAGGTTAAGAGAACTGTATTTAGGTCATGTAGCCCTGGGCTCTATCACTGACGGACTGTATGACCTTAAGCCAGGACTTCACTCCTCCGCTTTCTCATCTGTGCAGTGAGGCTAGTACACATTTGGCTGTGATCAGGATTGCAGCAGAGCTCTGAGTTCAAGAGCAGGTATCACGGGTTGTCTGCGCCTGATGAGCTAGTGCATATGAGGGGACTAGTGTATTACTCAGCATATAATATTCTGCTAAGTTTGTTCAAATTTAAATTCATGGGTCTGGCATGATAGTGTAGCACTTAAGATCCTTGCCTTGCACGTGCCGGGATCCCATATGGGCGCCGGTTCTAATCCCAGCAGTTCCACTTCCCATCCCACTCCCTGCTTGTGTCCTGAGAAAAGCAGTCGAGGACAGCCCAAAGCCTGGGTCCCTGCACCCGTGTGGGAGACCCAGAAAGAAGTTCCTGGCTCCTGGCTTCAGATCAGCGCAGTACCTGCTGTTGTGGTCACTTGGGAAGTGAACCATCGGATGGAAGATATTCCTGTCTGTCTCTTCTCCTCTCTGTACATCTGCCTTTCCAAATAAAATAAATAAATCTTTTAAAAAAATGTTGAATTCATTAATACTTTAAAAATTTTTACTTGCGAGAGGGAAAGAGGGAGGAAAAGAGAGCTGCTGTCCACTGTTTTACTCCCAAATGTCCAGAAAGACCAAGGCTGGGCTGAGGCCAGAGCCAGGACCTGAGAACTCATTCCAGGTCTTCCAAGCAGGTGCAGAAGAGAAATTCTTTGAGCTGCTTCCCAAGACTTGCCATGGCAGGTCCCTAGCTGCTAAACCCGAGTGCACAAATGTTGGATATGGGTATCTTAACTCTAGGCTTAATGCCCATTTCCATTCATTCATTTGTCAATTGGCAAATGAAAATTACATGTACCAAGTAAAGCATGATGTATGTTTTGGAATGGCTATGCCAAACCAGTTCACAGACACAGTACTTACTGTTTTGTGGTTAGAAAACAGCCCTGCTCTGCTAGTGAAACTCCCTGCTCCAGGATGGCTTCTGTTGGTACTATTGCTGCTCTTCCCTGCAGTTTTGTGTTGCCATGTGCTCTTGAAATTGAGTAAAGTGGCAGTGGTGTTTTTTTACAGGCACTCCCGAAGGTAAAATGAGAACTGAGTCCATTTTACTACCTTGTTCTGTCCTAGGTGGACAATCAGCTCATTGGTACCACTCAGCCCTTCATGCTGTATGTGACTCCCCTGAGCAACGAAAATGAGGTCATTGAGAGCGGCCCCGCAGTGCAAGTCAACGCGGTCAAGTTCCCCAGTAGGAGCACGCTGACTAACATCTACAAGGTGGGCTTGGGCCTGTGGCATGACACAAGTGGATTTCTTCTCTTGTAGCTGATTCTCTGAGCAACAGTTCTGGGTGTAGATGGAGATGGTTACAGGGTATTAAGCCACATGCAACTTACTAAGTTATTCAAGGAGGTTTATGGGAACTCCTTCCCTTGGCACCTTCTACTCTCAGTTATGCTTTTAGTGAGCTCGCAGGCGATGATTCAACAGTCCTAAGTCCAGCAAGCTAGCCTTCATTCATCAGCATAACATCTCTGCAGGAGAGTATAGCATCTTCTAGGTTAGTCCAAAGATGTTAGAAAAGGACAATGTGGAGTCTGGCCTCGGGACAGACATCCTTTTACCATAGTGTTTGCTAAAAGCAAGTAGTTTAAAAATGATCAGTTCTCTTTGGGGCAGCCTCCATACCCCAGTTGGCTGTTACAAGTGCAAGCTAAAAGGTTGCTTCCCACGTCTCTGGTCCCCACTGCTGATGGGACCAAACCTGAGGCAGCGCTGCCATCTGCAGCCCAGTCATGCTGCTTTTACGTGAGCTGAGCCTCCGCCCCACGGTGTGTCTGAAGCTGTACTCCTGACTAACAGGTCACTCAGCATCTCCTGGAGGCTTTGGGCTATTTGTAACACTGCAGTTAAGCAAGAAATAATTTGACAGTCTGATTATAACATCAGAAGAGACCCCTGTGATTTGCCTGGGGCCTTTTTACTGGCACAGGTGAAAGTCGCCTCTTGTGTTCATGCTTTCAATGAGAATGTCTTCCTCTGCAGCATCTGCTGGTCACGGCTCAGAGATTCACGGTGCAGATAGAGGAGAAACTGCTGCTCAAGCTGCTCAGCTTCTTCGGCTATGATCAGGCAGAATCAGGTGCGTTGGATGTCCTGTGTTTGTATCTGGGCACTGTCTCATGGCCGACATTTTCCAGTCCATAAAAATAGGGTGGCCCCTGCAGGCCCATAAGCTGTCTTGCTGTCTGCTTGAGCTAGAAGGTGAAGGCTGTGCTCAGCTGTTCTCTGCAAGTGCCACTTGTCATTTAAGTTGATCGCCGTGGACTAAGGCTCTCCGGAGGGTCTGTGGGTGTCCTGCAGTATCCACTGGTGATCCTTTGGGGAGCAGAACACTAGATGTTAGTTGTTGAGGAAACCAGTTTCTTTCCAGCCTTTGTTTATTAAACAGATTTGGGACCAAGAATCAAGAATCACTTCGATGACTTCTTTGGTTTAGTTCACCGAAGAAAACAAAAACAAAACCTGGCTAAACTCAATTGATTGTTGATTCCTTTATACTTAATGGAATTGTAAAGGCTTCTCTTTACTGTTTCTTTGGAGAGAGCAGTAAAATAAGCTATTTGAAACCCACCTTTCCAGCCGTGCTATGGAAGTCACTTGCTTGGTGCCTCTGTTTAAATTCCTCATTCCAGCCCTTGCTCCTACTTGTAGGTGGGCTCGTCAGAGCTGAATGTACAGCTTGGGCGTGAAGAATACTCAGTCTTGTTTGAAACCTAAACTAAAGACTGAACTCAAAGAAACGATACGAACTTTCATATGTGTCTGCTAATGTTGGCTTCAGAAAATAAAACAAAATTGCAAGAGAAATACAGTGTTCTGCCCCACATTTAGAATGTAGGCTATAAGACTCCTTGGCTGTTTGGTGCCGAGCTTTCACTCTGCACTGGGACAGCAGCCTTTGCTCACGTTCAGTAGCCACTTGAGAGCTGGCCTGCCAGGTCCTACCTTAGGTCTCGCCAGGGACCTTAGGTGCTTGAAATTTGGAGATGTTTTACTTGTACGTAGTTGTGCTTTTTTTTTTTTTTTTTAAGATTTACATACTCTTGTAACTTACTCTGATGAATTTCCCTTCCCAGCACTGTAGGGTAGATTTTGACTTTTGTCTAAATCCGTATCAACCTCTTATTGGAGCATCTCCTCTGCTTTCCATAGCTGTCCTGTTTCCTGAGCAGCATAGATAGGCAGGTCTGTGTTGCAGCATCGTTCTTTTCTAAGTAGAACAAATGATAGCTTAAAACATGAATCTCTGATGTGTATAGATACAAACTCGTTGGCTTTATTTAAAAAAAATTTTTTTAAATTTTTATTGGAAAGGCAGATTCACAGAAGGAAGAAGAGAAAAAGGCACAGAGCTCTTCCATCTGCTGGTTCAAGTGGTCGCAGTGGCCATAACTGAGCTGACACAAAGCCAGGAGCCAGCAGGATCTTCTGGGTCTCCCACATGGCTGTAGGGTCCCAAGGACTCAAGCCTTCCTTCACTGCTCTCCCAGACCACTGGTAGGGAACTGGATCAGAAGTAGAGTAGCCGGAACACAAACTTGTGTCCATATGGGTTGCTGGCACTGGCAGGCAGAGGATTAATATGTTGCATCACCACACTGGCCCTTGTCTGGCTTTTTCTTTCAGGCATGTGAAGCCAAGGAAAAACATGCTACCGCAGTGGGTGTGGTCCCAATCACTGTTTTTTAGCCTATGTCCCTCCTTTTTACTTCACAGGATAGTAGGTTAAAATATACCTTTTGACGCCATGGAAGTGGATGCGCCCATTTGGGAGAGCAGGTGCTGTTCGTAGTGGAGTCAGATCTTTGTGATCTGTAGTCTTGTTCTTTTTCAAGTATCATATTTTACTCAGATTCATTATTTAATTGGTGATATGATTCATTATGATTGACATGCTGGATTTCACATCCTTAGTTGGATATCATCTTAAGAAATAAATTCAGTTAATTTGAGTCTTTGATAAAAATAACAGTAATAGTTTCTAGACAGACAACAGTTTTTAAAACTGTGACTTTAGGCTTTCCCACCTGTGTTATTCAGGATGCCACTGGCCTGTTGGTACAGAGTCACAAAGTTGACAATTAAGCTGGTGTATTTTTTGTATAAGTAACACAAATGCCTGGGATGCTGCACACGTTCCTGAACTCTAAAACCAAATTAGAGAAACAGTTTTACTTTTTCTCTACATGCATTTGAATTATAAATCCAAGGAACTTTTTTTTCTTGCTTTAAAAAAATCTGCCTTTTTCTCAGAGGTGGAAAAGTATGATGAAAACCTCCATGAAAAGACCGTGGAGCAAGGAGGGACGCCAGTTCGCTACTACTTTGAAAATCTCAAGATCAGCATTCCGCAGATCAAGCTGAGTGTGTTCACCTCCAGCAAGCTGCCGTTGGATCTGAAGGTGAGCTGACTGATGTCTGGGCAAGTTTTTACAAATGATATTTACTTGGGAAAGAGCGAGTATGTTTGCAATTCGCATGTTCTGTCCAGCATCAGCATTCATAGAAGCTATTTTTACAGGTTTCCTTTTTTTAGGGGGATAACAGACTCCTGTGTATTTCTGTCCTTTTATTTGATATTTGCATATGATTTTGCAAAAGATCAAGGCGGTCACTCTGGAGAGTAAACACAGGCAGTTACATAAAACTGCTGCCCTCGCTGTGCTCCTGGCTCTCGGCAAGGCTGAAGGTGTGGCTCCCCAGGGTGCTCCAGTCTCCAGGGCCAGACCAAACCCAAGGTTATTTCTTCTTTTTGCGTCGCAACCTGCTTAGCTTCTCATTTGCTCTGCCTCCTCTGTTGAAGTAATTGTCACTAGGAATGTTTGTCCCCCTCAGGGAAGAGGCTAAGTTAAGTTGCCCATGTGCTGGGATACACCCACTTGGCACTTGGTCAGGATGGCATGTTCCTGCAGATCGTCCTTTTTTTCTTTTCTTTTTTTTTTTTCTAATATTTATTCTTATTGGAAAGGCAGATTGGAAGAGAGAAGGAGAGAGAGAGAGAGAAAGATGTTACATCTACTGGTTCACTCCTCAAATGACTACAGTTGCCAGAGCTGAGTCAGCGCAAAGCTAGGAGGCAGGAGCTTCTCCTAGGTCTCCTACATGGGTGTAGGGTCCCAAGGACTTGGGCTATCCTCTGCTATTTTTCAAGGCCATAAGTAGGGCACTAGATTGGAAATGGAGCAGCCAGGAGTAGAGGTGGCATGCGTATGGGCTGCTGGAGCTTGAAGGTGGAGAATAAGCTTTTCGAGCCCCGGTGCTGGCCCCCGGCTGCTGACTGTCATGACATGCACTTGATAAATACCGCCTCCACGTCATCTTTGCTTTAACAATAAGGTGGATTTTAAGGAACAGAGAGACAGATTCAACCCCAAGCCTATCTGAATCCAACTCTGTAGTTTTTTTTTATTATTTATCTGTTGCTATCCTGTGCTGCCCCCAAAACACAAGGAATGGTGGCCTTGCTTGGTAGGCAGGGAAGCTGAAGCTCAAAGTGTTTCTCTTGGAGCGGGGTAGGGAGTGACATGTGCACAAGGGAAGCCGGTGGTTATTAGGAGGGCGTTGCTGAGTTTGGGCTCGAGTCCACACCCTGCGGCTTGCACCCACTGGCCAATGATCTTTTCTCTGTTGTGTCTGAAGGTGGTTGCGAGGCCCTCTTTTTTCCCATAACCCCAGGCTTATTTCCCACCATGCCATGCAACCTCCTCTGAGATGCTGCAAGATGGCCTGTCTTCCTGAACATGAACAAATAAGTATTAAATCTGGAGTCATAAATTCAGATGCCCACCGGAGCTGCGCCAGCAGTGCAGCAGGGCCAGGGTGTGCGGGTGTATGCTTTGCTGCTAAAAGGGCCAATTGTTGGGACGGAATGCAAACCCAGGGTTCCCAGATCTTTGGATTTTTAAAGAGAAGCCGGAAATCTGGGTTTTTATGAGGAATCTCCTGGTTTTTAAACGTTGGCAACAAATTTAAGTTTCTTGTTTTCTGTTAAATCTTGTGGGCCTAACAAAACACACGTGTGGGCCTCATGTGGCCCGTGGTCTGCCAACTCTCAATTTCTAAAATAGACTTCTAGGTAATGAGACAGTAGTCTGGTGAGCCTCAGATCACATTTGGATCAGGATGGGGCAAGGGCGACTGCCTCATTGAGATGGCAAAATGGGACTGAGCATCTGGCATGACCAGTCAGGCCATGTGGGGAGAGCAATGTGGCCACCCCTGCAGCCACCCTGAGAACAGGGCTGGATGCCCCGCTCCACTTACTGCACTGCCTGCTTAATTTGCTTTAATTTCATGTTTCCCAGGAGATTGAAAATAGTTATAATTAGCATGGGAGTGAGGGGAAAACCATGGGAAAACCGCTATCTTGTTAATATCCACAAGTATCCACTTGACTTCTGTGACCCTTCGGAATGGGTTTGTTTGATAAAGTGTGTATTCCCCCAGAACACTTGGCCCTCGCCCAGCAAGCCAGTGGTAAGCATTTCCTGCAAGTTGAAGACTCCTTGTTTCTAATATCATCTAAGAAACACAGACACCTTCTTGCTTCTTCTGAATTGCTCCCTGCAGAAAACTTGCCCAGACGGACAAAAGCACGATGATTTTCTGCAGCTAAAGCAGCTCCCGCCCCCTGCCTCCCTGGTGTTACTGCTGGGGCATGCACTGCGCATCCACTGCCTGGCATCTTGCAGTTAAATGTTCCACCCAGTCATATGGGAGGAATGTTTTCAAGGCATTTCTCAAATCATTGTTGAACAAATTAAATGAAGCAGCGTGTTGTGAGGTGTGAGGGCACGCTCAGTGCCGGGAGTCAATGCTTCCAGCAGGGCGCTGGGGATTGGGACTGCAGAGTTAAATTCTCAGCTTGTCGAAGTCACCGTTTTACTGCACTGAGTGGAGCCTGGGACTCATAAAATAATGTCACTTATTCAAAGAGTTTTCTAACAGAGTAATATCCCTTTATTAGTAGCTCTTAGAAAGGGCAATATGCTCTTCAGATGAAAAGCTAATAGCTGAACGTCTGTGCCTGGAAAGTGGAGGCCTGTCCCCGCTCAGGGATCACAGGAGGCTGATTAAAAGGTAAAGTGTCTCTGGGACTGAAGGAATAATTACCTTGGTTCTCCTGACTCCTGCCAGAAGTGCGGCTGTCAGAAGTCTCGGAGGGAAGTCTCTTCAGGTTTACACTGAGGGCACATTGTTGCCAGATAGCAGTGCCTGTGCAGAAGGCCTCAAAGCAGTTTCACATCTGCTATCTCGGCGGCCTCCTTTGCCTGTGCTGGCAGGGGTGGGCGAGACCCACTCCGAGCAATGCTGCCCAGACAGCGGCCTTCCCTTGCTGCCACTCCGGTAGCCTCCCAAGTGTGCGCCTTGCAGAGGGGCAAGTCTGTCTAATGCCAGGTAGTTCCTGTGTGTTTGGGGTTTTTTAAAAGATCAAAAGAGGCCAGGAGCCTTTAAAAGATTTCCCAAGGTGGCCTACAGCAGTCCTTTTCCCATTTAGAGCATTGGGGCATTATAAAAGAAGGGCTTTAATTGAGCAATCTAGTTTGGAAGAAAACCCACATTTTAATGGTCAGAGAGTGAGAGGAGGGTGGGGGTTAGGGGGATTTCAAACAAAGACACTATTTAAAAAGCCTAAAACTGTCTTCTGAAAGGCTTGAAATAATTTGTTGGGAAACTTCAGACCCTTTACTTTTTCCCTCCCCTCCTTAAATAAAAACCAGATTTGTTAAAAGGAAAAAAGATCCAGTATTGTTAATTGTGTTTCACAAAGTGCCAGAGAGGGAAATATCCCTGTTTTTAAACACTGTCCCACGAGGGAAATAGGCAAATACCCCGCTTCACATAAACAGTCTCTATGTACCATAAATAAACCTTTAAAGAATGAATTCCAGACTGCTGTGTTTAGTGCAGGAAAACCAAGAAAGGAGAGGACGTGGTCCAGGGAATGGCTTGTGATCTAAGACCTGTGGCACATAGACAGGTATTTCTTCTTTCAACTCTGCAAAGTTTCTGGGAGAAGTTGGCAGTTTTTGTCTGGGGAGGTAGGAACAGTTTGCTATTTTGTATTAGGATCTTAGGGTTGCTTTCTTCAGAATTCATTTAGAACAGGAAACTGTTGCTACTTAAGTAAATAAGCATCAGCCCTGTACACTACTGAATTTGATTCGTCATTTTGTTATTTCGAGAAGGAATCTTGTTGGCTTGCCCTGCTGCTCTCTTGCTGAGCCGAGCCTGGCCACCTGAAGGTGGTAGAGTGCTGAGTCCAACAGGTGGGGCGCGGCCTCTAGGGCGTGGGAGGCCCTAGGCAGCCAGCCACTAGGTTAAGATGGTTTCTGTTCAGGGTCAGTGTTTTCCTGTCAGACAAAGCATCTCAGCCCTCTGAACAGAGGGTTGTGTTTATCAGGTGGATTTTGACAACTAAGTAGAAGTACCATGGTCTGGGCTGCCATGCGTGGCTCTTCAGTGTTTAGTTGCAATGAGGAAGCTGGGTTAAAAAAAGCTTTTCACCTTAAGCCTTTGTTTTGATCTCATTTCCTCTTCTTTGAGAAGAAAGTCATTCTCAGAGTTGTTTTGGCAAAACAGAGTGCTGAGCGGATTGTCAGTCCCCGGCTTGCCCTCTGCCTTGCCCACGTTTCCAGTGTGGCTGTGAGAAGAGCAGCTCAGCTTCTGAGCTTGTGTTTCCCTGTCAGTGAAATGAGGAAGGCGAGGACTGTTTGCTGAGCCCAACACCGCTCATCACAAGGATGGAGAACTGGAGTCATCACTGCCTTCCTTGCTTTGCGCCCGGGAGGCTGGTCCTCTGGGGAAAACGAGCATGTTCAGACCCAGGTCTCCATGTGGGTGGCTGCGTGGCTTTGGGCCATTTTCTTACCTCTTTGCGAGAGAAGAAGGGAAAAGATGCAGTGTGCTAATGTATTTATTTCAAGAATGTTCAAGTCTCTGAAATGGTTAGTTTATTGAAAGGTTGTTGGTGACTTCCAGAGGCAGCAGGCCCAGTAATGTTTTTTTTTCCCTTGTCTACGCGGTCCTCTGCCGGATTGGATGCTGGTGACCTTTTTGTTCTGGGCATGTCCTTTCTCATTCTCCAGAGTTTGCTTTTTTTCTACTGTCTTTCCTACTGTGGTCTATGAATCCTCTTGTCATGTCAATTGCCTGTTTTTCAAGCAGGTTGTTGGTCTTTTATCTCATCTGATTTTAGAAGATCTTTATGAAAGTTTTCTCTTTGATCAAAGTTGCTGCAAATATATTTTCTTCAGTTTGTCATTTGTCTTTTCTTGCTCTTCAGTTTAAAAAAATTTTTCATTTGTGCCATAGTGGGTAAAGCTAACAACTGTGGCAGTAGCATCCCAAATGGGCACCATTTTGAGTCCCAGCTGCTCCACTTCTGATTCAGCTCCTTGCTGATGTACCTGGGAAGGCAACAGAAGATGGCTCAAGTTCTTGGGCCCCTGATCCCATGTGGAAGATCCGTCCTGGCTCCTGGTTTCAGATCAGCCCAACTCTGGCTGTTGTGGCCATGTAGGGAGTGAGTCATTGGACAGAAGATTCTGCCTCTCTCTGTCTCTCTGTCTCTGTCTCTCTCATACATACAAACACTCACACAGAGATGAACAATAAATGAGGTGGCTGGCACAGTAGCCTGGTGGCTAAAGTTCTCACCTTGCATGCACATCAGGATCCCATATTGGCGTTGCGTTGAATCTAATCCCCGCATCCCTGCTTCCCATCCAGCTCCCTGCTTGTGGCCTGGGAAAGCAGTCAAGGACGGCCCAAAGTCTTGGGATCTTGCACCCATGTGGGAGACCTGGAGGAGGTTCTTGGCTCCTGGTTTCAGATTGGCACAGCACCGGCCATTGCGGTCACTTGGAGAGTGAATCATTGGACAGATGTTCCTCTCTCTCTTCCTCTCTGTATATCTGACTTTGCAATAAAAGTAAGGAAATCTTTTTAAAAAATTCTCCTGAAATTTTAGTCTATAATGAAGACAAAATCCAAAAATAGATCCCTATGCAGAGGTTGTTAACTGGCTTATAATGGACTCAAACCAGATGAGAACTTCAGGAAAGTTAGATAGGCGGGGGGGGAGGGGGTCTTTTTGAAGCTATTGGAAATCTACTAAGACAGGCAAGATTTGAGGGTACAGATTTTGTGAGAGGAGAGACTTGGTGAGCCCAAAATTTATGTTCCTTTTGTTCTTGAGACTTTTATAGATTAGTTGGTATGGAGAGAAAGTGAAGGCAAAGAGGAAAACAAAAACTAGCTACCAAAAGGCAGAAAATTCAAAAAAAAGTTTTTGGTAGTTTCCTGGGGCCAGGAAGGCAAAAATCAGACTTTATTGTTAAGTTGGAAAGGTGGTATTTGAAGGACCCACATGGAAGGAAAGGGTGGGCACAACAGATTTTAATGATCTGAGCTTCTATTCTTGAAAGAGTTTCCAATTTCCAAATGGCCTGCTCTGAGGGAAGCTTCACAAAATGTGGCCAAGACCAGCCAGGGGCTCCTGATGCACAGGAGATTTAAAGAGTATGGATGACTCTGGTTTTTAGTTGAGATAGCAAAAACTGTATCAGGCCTTCTAGTAACTAGAGTAGACTAAGACTTATCGAAATTCCAACCCATCTTACAGAAAATCCAAACTTCAGTTGAACTAAGTTGTACTTCTTGATCTAATTGCCTTACCAGAATCAGAAGACTCATCAGTGTAAGTTTCTATGCAAGCATTGCTTTGAATCACCAATGAATACACCTACTATGAAAGGATCAAAAGAAAGACAGACATTAGAAACAAACTTACTGACAAATGAGATGTTGGCATGTTCACTCATAATTTTAAATAACTGGATGTATTCAAGAAGTTTGCTAGAAAACTCATTCAAAATAACCAAATAATGTTAAATTTATAGACCAGTACTTTTTCATGGTACTAAAAAATGAAACCTGAACAAAATATTAGGAAATCATTACAGAAATCTATAACAAAGTGTCATAGCCAGAGTTGGGGCATTCCAAGATGGAAGTTTAATTTAACACTTGAAATACATTTGAGTAATTGACTTGATTAACAATATGAAAAAGGAAAAAGGGATTGTTGTATCTCAATAAATACACAAAATTCATTGAAAAGATTCAACATCCAATTATAATAAAATTTGGCAGGCTAAAAATAGAAAAGAAGCTGCCTTAATCAGGGGGGATACAGCAGAAGAAAAACAGGAGGAACATGATACTCAATGATGACCGGTGAAGAAATTTCTCTTGAGATAGGGGAAGGAAGGATGCCCATTTTTAGCACTTTTGTTCACTGCTGTGCTGGAGATCCTAGCTAGTACACCAAAGATTTAACACTGAATTATTTATTTGAAAGAGTTAGAGGAAGTGACAGAGAGAGTGGGTCTTCATCTGCTGGTTCACTTCCAAATAGCCACAATCCGCAAGGCTGGGCCAGGCGAAAGCCAGGAGCCTAGAACTCCATGGACTTCCCATAAGCATGGCAGGCACTCAAGCACTTGGGTCGTCTTCCTCTACCTTCCCAGGCCATTAGAAGGGAGCTGGATCCAAATTGGAGCAGCTGAGATGTGAACCAGCAGCCATATGGGATGCCAGAGTTTCAGGCAGTAGTTATATCCATTACACTACAGTGCTTCCCAGCATCTTGACATGGTAGGAAGTGTCAACAGGAATACAGCAGAAGCTTCAAGATCTCTTGAACTTTAGATTTGGCAGTTGTATGATGTAGCTTTTCTTGTGTTCTACTAGCTAAAGCAAATTATAAGATTGGTAAAGATCCAGGTGAAAAGGAAACAAGCTCACTTCATGGTATAGGATATAACAAATTGTGACCACTTTTAATTCAGGAGTACAGAAAACAAAAGCTATAGAGAACAACTAAATATTGTTGAGGGAAATAAGAAATATGAATAGGTGAAGGAATTAAACCATGTTAATACACAAGAAAATTCAGTATTATAAACTGTGCATTCTCTAAATTGACTATAGGTTCAGTCCATTCTTGATAAAGAATTCCAGCAGTTTTGTGTGTGTGTTTGGCAGTTGATAGGACTTTTAAAAAATGATTTCCAATTCAATAATGTAAACAAGAGAGGTCGGTGCTGAATGTAACATGCCAATCCTCTGCCCTGTGGCACTGGCATCCCCTGTGGGCACACTGCTTTTGTCCCAGCTATTCCACTTCTGATTCAGTTCTCTGTTTGTGGCCTGGGAAGTCAGCAGAGGATGGTTTGAGTCCTTGGGACTCTGAACCCATGTGGGAGACCTGAAAGAAGCTCCTGGCTTCCGGATTCACATCAGCTCGGCTCTGGCCCTGTGACCATTTGGGGTGTTAACCAACAGTTGCAAGACCTTTGCTCTATCTCTTCTTTTCTCTCTGTAAAATCTGCCTTTCCAATAAAAATAAATCTTTTTAAAAAAAATACAAGGAATTTTTGGAGGATTTACACTAGTAGTTATGAAGAATTACTACAAAATAACAATAATTAAGACAGTGTATTATTGGTAAGAGGAAAAGCAAAATGAAATGGAAAGGCAAATCAAGAATCAACAGAAACAGTTAATGACCTCTGATGAAGTTTACATTGTACTACAGAAGGAAAAGGACAGTCTTTCAATAAATTTTAATCTAGTAGATTGATTAGTATTCATGAGCATTGGTTTCTTCACATGGTTCATAAATATGAAGTCTAAGTAGATTATAAATTAAAGTATGAAGAAAAAAGTATGATTTCTGTTAAGTAAGTATATGGAAATATTTTCATGATCTTATAGGTACCAATTTCTTAACCAGGACACAGAAAAATCTTCCCATAAAGGAAATGATTGATACAGTGACTTTCCTTAAAACTAATAATGTATAATAAGATATCATTTAAAGAGTAGTAAGACAAATCATGAATGACAGAAGATATTCAACAGAGGACATATGTACATTATGAGAGAAAACTCTTCTGAAACAATAAGGAAAAAAACACAAAAACAAGCAAAAAGGCTTGAATTGGCACGTCACACACCCCAAAGTATCTACATGCCCAGCATGTTAAAAGGGACTTAATCTCATTTGTCAACAGAAAAATGAACATTAAAACCACAGTGGAGTACTGTTAGGCACGCATCGGAATACCTACTTTTTAATTTCAGTCTGTACCAATGTTGATAAGAATGTAGGATAACAGGAAGATGTATAGACAGCTGAAGGGAGAGTATACAGGTTCAGCCACCTTATTAGACTGGCAGTAAATGGCTGAAGTTGAACATGTGGTGTCTTTATGACCCTGTTAATTCTATCCCCAAGGGTATGTCCAAGAAAAATGCATATAAATGTGCCCCAGAAGACACTCTTAACATGTTCATAGAAGCATTATCAATTTTAACAATTTGAAATAGCCCAACTTTTCATTAGTGGTAGTGGTTAACTATATTATGCCTTCTTTGGGAGGGCCAAATGAAAATGAGTTATACACAGTAACCCAGTGCATGTCATATAGTGATGTTGGCTGTAAGAAACTACAAAGTGTACATTGATTATTGATATAACATTCAAGGCAAGAAAACTAGTCTGCTGGCATGAAAGTTATGAGACTGTAAGGAAAACGGAGTGGGTGGTAACTGCATGTGGGGAGAGGATTGCCTGTGAGACAGAGCTGCAATCTATGCACTGGTGATTGCTAAGCTGTGGCCACACTGGGGAAACGCAAGAAGCTGAACCTTTGGTTTGTGCACTTATCTGTATATGTGGTATCTCTTAGTCAAAAAGGAAAACGTGATGGGGCCGATGTTGTGGCATGGCATCCCATATGGGCACCATTCCAGCTGTCTGCTAGTGTGTTTAGGAAAGCAGTGAAAGATGGCCCGTATGCTTGGGCTCCTGCCATCCATGTGGGAAATCTAGATGGAACTCCTCGTTCCGACCTAGTCTGGCTCTCGCCATTGTGGTTGTTTAGAGAGTGGACCAGCAGGTGGAAGACCTCCCTGTTTCTCGCTGTAAATAAGCTTTCAAATAAGCAAAGAAATCTTTTAGAGACGATAATAAACATGACAAACAGATGTAAAGCAAATCAAATGAAATTATGCCATGAAATTGTTTTATTTTTTTCTATGTGATGTCTGTGACTTTGGGTGCATATTCCTAATATTTTACTTTTGTAATTATAGGGACAATATTTATTTATAAATATTAAAAGTTTGACTCTAATTGGAAACTTAACCTAAAACATAATGGAATCCAGAGTCACAGTGCCATGGAAGAGCATCACGTTGGCTAAAAAATGTTGTTTTCTTTCTTCCCTCCCTAGGCCCTGAAAAGCACCTTGGGATTTCCATTGATTCGGTTTGAAGATGCTGTGATTAACCTGGATCCATTCACTCGGGTCCATCCCTACGAGACAAAGGAGTTCATCATCAATGATGTTCTCAAACACTTTCAGGAGGTGAGCTTCGGAGAAGTGCTCAGGAGCTGATGCAGAGCAGAATGATGGCTTTAGTTGTTGGGGAATGTTGGTTGTTAAGACTTGACCATTTAGAGCCCCGTTGAGCGTTCTAGTACTGCTGTCAGAGGTTAGTGACCTTCCTCGGAAGCCAGTGCCGACTGTGAAAACTGGGAGAGTGCACTTGACTCAAGCTGCTAGTATGTTCCTCAGAGCTGTCCTCAGGGTATTCTGCCAGGTTGGTCATAGTTCTTTAATAACAACACAAAACATTGTGAACCACTCACTTGCTGAGCCTGCTTTCAACATCTACTCCAGCATTCTTAGATCCAGAGAGATCCTGCTCTTGAATTGAACTTGAATTTTTGCAATCAGGTTGGACATTTTCCATCTTGCATTTGTTATTCAGATTGTAAAGACGAAGTATGCACTGCAGCATATTCTACTCATAGCTAGGTGATGCCATAGCAAATATATACTAGCCTTCAGAATTAAAATGTGTTCTATTCTTATTTCCTCTTCTTTCCTCCTCATTTTCATCCTTTTTTGTCTCAGCTGCTGATGTGTCCTTTGAGCTGCCAATGGAGCGCTGCCCTGGGTGGCTGGAATCAAGCTGTTGGGCTGCAGGAAAAGTGACAGGTGGCTTGACCAGCCCTCTGAGGGGAGCTGTGAATCTCCCTCTCTCCCTGGTCTCCCTCCCTCCCTTTCTTTTCAAAACTTCCTGCTCCTGACTAACCCTTTTTGTGGAGTGATGAGGAGAGTGATGTCTGTACTGTTAAATACCCATAAAAAATCTCTCCTGTTTTATAGCTGTGTCCATTCTTTTAATTGGCTCTGAGAAGTATTTCTAAGGGCATTGAAGACAAGCTCTAGGATATGTTTACTAAGCAAAGTTTAGAAAGGGAGGGCCCAGAAAGGGCAGGAAATTGTTTTGCAGTTGATAAAGTTTAAAAGGCAGCTGTTAAGACCAGCTTTGTGACATATTAAGCCACGTCCTGCAGCATTGGCATCCTAGATCCCAGCTGTCCACTTCTGATCCAGCTCCCTGCTAATGCACCTGGGAAGGTTGTGGAGGGTGTTGCATGCTCTGGGGCTGGTGCTGTGGTATAGTGAACCAAGCTGATGCCTTCAGGGTCAGCATCACATCCGAGCACAAGTTCAGATCCCAGCTGCTCTATTTCCCTTCTAACTCTGTTCTAATGTGCTTGAGAAAGCAGCAGAGGATGGCCCAACCTCTTGGACTGCTTTGCCCATGTGGGAGACCCAGAAGAAGCCTTTAGGTCCTGACTTTGGCCTGGCCTAGCCTCAGCTATAGCTGCCATTTGTGGAGTGAAGCAGCAGATGGAAGGTGTCCCCCAGCCCTCTGTAACTTACAGGAAGCTACAAACACAAATGGGTACTGATTGGATTTTCCTCTCCCGTCTCCATTTTTCAGGAACTTCTCAGCCAGGCAGCTCGCATCCTGGGATCAGTGGATTTCCTTGGCAATCCCATGGGACTTTTGAATGATGTTTCTGAAGGAGTTACTGGGCTGATAAAGTATGGAAATGTTGGAGGCCTTATCAGAAATGTTACCCACGGAGTGTCCAACTCTGCGGCCAAGGTAAGTACTCTACAGTGAAGTTCCCTTAGAATTGACCTCATGAAGCTGCTGCATCACCCTGATCGGGCAGTCCCTGGACCTGAAGAAGTGGCTGTCATGGCCTTTGTTTGCTGTTCTCTTGCATGCAGAAATCTGTCACCAGGGATACAAATGCCCTGCTAGACATCTCTTCCCGTTTCTGTCACTTCTGTTCCAGCTCTGCTTGTTCCACCCTGGTCGCTGCAGTGGCCTCCCTTGAACTTCATTGCGTCTTCTGTAGATCCACCAAAGTGAACTCCCTTACTAAACCATGAAACTGCCTCATTGTCCTTCTCCAGCTTTAAATCTCCCAGTAGTACAAACGGAAATGCAGCCTTCTCGGGGATCACCATTCCTTAACTCCTCTGACTGCAACAGCATGCATCTCATTTGCAGACATTTGGTTGGTCTGCTATTTATTTTCCAGTAGGACCTGATTTTCCATGTGAGCTGGAAGAGGTGACAGTAGGTGGAGGTGCCTGCCATGTGACGGTCTAGGCTTTGGCTTTACCCAGAAGAGCCTTGTGTGGAGGTTGCTCTGTGGGCATTATCCTGAGAGTGGGCTGGCAACAGCATGTACGTGCATTACTGAGAAGTCATGGAAGCTGGGGATTTATTCCTTTTTCCAACTGGTCTTCTAGTGATGATAGTTCTCTTGTCAGATCAATTTCTGCAAATAGACCAAGAATGTTCTGTTTGGCTTGAAATTAGCTAAACTGGAGCCAGCAGTGTAGCATAGCGGGTTAAGTTGCTACCTGTGATATACCTGCATATGAATGCTAGTTTGATGCCCAGCTGCTTCACTTCCTATCCAACTCCCTGAAGATGTGCTGCAAAAGCTGTGGAAAGAAGGGCCAAGTGTTTGGGTCCCTCTGGCCATATTTGAGATGTGGGAGAAACTGCAGGTTCCCACCTTCAGCCTGGCACACCCCAGCAATTGGGGCCGTTGGGAATTAAATCATTGGATGTACAGTCTCTCTCCCTCCACCTCTCCTAGTCTCATTCTCCCTTTCAAAGAAATAAAAAGATTAGTCTTTTTTTGAAATGGGCAAAACTCAGTTTTAGAGATTATATGAAAGAATAGAAATGAAAGAAACTTTTATAATCACAGTTTGGAAACAGACTGCTTACAAGTCTGAATGATTGCACACATTTCTGCTGTTACTTGTTTTTACCTTCCCCTTACCCCCTGGTACCACAAAAGGCATCAGTCACACAGGTGGTAGGGACTCCTTGCTGCTGTTGCCACTGCTGTTGGTACAAATACAATCAGATATCGTAGCTGTCTGTGCCCAGCGAATCTTCAAAGCTTTATTAAATTCGAGCTAACAAAGGAAAGTCTCTTTGGTTGTATGTTTCTTTGTTTTTGTACTGCTGATCTTACTGTAATTTGAGAAATGAAAATATACCTGTTCTTTATGCATAGGCCTCCCTCAATATAGAATAGAAATGGGCCCACTTTACAGCCTTATTGTAAGAAGAAAATGAGACAAGACATAAAAATATTGCAGAATAAAGACTGAACAGAAACATGGGTCACAGCTTGGTAGTACTTGTCTTAAGACTGTTAGGGTCCTTGAAATGAAAGCCAGCAGTTTTGCAGTCACTGGTGGGGGAGGGGAGGGAGCAGCTTGGGCCCTGAGGTGAGATCGCCCGCCCCGCTGAGGGCTCTTTGGCTGCTGGGATTCCTCTGGAGAATAATGACAAAGCTGAAACCCCACTTGGAGTAACGTTTTATTTCTCAGCTGGCAGAGACCTCTCATGGGTTCCTTCCATGTCTCCCTCTACTGGTGAGAGGGTTGGCCTTGCCTTCCTGTGGAAGTCCCCTGTTTCCTGGTTCATTTCCTCTGGGGATGTTTTGAAGCCGGAGGCTCGGCCTAAGAGTAGAACTTGTGCAGGAAAACAGGGCTAGGCCCTTCCTGATGCGCTCACCTTCCCTCACTCCCACTTCTGGGAGGCCTTGGTGACAGTGACCATGCGTGCTGGAATATCATGCCTTAGGTTGTCTTTGCATTGGCCTAAAAACGTTGCTGTCTAGACCTTGAGTCATCTCAGATGAGAACCTGGCTTTGGTACTGGTGGAGTCCTTCTACATGCGGCTTTGTATTGCCTTGATTAAGCTAATCAGTGTTGGATTTAGAGGCTGCTGAGAGAGGGATTGTTTGTGTGTGTGTGTGTTGCAATTTGTTTTTTTTTTTTAAGATTTATTTATTTATTGGAAAGTCAGATATACAGAAAGGAAGAGAGACAGAGAGGAAGATCTTCCATCTGATGATTCACTCCCCAAGTGACCGCAACGGCCAGTGCTGCGCCGTTCTGAAGCCAGGATCCAGGAACTTCTTCCGGGTATTGCACACGGGTGCAGGGTCCCAAGGCTTTGGGCTGTCCTCAACTGCTTTCCCAGGCCACAAGCAGGGAGCTGGATGGGAAGTGGAGCTGCTGGGATTAGAACTGGCGCCCATATGGGATCCCGGCACATTCAAGGCGAGGACTTTAGCCGCTAGGCCACAGTGCAGGGCCCAGTTTTTTTTATTGCATTTCATTTTATGACATCATTCCATAGGCTTTGAGGTTCCTCCAATCCCTCCCGTGCTCTCCACTTTATTGCAGTATAACAGTTCAAATCCAGTCTTGTTTCTTTCATTGCAAGCATGCACCATGCATAGAGTCCAGCATCTTATTGTCCAGATCAATTCAACAGTTTCTTGGGGAGACCATCTCTGGTCTAAAGGAAGGGCTGGCAGAATATCATTCTGACCAGTTGTATGATTTATTTGATACAGAGAACTTTAGACTCCTCAATGGCAGTATGATGGACTTCTGAAGGTACTTGAAAGACACCTATTGAAAGACTGGAGAGGAGAACAGTGGGGAATTGGAGAGGCAGAGGGGAAACCCCAATGCCTATTAAACTGTGTCATAAAGTAAAGAATAAAATTAATCTGTATACTCTCTAAGGTGGTAAAGCAAGGGAACTTAAAATTGCCGCTTCCTATGGAATTGGTAGATCTCAAAGAGCAGTCTTCCCACTAAGAACATCATCTGTGATTCTTCTGTGTGGTTGGGCTAACCTTTTCCATTTTCTTGAAGTTTTATGGGTTGAAATCAAACCTTTAATGTTGCTTTAGGGGAATGTTTTGTTTGCTTCTCTGTGCACAAAAGTGAAGTTTAAGGAAGTGCAAATGACCACAGTAGTCAACTGCTGGCCTGAGAGAAGTGTTGCTTTCAAAAGCGCCTGAGTCCCAGTGATGTGAAAAGCCCCAGCCAGCTACCCAACACCGAAGGGCATGAGCCCTGTTCCATGGGTTTTGAGTACAGTGGGGAGACTCCATAAACCTCTGAGATTAGTTGTAAATGTGGCCCATATGTGTATTTTCTTGGAGTGAGAGTCTATTGATTGGATTATTGAATTTTTGGCTCTAAATGATCACAAACCATCTTTACAGATAGAGAAGACCTTGGTCTGTTTCTGTCTTGGTCTTGTTTTGTTTTTACATCCATGGAAAGGTGAGTCCCAGTAGTTCCCACCAACCCACTGATGTGAGAAGCAGAAGACGTGAGGTATTTGAAAATATAGTGAGAAGCTGAAGAATTCCTTCTCACATCAGAAGGCAGTAGACCGGAAGATCATAGTCATCTGTGGATTGATGTTCTAACTTTTTCACAGCACATTTTAAGTTTCAGGTCTATAATGTGTCCACTTTTGAAATTTCTTGTTTCATTGTGAACTGTTATTTATTTAATATTAACTTAAGGGAGTGTAATTAGGAAACAGCCTGTAGTCTTTTGAAGCCTCTTTTTCTCTTTGCCTTTGCTTGTTATCCCCGAGCCTCCCAGAATCCACTTATGTGTTCCAACTCTAGGGTGGTCTGACTTAGGAGCTAGCTGCCACTTGGTCAGCGTGCATCCCATGACTCTCCTGTGGGAACTTGTGGGAACCTCAAAGATCTGATGCCATTTCTGAAGCCAAAAGAAGACAGTAACTTCTGGAATCCTTTATAGGACTGTAATTTCTTTAAAACAAGGACAAGTTTCAGTTTCAGATTCATGTCAGAGCAGTTTCTCTATGCAGCACAAATTGCAAACCTCTTTAAAAGTTGACAGACTGTGGAGAGAGCCTGTTGAGCAAACTTCCTTGCTTATGCAGACTCCAACTGCTGATATCTATGCTTATTGTATGACATATTCACAAAAATGAAACTTTTTAAATTGAAAAAAACTCTCAGATGCTAACAACAGAACACGTGATTCTGTTCTCTCTCCTCTCCCTGTAGATGTGCACTGTTTTCTGCACAGCTGTGATCTGGTCTTCCTAAGGGAAGAGGGCCAAACAGCATACTTGATTTCCTTCAGCAGAGGAGAGGAGCTCTTTGATGGCCACTGATGGAACCTCTGCTCTAGTCTGTCCTCCTGCGCAGCCTTCCCTGTGCCTTGATCACACCCATATAGGATGCTTTTGATCCTGGGTACCTTTTTGATCCTGGTGTGTTTCAGTTCTGTTTGTGAATACAGATATTTTAATAATGTCCACTGCTTTGGACTGTTTCTTCATGGTCAGTTGTCGACAGGAATTAAAATTTCTTATTCATTATTTGCTGACAACCTTTGTAATTGTATAGTATAGGTTTATGTCCTTCTCTTTTGCTTTGTGGTATTTGTATTTATACGAAGTCTTAATTACCAGCTCAAATTCTGCAACCTACATTTTAGTCAAGAAGGTGTGGAGTTTTTTTATTGGTATTTAGCTAGCACATGTCCTCGGAGTTGTTTTAGCCATTGTTTTATTGTCTTCAGGCAGTTTTGTTTCTTAAGAATTGGGAAAACATTTAATAATTTTGTTTATTTCTTGGTGAAAATACTGTTCACAGGACAAGCCTAGGAGTGGGGTCAGACACTGTGCTTCCTGTTGGTGTGTGTACTGATCACCATCTGTTTTGTCAGGCCTGATGTAGTTTATAGTCTTGTGTATTTTAGTCTCTATT